CACATAACAAAAGCCTTCTTTCTTCCGGAAAGATTGAGGTGATAGAGCTGACGTAGTGGAAGCGCCATGACAATTATATCAAGGACCATGTTGATTATTGCAGCCGCCCAGCCCTGCGCATTGATGTTGTTGCACTGATAATCCCCCTCACCATCCCAGTGAAGCCATGCTCCTGGAAGGGGTCGACATTGGAACACTGAAATCAAAACAAAGACAACCAAGTAGCTCAGGTTTAATCCAATGATGAAGTATGTCACGATCCGAAAGCGGCGCTCTGGGAAGATACGAAGATAAAAACAGAGAATAGAGACCTTTGTTAGGGGCAGGATGCTTAGGTATATCAGTTCATCCCAGAAATAGATCTGTCATCACGGTTTGTCAGATCAGAGCAATCAATCTGGAGACCGAACCATTGCTACTCACATAAAGAATATGGGTGATATTGTCCAAAGGAAGCGTCCACAAATCTCTTCCTAGACCGGTGTCGGCCACTCAAATGGGCTATCAGTCGGTCGTCTATCTCAATCATACCGAGACATACTTACAGACAACCGAGAATGCACTGAGTGGAATCATTAGGCACTGTCAATGAGTTAGCCAAGAGCGACGTAAGCTAGATCAAAAAGCTGTGCACGCAGTACCATTGTCAATGTCATTGTCCAATCATCCATTCCAAACGTCCCAGAGCATTTGAAACGAGCCACCATTCTAAGAATGTAGGCGATTAGAGCTACTATACCACCTCCGACCCCGGCATAAGAGACGAGCTTAGTTCTGTCTCTGACTGGGGCTCCACAGGCCGATGTTGTGACGTTTTTCGTAGCTTTTATACCTTAGCATCAAGGACTGTAATAAACGGGCTGTTTGGGCAATCATACTCAAAGATTCACGGATTGTGCAGCTGGCGAGCACACATTCCTCAAGCGCGGTAGTATACTTGGTGTCCGTACATAAACATTTCTGGTCTGTAGCTGCACACGACGTTCGCGTCATGGAAGACATCATGCAATCCAGCTTCATGTTGTCAGTCAGCTCGATATCCACAAGGATACGATGAAAGATGATACCACATACCGCACAGGATGGTAAAGTGGCCGCTAGCTGCTCTGCGCCAGCCTTTGCAGTGGCGGCAAATAGGAACCCCACTAGAACTGCTATCTTGAGCACCTGCATCATGAAGATGTCCAAATTTTAGGCATTCGCAAAAAGATGATTAGGGGGGATGTACTGGAGATAGAGTGCAGTGGTTATTTTGATTTCTCCGAAGTTCAAGGGAGCCTCGCGGATGAGATGACAGATTCGGTTATTTGACTTGCTAACGAAGATCTTAGCCTGCGGGCTCCCCCATGGCGATCCCGGAGGCGAGATTTGTTCTAGGAAATCATTTTTCAGGCCCTAGAGTCTTAGGCCAACTTTGTGAGCCACTAAAAAATAATTGAGCCGTCTTCTTTGTAGATCAAGTAGAGTATTCTATAAAATATGCAGAGCTTTTAGGATTGTTTCAGCAGATGTAAGGGAACCAGCATTCACTGGCTGGACTGATATCGCGCTGACCCTAAGTGTGAGTTGCTTGTGAACAGTGGCTGATTCTTGAATTGGGATCATCATTCAATACGAACGGCATTACGGAGCACTGCCTAGTGTTTTTGCTACTGTTTAGGATGTTGCTGGCGTGATAATCCCGTGTGGAGAAGCGACCGGGCTAGACGCGACCCCATTGCAGAACGAGCAGCTAATGAGTTAATCTATATTCCGGCTCCTGATATTTCGCCCCACAATATCTTAGGGCTGTCAGACCTCTCCTAGTTCTTTTCGGCTAGGAAAATATACCGGAAAGTCTAAATGGATATTGCCATGAAATAATGCTAATTGCCGTTTAACTTTATTTATTCAAACACAACTCACTAATTTAGCGCCAACCTTGGGCTCCTGCCGTTCCAGGGTAATGATCGCCACTTTTGGCATTTTCTAGCTGGCGTCGGAGAAAAGCCGTTGCATGCAAGCTCAGGGCTGATCCCGATCGGCACTGTCATTCAACCGCAGTAAACCTAACCGCAGCATGTACTGATCTAGGTAGTAATGGGGATGCCGAGCCCTCCCCCCCCCTATTTATGATCTTCCTCCGCGTCCTACTCCCCAGTCTAGAAGAAATTAGCAGCAGATTTCTACGGGGAATGACTCCAGGAGGAGGGATCAGGCATCGAAGTCCCAGAAGCATCTTCACAGCATTCAGTGAGCAGGTTTGGAAGGTCACTCTTGATGAGAGTACCCTTTGAAATCGTCGACTGTTGTCCCTAAGAAAGCATTAGCATTATGTCCGGCAGTCCCTATGCCAGGTGGGGCTCCTGGATTATGCACTCCGTCCGAAATCTACAATGCAGCACTTAGAGGTCAAAGTTATTGGCTTGTTTTCATGTTAACTCCAGTTAGCGTTATTTACACGTGGGATCGACTGTTATGTGCCGGGTAACCATTCAGGGGGGAGGGATTAACCAGCAGAAGGTCTTCTATACTTCTACGGCGTGAATCCCAACTTATCTAAAGAATGCCTTATTCTTTTTCCCAAAGGAGTGAACTTTTTCCACGTTCTATTAAGTACATCATTTTCTTTTTAATTATATTCGTGGTCTGGCTCAAAGTCAGATCCCCCGATCAGTATGCGCATTTTTGAGCCAGTGCGATTGCTTTTGGCATTGCCATCCCTTACTCTGGTTTCAGGCTTCCCGGGAACGGAGGATTACCACAATGGCGCCCAAGCTCATCGGGCTCTGCATAGGAGATGTCCGTACGCCAGCGCTGAGTCTAATGCCGCACCAGAGCACGACAAGCGATTTCTTTTTGACTCGATGGCGTCCCCTATTGACGGTATGCACAAACGAGCTCATAGCTCATTTTTTATGCTGCTGACAAGGAATAATAGTAACTGGGGAGCACGAATTCCAGCCGCCCAACCTTGCGGGTGGTGACCAGCGTGGCCCCTGCCCAGGTCTCAATGCGTTGGCTAACCACGGTTATATTCCGCGGAATGGAGTAGTTTCGGTGGGTTTTTTTGGAATCATTCGCATAGCAGGCAGAGAGGCTAATTTTGAAAAGTTTCGGAAGGTGATCGCAGCAATCAACGAAGGTAAAGTGCTACTATAAAATCCAGTGACTTTTTTGTTGACCCCGGGCTCATAGTGTACGGCATGGGAATTGATTTGGCAACGGTCCTGGCAATTATGGGCACTGTCTGGACAGGGGATCCTTTGTCTCTGGACCCCGGCTTTTCTATCGGAGATCGCGACACCGGTGTAAACAACATTCTCGGGAATTTAGGGGGGCTTCTTGGTCAGTGACTCTGGCTCTTCCCATCTGAAAGAAGTCGTCAACGACAAGGTATTGATTTCTATGTTAGGTGATCCTCAAGGGCTTACCGGCTCCCACAACTTCATTGAAGCGGACTCATCCAACACACGGGACGATTTATATGTCACAGGGAACAATTACGCGCTGAACATGGAGAAGTTCATGTCTTGGTATAACATGTCTGTCGATGGCACATTCGACATGAACCTTATGGCCAAGAGAGCAAAGCTTCGTTTTGAGGAGACAATCCAGACCAACCCGAACTTCTACTATGGACCCGTGACAGGCCTTATTGCACGCAATGCTGGCTACATCTTCCCAGGCCGGCTGTTCCGGAACCACTCCCTTGAGAACCCAGAAGGAATTTTGAGTAAGCAATGTGAAAAATTCGAGGAAGCAACTTGGACGAAATGCTAAATTCAGTATAGCCAAGAGTCATATTCGACACTTCTACGGCATCTACGGCGAAGATGGTAATCTTACCTACCGGGAAGGATGGGAAAGAATTCCCGAGAACTGGTTCAAGACCCCTGTGGACTACGGTCTCCTGCAGCTGAATCTGGACACTCTCGATTGGATGATGAAGTATCCGGAGCTTGGGAGGTAAGAATATTTATGTGCTTACGTATGTCGGGCCGCTGACAGTATTTTCAAACATAGCATCGGAGGCAACATGGGCAAAGTCAACAGCTTTGCTGGAGTTGACCCTAAAGACTTGACCGGTGGCGTTTACAACCTGACAAATCTGTTGGAGGGCAATAATTTGCTCTGCTTTGTTTTTGAAGTGCTGAAATTTGCTAGCCCCAATGCCCTTGCCAGTTTATACAGCACTCTAGCCGAACCCTTGGACTTCGTGGGTAATGCTTTGTCAGTTCCTTTGCTGAATGTCACTTGTCCGGCACTCCAGGACCTCCAAATGGGTGGTAAGCCTTTCTGGGAGGCCATTCAAAACGACTTCCCGGGCGCTTTGAAAAGTGGTCGCGCCTTGTGAACGAGTTCGTTTGCCAAGCTATATTTTGATGTGCAGTGACCACGGAACTTAGACCAAATCCCGGTTGGTTCTCGATTGAAAGCCATTGACAATTTGTTTTGAAGTGAGGATCAAGCAATGATCCTTGTGTAATATATGTGACTGTCAATTTCGAATCTCATTTGTAATCCTGGAACGAGAGATGACGTCGGAATCCGCACCAAATATACTTAGAGGCTTTTATGATGCAAGGAAATGACGACTCAATTCTGCGAGTAATTGGTTAGTTATCGCCACCTCCTCATTAAAATTGTTTATCGTTCTTCAAATTTAGTAAAGCAGCTCCAGTGTTGTACCCGCAGTATTGCCGAATGCTGGGGATATCTCAGCTTGCATTGAGCCCGCAACTAGCAACTGGTAGTTCCTCACAATCATACACCATTTGGGTTTATCTATATCAGAATTACTTGTGTCAGACTGGCTCATTTGGTATTGGCTTGTCTGTCATGCCATAGAACCGGCGCAGTAAAGATTAGGACTCTGTCGAGAGTTTATCCCAAAGAACGGTAGCATGAACAACGAACGTCATGATTGGAGAGCAATAATCGCTGGAGTCGATTTGCTTCAACTCAAGCATTCGATGTGCCCATTAACATTACGAGATCAATCAGTGCCTCAAAGGGTGCCAATCCCTCTTCAAGAAATATTGTTGCTTGTTGATGTTTCCCTGGGGTGAAAGGGGTGGACGATAAGGGCCACCAAGGCTGACAGGCGTTTTACATACCGCCTTGGATACCGCCCACAGCTACCGATAACGGCCATTCTCCAAACCTGATAAAACCGGCAGAAGGGTAAGTCCACGAAGCTTCCCCGCGCTGAGAGCAATTTCTATTGTCTAATCGGCTCCACTATGAGCAGCCTGGCCTCGCCATCCCGGCCCGGGTATCGTGGAGACTTCCATCATCGGAAGGCTCGTTGGTCAGTGTGGAGGGTATCGGAGGGTCCGGAGCAGCATCGGAAGATCCATATTTGAACCGAAAACGTAATCTCCTCTTCGTATCTCACCGAGCCCCATAAAATCCTTGACTCAACTTTCCTCTTATAGACATCTGTGGACCCAAGCACCTCAAACGTGGGGAGAATGGCCGGGCCGGAAAATGAATGTGCGGAGGTGACTATTGACTAATAACCCCAGACAAACTCACCCCGTGGAGAAAGAAAAGCTGGGGATGAACCAAGCTCAAAAGCCACATTATCCCTGAGATTGGACAGACGTCTGCAGGGCTGCCTTTTGGTCTCAACAGTTAATTTCTTCATTTTTCGATACGAAGGTCACGCGTCAAAGAACTGGGTATGATGGCCAATGACGAGGTCACCAACACGGAAACCCAAACCGGCACAGGAAATAAAGAGGACCGCGATTTGATATCGAAATACCAGGGAGAACACCGTCAAGATGGGGACAATTTTGACGCTGAGGAAAAACAAACCTACGGGGAGGTGAACCAACTTCCAGACCTTCAGCGGAGGCTAAGAAGCCGGCATTTGCAAATGATTGCCTTTGGTGAGCGTCCAATTTCATTCGCATAAATATGACTCCTATTGTTGAAGCTAACGTGCAATGATATTCAGGTGGTACAATCGGAACTGGTTTATTCATTGGAAGTGGTACTGCGGTTGCCATTGCTGGTCCTGTTGGGGCGCTGATTGCGTACATATTTGTCGGCTCCATCGTTTTTTCAGTTATGGCTGCACTGGGAGAGATGGCAACATACCTTCCGATTCCAGGGGCTTTTACAGCATATGCAAATCGTCTGATTGACCCTAGCCTAGGCTTTGCAATGGGTTGGATTTACTGGTTTTCCTGGGCGTCGACATTTGCCCTCGAATTAACCGCGACCGGTCTGATCATTCAGTACTGGAACGAAACTATCCCAATTGCTATTTTCATTGCTATATTCTGGGTGCTCATCCTTGCACTGAATATGCTTCCAGTCAGTTTCTATGGCGAGACTGAGTTTTGGCTGTCAAGCATCAAGGTCGCCACTGTCGTTGGATTTATGATATTTGCCATTTGTATGAATGCGGGAGTTGGTGCAGAAGGCTATATCGGGTTCCGCTACTGGGTTGATCCAGGCCCCTTCAAAGCCTACTTGATCGAAAGTAATGGCCCCCTAGGAAAGTTCCTCGCATTCTGGGCGGTTCTCATCAAGGCTGGATTTTCATACCAAGGCACCGAGCTTGTTGGTATTGCCGCGGCAGAGACTGAAAATCCTCGCAAGAACGTCCCATCAGCTATTCGAAAAACTTTCTTCCGGATCGTTTTCTTCTTTATATTAACCATTTTCTTCATTGGGATTGTCGTGCCTTCCACTGATGAACGATTAACGGCTAGCGAAGGATCTGGCGCTAGTGCGAACAATGCTAACGCCTCACCCTTCGTCGTCGCGGCTAAGCGAGCAGGCGTGAACGTGCTACCTAGCATCATTAACGCCGTCTTGTTAACTGTGGTTCTCTCTGCCGCCAATTCAAATGTCTATTCTGGAAGCCGAATCCTTGTGGGCCTTTCTCATGATGGGTTTGCTCCCCTGATTTTTGCGAGGACAACTAAGCAAGGCGTTCCCTACTGGAGTGTGCTATTCACAGCCCTCTTTGGCCTACTAGGGTTTTTAAATGTCTCCAACACCGGGAGCACAGTCTTCAATTGGTTGATGCAAATTGCAGGTTTGGCAGGTTTTATTACCTGGACATCCCTAAACGTTTGTCATCTAGGATTCATGAGGGCCTTCAAGGCGCAGGGAATTTCCCGTGATATATTGCCTTACAAGGGTCCCTTGCAGCCATATCTCTCATGGTATGGCTTGTTCTTCAACGTTCTGATTATAATCACTCAGGGGTTTACCGCCTTCATCCCCACGTTCAACGTGACCGACTTTTTCATCGACTACCTTAGTCTCATATTGTTTGCTGCTCTCTATATCGGGCACAAGATTGCTTTCCGACAGCCATTGATCAAACCCGAAGAGGCTGATATTTATACCGGTCGGCTGGAATTCGAAGATTAGAATACATTATATAAAGAATATATCTTAAGGAGCAGGAATACAGTTTCAAAAAAAACTTCGTTCAAATTCAAAAATAATCTGGACTACCCTGCCTTCCTATACAAATTGAGATTGTAAGGTCCAAACAGCCTTACATGGTCGGAAAATTTCGTATAATTTCGATACTGTGTCGTCGCGAATGTTTGTGTAGCCATGTCACCCCCACCAATGATAAAGTTTACACGACTTTAAATTAACAATGGTCCGGGTGGTTCAGCCCATGTATAGAGTCTCTCCGCGTGCCACAGTGCTGAGACGTGTCCGGGCTGGTCTTGGGTCCTGCAAGGGAAATATGAAACCTCAGTCTCGATTCTGGGTCAAGAAGCCGGCCTCTACGTATCGATTGTACGTGAAAATTATCTCATATAGTTTGGGCACTTTTGACGACAAAGAGATCAATGGGTGGTATAACTTTAATCGATCGGGTGGCATTGAATATTCAGGCTAGCTATCTATAAAGCCGACCGTTGGCCTAACGTCATTCAAATCGAGACTGTACTACAGACTAGGCGCCGGGAATGAGAGAATCACAACATGTTAATCAAACTGTTCTTCATTAGTCTGAGCCAGTCACGTAAGCCCTGAAATCATGTGGGAACACACCCTTTTCATGAGCCTCATTCTCCTGTATGGATAATAAAAAATATCAAGCTCACGAAAGCCGGCGTGAGTTCGCTGCAAGATTCCCTCCCCACCAGACAGAATTCAAGCATAGAGACGGCAAGTGGAGATTAACAATCTGCTACAATGAGAAACGAAGCGGTTGAGATGACTCGTCAAAAGAGGCAATTGATGTGCATAAGCTGAAAATTTCTTCCGACGCGGGAGTTAACTCCGCTTATCTCGAGGCACAGCCTTGGCCTAGGTTTTCTGTTAACTAAGGCACCTCTACTCCATGAGCAGTACAGCTGTTGAGGTCATGGAACTAGCCCACCTGCCGACCGTGCATGGCACAAGTGTCTCGACCAATCAACTCATTATATTATTATCTGCTAAGTAGGACATGGCAAGATTTACGGGACCTACAACTCCTTCATGTAGTTAGGTCGCATGCCAAGGACCGCCAATGATTCATTAGCCTCTTTGGGGCGTATTTAGGCTCGTTAAAATTTCTAGGGACTTGCAATGTGGGCAGCAGGGCGGGGGGCTTTGCGGCTAGTAGAAAAGTGTGCAAGAAAAAGAATATGAGTTGCTAACTAATTACTCACATTCTCTGACCCAATGTTTGAGGCCACGGGAGGAGAACAGAACACCGGTTGCTTGTCAGCTACAGTACCAAATTGAATTAGCAGTTGTTTTGAGTATCATCGACTGGCCTGGTCAAAAGGCATTCTTAGGGGAACAGATCAAATGAAACATGCTAGTCCGCTAGTGCCTGTGTACTGTCTGTCAGCCCTTGCTCAGTGAGGACAGTGATGAGTGGAGCTACTACATAGCCATGATGTAGTCACAGACAATAAGCCCACATCGGTAAGGCAACATGACAAGCACAAACAGGCTAATCACATGGTAGTGATTATTATAAGAATGGATAATCTTATAAAGGGTTCGCCGCTAGGAAACCAGGAAGAAAACTTTTGTGGGCTCGTTCGTCCAACTTCAAGAGAGTCATTCTGACCGTTCACCGCCGCCATGCCATTTCCCTGGGTGGTAAGCCTCTTGCTGGGCTTGCTGGCTCTCTATGTCATGAAGAGAACAATGCTAGAGAGGAAACTCCCTGGTCCTCTTCCACCAGGTCCCCGGCCTAAGCCACTATTGGGTAACCTTACGGATTTACCCCCGAAAGGCGAACAGGATTGGATTCATTGGGTGAAGCACAAAGAGCTCTACGGTAGATATTCCACTCTTCACATTCGAAATTCCAACCTTTCAAGACATTATACACTCGCTATAGTAGAAGTACTGATGACATTTCTAGGGCCAATTAGCTCCCTTACAGTCTTAGGGCAAACTATCGTCATTGTCAATGATATGAAAACTGCAGTGGGTCTGTTAAATAAACGGTCTGCAGTCTATTCATCGAGGCCAAAGATGGTCTTTGCGTCCGAAATGTGAGTCATTCATAATATCTGCTTGCGATTTTTCCTTTTTGATACCAGAGCTGATCAAAGGGCTAGGGTGGGATGGGAAGATGGTCTCGCTTTCCAAGGTTACACTGAGAGATTCCGGGCCTATCGTAAAGCTGTTCAACCATCATTTGGATCCGAGTCGGCTGTCGCGCAGTTCAACCCTCTTCAAGAAAAAGAGGTGCACCGCTTCCTGCTACGAGTACTCCGAGAACCAACGAAATTGCTCCAGCACATCCAAACGTAAGTTTTAATCGACAAAATCATCCGATAGAAGTTCCTGAGAAGAAGTGGACTAAGTCGATGATCCATTCAGAGAAGCCGGGGCCGTCATTTTGAACATTGCGTACGGATATACGATCGAGCCATTCCATCGTGATCATCTTGTACATATTACCAACATGGCGCTCGATCATTTCGCCAAAGCCGCGACTCCTGGAGCTTGGATGGTAGATATCATTCCGGCATGTAAGTGTAATAACTCGCCTCAGTGATCAAAGTTTGAACTAATGAATTCAGTAAAATATATTCCTGCATGGTTCCCAGGGGCAGGCTTCAAGCGCGTCGCGCAGTCCTGGAGGGAGCAATTGATTGGGATAGCAGATCGACCCTACGCATTTGTCAAGGCACAGATGGAGAGTGGCAAGCATAAACCATCATACTTATCAAACATTCTCAGCACGCAAGGCGTCCCAGAGCCTGGATCGGAGAAGGAAACTATTGCTAAATGGACTGCTGCGTCACTATACACTGGCGGTGCTGACACGGTAAGTTCGGTAAAAATCCGTCTCTACTAGCCATTAAATACTAATTAAATTAGACTGTTTCATCTATCGCATGCTTCTTCCTCGCTATGGCTATGTATCCAGAAGTCCAACGTAAAGCACAGGATGAGATCGAACGAGTTCTAGGGCTCGGTCGTCTGCCAAAGATGGCAGACCGTGCCCATCTTCCTTACGTTAACGCTATAGTTAAGGAGGTTCTTCGCTGGCATCCTGTAGCGCCAATGGCTATACCTCATTTATCCACAGAGGACGATACCTGGGGAGATTATTTCATTCCCAAGGGCTCTTTAATTATGCCTAACATCTGGTAAGTGAAATATTCACTTAGAAGCAAGATAAACTAACGTAAAGTTAGGGCTATGATGCATGATCCAAGCATTTATCATGACCCCATGACTTTTAAGCCCGAAAGATTCCTTGACAGTCCAGAAATCGACCCCCACTCTATCGCCTTCGGATTCGGTCGTCGTATCTGCCCAGGTCGCTTCCTAGCAGATAATACCGTCTACCTGAGTGTAGCGCAAAGTTTGGCAGTATTCAACATTAGTAACCCTACACAACACGGAGTCGCGATCAAGCAAAACCCCACATTTGAGCCGGGTGTGATTAGCCACCCAGCACCATTTCAATGTTCGATCGCAGTTCGTGGTCCGGCTGAGGAAGCACTCATTCTGTCTGTTGAGCAAGAGCACCCATGGGAACCGAGCGATGCGTCCGACCTGGAGAAGCTTGGATATTGAAATGACATCTTTGCAACAGTTACGATCTCGCAAAACAGCAGAGGTAGTGTTCCAAGGCTTGGTTAACCCGTTCCGTTTGATCATTGGCTTGTGGGTGAAACGCAGTCGAAAGCCTTCAACCGTACTTTGGATGTAGCAGAAATTTGACGAAAACCTCCTGGTGGAGGTGGTCAAGGCACGAGCAAATCTGCTGGACCTGACTTTGATCACAAAGCCAAGCTGGACCAATGGGCTACTCTTGAGAGTATGCTAAGCGATCACAAGGGTCGAGGCATGACAATGAGACAAGATTTGAGGAAGAAATCATGTACAGCAAGAATCGTTTGAGAGGGATACGATGATAAAAGCTTGTTCAGTGTACCTATAAGTCTCTGTAGCTTGCTCTTTTAAGCCTACGCAATAGGTGTGTAGAAGCTCAACTTGCCAGTGGGGTCATACTTCTTCTTCGATGAATGCAGACGGCTTTGACGCCAGCTCTCACTATAGGCACAGTTGACATAGGCCCATAAATCGTTCTAGCTCGTGCCATCCCGAAGAATTTCACGAAGTTGATTGCCCAAATTGGGGCGGCTTGGGTATCCAAATCGGAATCAGCGGGTAGATATTTGATGAGAGGAGCAGAGATGATGTTCTCACTGCGGAATGCAAAAGCGCTAGAGTTGTTAGGGATAGCGTGCACACCCTGCATAGAATAGCCTTCAAACATGAAAATCGAGTTGTTGGAAACCGAGTGCCACGGACAGCGTTTGCGAAACCCCCATACATACGTCTTCTTCTTTTGGGCATCCGCGTTGTACGATTGGAGGTAAATCGGGAAGCGGGGGTTTGCAAGAGCACCCTTCTGCAAGGTGGGGATGACTCGGCGATTCCAGTCTAGGCAGCCAGATCGGTGTACGTTCGACGTAGGCTCAATTGAGAATGGTCCGATGTTTTGGAAAGGCTGGGTGTAAGCAGGTCGACAGCAGTGACACTTTCTTGAATGATATAGAAAATTATGACCAGCTAATAAATGTCAGAAATAACAGTTTCAAACTCTAACTATATTTAAATCAAACTCACTTTGATGGGGTCAGCTCCTGGGTTTTTAAGCCAGTAGGACCATTAAATTAGACCTTCTGGCTGTGTACCGTTCTTCAACAGATAGTCATTGGCAGCTTGATCGACAGCCTCTACCTTGTCACTGCTGAAAGTGAGGGTTACAATTGCGCAGTCGCGATGCTGAATGTCGAATAACTTGGTATTGAGTCATGTAACGATGCCGAATTTTTGACTAGCACCCTTCATTACCCACCAAAGGCCAGAGTTCGCGTCAATCGTCGTCAGCTGTCCGTTGGCAAGAACCACGTTCATTGAAACAAATTGATCAGCAACCAGTCCATGATGTCCCTAGAGCCATCCATGACCTCCACCAAGACCAGGTCCAAGGATACTGACACATTCGCAAGTTTCAGTCACTGATTTTTAACATTAGCGCTTCCCATTTTTGAGATACGAAATTTTGATGAGCAGGACAGTCTTTGACATTGCTCCGCCACCACTTGTCGCTGTTTTTCTATCTCCAGAAACGGTGACACTGTTAGGTTGAGCCATGTAAATCTCAATTTCCTGGTCCATTTTGCCCAGTGTGGTCAATGATCCGTGAGCACCGGTACATGCGAGGTAGGGCAACTCTCTCTCCGGTTGGCGAATTGCACCTAGATGGTTGTCAGCTCGATGACCTGCGCCTGATATTCTTGGTTTCATATTTTTTTTTTACTATTGTCAATTGTTCAGGGGACAGCGCAATAGCAGGAAGGATCGAGGAAAGGAAGGAACCAGAAGCAGCTACGGTCTCGGCAACATCATTTTCGGTGCCAGGCACGACAACCACATTCACCTTAGGCTCATCCAACCGAGGCCATCGGGCAGAGGCATCACTGAACTCAGTTGAGCTTGGATGTTAAATTTTGGCTGAGTTTGAAAGCTTGTTCTGGAGCTCTGTCATATCATAATTGCCCCTTGGATGAAGACCCGTGAGGCGATTCCGAGCGCCGGGCACGTTCTGGCCGTGCGAGGTTAGAGCCCAGGCGGAAATCGCCATGGCCGCTGTCATCTTCAAGTGATACATCGTTAAAGCTCTATCTGAGCTGCAGTGACAAAAAGAGATTGGCTTTGCTGTTGGCTGAGCAGAAATCTCTGCAAAGGCCTTGGTAAAAAGATCGGTTTTGGAAGGCTAGGCAAACGTACAAACCCCCTATCAATTATTCGGTGGGAGCTTGGATATTGATATTTCCTGGGAGTTATCTATGGGACCTGTATTGGTTTCTACTCCAATTGACTAAAAGGTTTAATCAAGACTTATTGAAGCCCGGGCTAGAAAGTACGCCATCGTGGGATATTAAAAGGCCGAACTACCCGTCTGCCTCGCTCTGGCGTGACATGGTGCGCCCGCAAGATTTACAAGTTATGAGGTCGCAAACTAGAGGGCCAGGTCTCTGTTGATATTTTCAATCTTGAGAAGTCAATTTTTGTAGATCTGAGAAGTACTTTCCACTCTCCTCGAAGTCTATGATTTGGAACAGGGCACAACAAAGTGGTGCCTGACAGTACCATCCGACCAGTCAAATCCTCCGTCGCAGCAGGAAAGGTATACTGATTCATGCAGGGGGATTACATGCAATGGAGGCTGGAAAACCTTCTTCACGATGACAAATGCTGCCAGACAGCAACCACCTCTGTTCTAAATCATGAAAAACATCTGCTCAGTTTCACACCGAGACGAACCATTAATTAAATTCGTCCAGTTAAATTTGAGCCTCCAAGCATTTGAGAATTGTGGATGGCCACAGGGATCGGTGGCGCCGCTGATCAGAGAGCGCGACCGCGGCGTTCAGGGTCCACTTGATGGATTTCGGTCTGAGGCCGATATCCATCCCATCGTTGATGCTACGAGCGCGAGCCTTCCGAGAAAGCAATCATCATTGCGGTCTCAATTCATGTTCGTTAACCTGCATATTCGAGTTCTATCAAGATATGTCATACCTAAAAGCATACTAAGAAATCTAACTTGACCAAGAGCCGGTGACTTTTTGGTTGCCCTGAGACACAAGCTGACTATGTGGCTTTAGTGAGAACACAAGAAGTCTGGCTTATTGGAAGGATGGCATTAACGACACGACAGAAAGGTTTATGGCACGACGAGGCTAGTCCCAATGCGGAAAGCCCTCCTTTCAATACAAAATGCTACATTCGAATTTCACAAAGTACCTGCCGAGTCCTTATGCTTCTCGCTGATATTTTTAGTGATTGTATACGCGAGGTCTATCTATTTTATCCTTGTAAAGACTGACTCATTATTCTAGTCCCCTTCCTACTATCACCCTTTTTTTTGTCTTTTCCAAGGTCTTTTCCAAGGATTAGGCTTATGCATACATAAGGACTGTGCTGGTATTTTATAAGTCTCGAATGTAGCATTCTGTATTAAGGGGGGGCGTTCCTCATTAGGACTAGCCTCATCGTGCCATGAACGTTTCTGTCGTGCCGTTAATGTCGCCCTATTTAAAAGACTGGACCGGCTCCGATGTTGACTGTGGCTCCCCGTCCCTCACCTTTGACCTTTGACCAAAGCAAAAACCAGCGCCGAGGGAACTTACGAGCAACTGACCAAAGATAACGCTCATATAATTGAATCCAACTATATGACTTCGATGTTTTGTAGATGCAACTTGCTAGTTTCCAATTTTTAGCCATGTGTACACGCAAAGTGATAAGGTAATGGATGGCATACTGTACACGGAACCAATTGTAGCAGCACCTCCGATGTCCAGGCCAACAGCGTACCTACCAGTCGCGATTTGCTTTACTAAGATTATTATATGCATTGCTACTCTGATCGAATTTTCTCCAAGGCATCTTCTCAGACCTGTTTCAACAAGAGAATGGCTTAATCTTCTTTCAGCTGGAATATACACATGTTTTTTTTCGGATGTATCCAGTTGATGTAGACCCCAGAATAGATCCGTGGGAAAATAACGGTAGAAAGATCATTTCATAACTAGCGAGAAAATCAGGGTTTGACTAAACTAAACATCAGATCAATATTAATTCCTGATTTGTTCGCTTCACTCATTGGCATCCCTATTGTATAATATCACCCAAAGCGCACATTGCTGATTCTGCCTTTGTTGTTCCCTATCTGAAAACCCGAATTGGTTCCTGAAAAGATAACGCTGTTGTTGTAGGTAGTACTGGACTCGATGACTTTCACGACAGTATCACTGAGCATCTTGTCCTGCCCAGCAGCAACTTCTTTGAGTAAAGGAAGGGCGTCTTTGATCTTGTTCATCTCTGCTACCTCTTCCTCACAGAGCTTGCGTTGAACTGCTTGCACCGCCGGGAATAGCTCAATTAAATCATCAACTAGTGTGCTTGTGTCTTCGATCAGTCGCACAAAGTACTTCTCTTCGTAGAAAGCGACGTGATCTGCTGCGTCTTGTTCAGCATCACCCTGTCTTCTTTTGGTAACCTCGCTCATTTGCTGGTGGAGCGACGCGGAGACAGTGTCTAGTTCCTTCGCGGGGTCCAATGTCGAGGTCCCGGGGCTTTTGCGCTTGAACCGTTTTGCGTATGTCTCAGCATCCGAAAATTGATCCATAATTCCGCCAAGTAGCTCCTCAACCCTAGGAATGTCTTCGGGTGAGAGCTTTGTCTGCTGGAGACTTTCAAGATCCGCGAAGTTTGCCAATCCAACAGACTGGCCCCAACGAGTGAGGCGCAACCTAATCACATCCACCTTCAAGAGACTGGTCTTGAATGAATTGCTAAAGCCTTCCCCCATTTGAACAGATCCAAAAAGCTGGACGACTCCATTGAGCATACGAGATTGTTCCCTCATCTGTGCCAGTGTCTCTCGTTGCATTTCGCTCATCTCCCCTTGTCTGGATGCGATGTTCTGATTCTGCTCTAGAATGGTGTTCGTGTTTGTTTCTATGGCTGCTGTACGCTCCTCGATGAGGGTGGCATTGGAGACAAGAAACTCAACATTTCCATTCATGCTTTGGACAACCTCATCAAGGATCTCGACGGTCCGTAGAGTGGCAAGACCAACGGCTTCGCTCATCTCGTTGATTGCCCCCTCTAACTCCGCACTGGCCCCAGCCAGTTCTCCATCGGTTCCATTCATGAGGTTATCAAACCATTTCTCTAATGGACAGTATTAGCTGCTGATTCGGAGAGCGGGATACGATACAGATTAAATCAGACAACTAACTGAACCGTTTTTCTGCGCAGTATTGTTGTGAAATCGCACAAATCTTGAGTATGCTCGAAAATACACGGCTTACGCAACGTTGAAATGGAGGCAGATCGGGCATTTTCTGCTCGATCATAGAAAGCCTGTCGAAAAATCTGTGGGTAAATTCGAAAAAGCCCATAACCTTGTCGTAGTCGGCAGATACGTCAGCGAATGACTGCATCACTTGTCCAAAGGCCGTAAATATCAAATTGGCGGGCATCGCTGGTGGAAATGCCTAAGCAAGACAGAATATGAGTCTCTATAGATATCCTCGAGGTTCATTTCAAGACTCACCGATGCGGCGTTGCCAACGCTCTGAACCGTATTAACCACCTTTTGAATCAACCACATGTTGTTTTTCAACGCAGTTCGAACTTTCGTCACTTTGGACTCATCGCTGCGAAAGTCCTTGAACTTGCTCGACAGGCCTTCAGTACCACTCATGATTTCGTCCATTGTTTTGAATTTCCCCAGTCGGAGACTTTTGCCAGTCGCTTTCTCATATTCTTTGATGGAGTCCTCCCACAGTTGGGGGATGGTAGCTCCGCTGATTGAGGACTGAGAGGCCATGTTTGCGGGGTGTTTCTGCTTGGGAAGTTTTTTTTAAGGCAATAGATGAAAACAAACGGTTAGCTCTTGGGCTCAGATTATTTGCAAGATCATCCACCTCATATTTCTTCTTACTCTACTCTCTCGCAAGCCCCCTACTATTAGAATAAGAGTCCAGGCGGTATTTTACTCTGAAACTGCGGGGTCTTGATAACCGAATTTACGTGTTTTTCCCCACGTCTATCGTGCAAAACTGGCACTTGAACCTTTCATTGAGTCAATTGTAGCTGATAATCCCTGAAAATGCTCCAGTCCTCTCTGGAATGACTTCAGGTAGCCATGGTAGCGCCACGCCGCCTCCGAATCCAGCAAACAATGTCCACGTAACCTTTGACTTACATGAACCCCGCTCTTTTTACTGTTGCGTGACACTTTGCAGACACAGAGTGCAGAAGCTGAAAGCCATTCCCGGGTCCTCCGTGCCCTTTCTTCTGTCTCCCATATGATAAGCACAACTTGAATGTTAACTAGGCCCGACTGTGTGTGCTCTAAATCCTGTAGGGTGATACGCATATGCAACCATGAAACATTCGTGCACGATATAGCTCAAAGTCCTAAGAAATAACTGCTGCAGGTTGTCAAAACTGATATGCACCTGCAAGCAACTTATTTTGGGATAGTACTTGTCGCTGTTCACAAAATCATTTCTGGGTGGCTGGCTGTATCGGTCGCTACCTATGGCATTGTTGTGGCTGGCTGAAAAGCTCTATGACTAGCCGTGAACGGTACGCGTATTTTTGCTCTCGTCAGAATTTGTGTCCGTATCCCGTCACAAATTTCTCCCCTTAACGGATGTATTGGCCTCGCGATTTCTTATAAATGATCAGCACGGATATAATATATATTAATTGAAGAGAGTGACAGGGTAACCATCGCAGTATAAGATCTGAGGAGATAATTTGAAGGATAGATTGCATGACGGTAAAGATGGAACAGAAAACATTGATATTGTAGCTTGAATCAAGGGTCGCCACGCGTTGCAGGCACTAATTCCTAAGCCAACCATCCTATAACTCAATTCAGGGAATTAAAAAGGCAATTTATCTAGCACCAAATGTGAAGCCAGTCTGGTTGCCTGTGTTCTGACCAAGCTGGTAGCCGTAGTTGTTCGATCCAGCGAAGGAGGCATTCGAGATATTATTAACTGTTCCTTTTTCTTCCGGCTCGGGTAGGTCCTCAACCCAGTCCTCAAGTACTCGACAGACCTTTTTGAAGTCCTTGTCTTTTTCGCTGTCAAATCGACTCATCTGGTGGTGATTTCCTGCCAGTCGAGTGGGAGGAGAATCATCAGTGAACTTGGCCACAGCTAGATCCACGATCTTTACCTCTCCATCATTGACCTTTGTAAGTGATCCCTCATAAAAGGTTTCCAGTTTCACTTGAGCTCCCTGTCTGAATTTTGCGAATTCCTGCGGAATTTTCAGAACAGATTTAGACTTGGCTTGTAGGTCGGAGCTGCTTGGGATTTCTTCATTGGAAAGTTGAAAAAACTTTGCCGCTTCGTTTATGGTCCCAGGCTGGAAATGTGGTGTTCCAAGGAGTACAACACCCACAACGGAGTTTACCAGCTGTTTCCTCTTCTCATGATTTGCCCCTCTGATGAGAGCCTAGAAAAAACAAAACAAATTCATCAGTTGTGTCTTTCCGTACGTAGATACGTGAAGGTGCTCATACATTCTCGCAAACTAAGCCACCTAAGCAGTGTGCAATGAATATAATAGGGCGTTCAGCCTAATGAAAGAGTCGATAGTCAGTAAGAATCATATAACATTTATCCACAAATTTGTAAGATTTGATATGAACCTTGTCACCGCGCCGCTCTGCCATGAGCTCGCTCAGAAGATCATCTGAAATATCCGAGATCAAATCCTCCTCATTCCAAAAGGAATCCACTGTGGCATCCTCGTATTCGAACGCCAAAAGACGCGCATTTGATATGTGTCCAGGAAGGATTTTCTCCGGCCAGAACACAGAGTTCTCGGTCGTCCAGTGTTCTTGGCTAGCCCTCAAGCCATGGACAAACACAATGCTGCAGGACGTAAATCTGGTCAATATCTTCACGTTTCTCATGAGATTGAAGAGAATTTTCATACTCCAGCTTAGCATCAGATTGATCCTTGATTATCTTGATAGACATTTTTGAGAAAAATGCGGAGGAAAGTGGTCAAGTCCGCTTCATGGGCTTTTGCGAAGGGCTGAGCGTCCGTATTAGTACTACGAGGTATGCCGTAGAGGTCACTACAGGCTAGATGCCTCCTCATATTCCAAAGAACTCAGAGAAAACGGCGTTATTACGGGTTTCAATGATGTATGTTTACACAAACTTAGCCCCGGCGACACCGAGCCAAGGATGGTTCAGTCCGCTCGGTTCCGATCATCTAGTTGGCCAGGAGAAAGTCTGGTAATTTTTGCCGATGATTATCTTCTTGTGACATCAATCCCGTGTATCTCTATACCCCGCCCAAATACGCTTTAATTATAACCATGCTCGTTCTGGCATCATTCAGGTTTCAAAATAGCGAATTGCCATTTACTCAAAAAAACCCCCACACAAAGTAGGATCAAGGTGCATTCTTGAATGTAATCTACAAAATTGTTCGTGCAGATAAAATACCTGGCACCTTTGACGTCAATGAGAAATGCTTGCAGGCCATTCACAAGGATACTTGGACCAGCATAGAGGCAGGTCATCAGTTAATTAGAATACAACGTGTACCCTTACTTTACCCCAAATCCTCATTCCTTAGTGAGTGACACTAGTTCTGCATATGTGCGGTACACAGATTTACAGCAAGCCTCCTGCGAGTCGTAATATTCACAAGCTGAACTGTGGGGCTGAGCGCTACAGGGGTACGGGCTCTCAGTTAGAAATTTAGAATTCTGACCAGCCCTGCAACATTATGTTAGATACTTGGTGGACGAAATAAAATGAGACTTCCCAGTGCTGCGCTTCACACTCGATCCGCTACTACACGCTGTTTTGAATCACATCTCTATTCCTTTACAATCTAAGAAATATATCGCCATGAGGCTACCAGGTTCAAAAACAGAGGTTCGTATGGGGTTTCAAGAAACTTTTGCGAATTGCAGGCGGTATACTGATGTCTTTGAGCAGACACCGGCACCGTCCGCCGACTTCTCGAAGTCGGAGAATAATGGACTCCAGGTTGGCCAAAATTTCGGAACAATGGAGGCTTCATTCTACAGTGATTCGATTCGAGGAATCAACATTGCTGCAGGGGCATCCGTATTCATGGGTAGGCATTGCCCAAAACAACTTCCCGTATCATCATCCAAAGAAAAAAGACAGCACAAGAGTGGGCTCATAACGTCGACTGACATTCTTTGATATTTAGGTGAACATAAAACTGTTGAAGATAAGCTCTTGGAGATTCTTATCGCCGGAGATTCAAAAGATAGAATCGATATAGCTCAAGCAGCACGTGGAACATGTGAATGGATCTTTCACAGCACCCCATTCCGCAACTGGACCCGAGATGATTCCGTGGAAACTGGGCCGCTCTATATTCAAGGAACTCCTGGGAGTGGGAAAAGTGTGTTATTGAAATTTTTCATCAAGGAAATTGAGAAGAGATTGCGTATCGGCTCCCCATCTCTTTCATCGCCGGTGGACGAGGATCCTCCTGCCGAGTTGGGTGTCCCCGGGAAGACCCTTGCGGTTGCATGTTTTTGTGATGACCGTAGTGAACATCGACGCAGCCCAATCTGGATCTTAAGAACTCTGTTATACAGACTAATCCAGAAGAATCGAAAACTGGTGAAGCATGTGCAGAAGCACATCCCAAATGTTGAGGATCTTGACACAATGGGCTCTGATTTGGATGAGTTCCAGTCCCCTGATATTCTTCAAAAGATTCTGGAAGAACTCATCCCAGATCCGGAGGTGGAAGTTGTTTACTTTGTCATCGATGGCTTGGATCAGTGTGGGCCATATCTTCCTGCGGTTGTTCGACTGGTCAATGAGCTTTCTACGAAGATGAATAGCGAAGCCAGAAAGCAGGGCCAACAATTCAGCTTACGCTGCATCATCTCTGACCGAGGTAGTCAGATCGTCCGCGACAAAATACTCCCCAAGAATATTATCGATATGCCAACAGAGAATAAGCGTGATATTGATGAAGTCACCGACTTTCGGGTGAAGGGCATTCAAGAGTATCGGAATTTCAGTGAAAGCATTCGGGAGACTCTAGCCGATCTGTTAAAGCAGAAATCTAATGGCATGTTCATGTGGCTATCTTTGGTTCTGGACGATCTTGGCACTTGGGAGGGTGTCTGGACCGAAACTCGAGTCAAGGAGAAGCTTTGCAGCATTCCTTTGGACGTCGCGACTTTTTACAAGTCGATGCTTGAACGGCAACCGCGAGACTCTGTCAAAAGATTGCAAATGCTACTCATGTGGGTCTACTTTGCATGTCGACCCATCACTCTGCAAGAGTTGGAGGTGATTTTGATCTTGCAGGACGAAAAGGAATATACTGGTCTGAAAATTCCAGATGAGGATATTGAGGCATTAAGGCGTAACCTTGAGGGCAACTGGGGTGCTCTATTTGCAGTTCGGGACAACTTCGTACACCTAAGTCACCAATCCGTGAAAGACTTCTTAGCAGATGTCTTCAGTGATGAAGGCGTGAAGAACTATCCAAAATACGGCATAAACCAGGCAGACGCACACCGACAAATAGCATCTACCTGTTTGACATATCTACAACTCGAGGAAGTTCAGGGACGGGAAGTCCCCACGCCTCCAGTCAACGGCGAAGGAAAGATTGATGAGTCGCAGCTTATGGCGGTCAGACAAGCATATCTTGATGGGTTCCCTTTCCTGCAGTATTCGGTTGAGTTCGTTGGTCATCATCTGCGAGGCAGTCAAATTGAAGAAGAAGCGGACGTCAAGGGCATGGAAGAATTCTTCGCCGTCAATTCGACAGCCTTGTCTAGCTGGGTCCGAGCATACGATCTGCTGAAACGGTGGACAACCGGAAAGTGTAAGTCATGTCTTTCAATATTCGAGACCAACTGCTAACGCTCCTTGTTTTAGATTCGGGGTTCAGCAGCAGTACTAGTCTCCTCTTCGTCGCAGCACGCCTCAACCTTCCCTGGTTGGCACAGAAGTCGACAACATGGGTAACTTATGCCTCACTCCCTACCGCTATATGCGCCCCAGACTCGTCTGGTTGGAGTGCCATTCATATTGCTGCGGATTCGGAGGCCGTTGGAATGGTGTCGTGGCTCCTGAAGAATGGTGCGCTTGTGGATGTCGAAACCCTTGGCCTTCCTCATCTTGGCCGCACTGCCTTGCATTTTTCTGCATCCAAGCGCTCCGAGTCCGGTCCCCAAATGGTCCAGGAGCTGCTAAAAGCAGGTGCGAAAGCGAACGTTCAGACCAGACAAGGAGGAAATACACCGCTTCACTATGCCATCGATGGTCGTTCAGTCAAGACAGTGAGGGCCCTACTGGACTCTGGTGCGGATGTCAATCTCGCAAGCAGATCTGGTCTTACCGCTCTTCACAAAGCCGCGGCGATTCCCGGTTTGGAAGAGATTGTGGAAGTTCTCCTTGAAAATGGCGCCGATCCCAACAAAAAAACCAGCGTGGGCGCCGTCTCAGCGGCCCGAGGTCTCGCAAGTCTGAAGGTCTCTAGGTCATTGTGGAACACATATTATGCAGTCAATACGTCTCATACCGCACTGCATATCGCGGCCAAGGTCGCAGATACAGAACGTACAGTCGAAGTTCTGTTAAAGAAGGAGGCAGATCCAAATTCTCGAGATAGTTCTGGACGAACTCCACTTCATATTGCAGTAGTAGGGATAAAGCCCGAGCCCATCATCAAGCTTTTGATTGAACATGGAGCCGACGTAAACCTACGGGATACAGACGGCAAATCCCCGCTCCTTGTGCTTCTGATAGCCATTTGCCTGCAAGCACAGCATCAACCTCAGTTGTTGAATGATGATCATGCCTCGCAAGAACGAATGATTATGATGTTGCTGTCCGCCGGAGCGGATCCACTTGCTGAAGGGAATGACAAACAATCACCTTTAAGTTACGCCACGCAGGGCAAGCTACAGTGGGCCTCGGATCTGTTGGTGAGGAGTTCCAATGGAGGGGTGGCTCCCAAGGCGGGCGATGCCTCGGATCAGAAAGGGGTTGAAGAAGAGGAGTCTCAAAGTGAACAAAAAGTATCCAAAAAGGGGGTTCTTGAGACTCAAGCATCACGTTGGCTTCCTAAGAGGACCAGATGGTGAACTGTTTGGCGATTTTAGGAGAAACCTGTCGAGTCAGTCTTTTTTTAATTGGGATCAGTTAAGTTGATATTCCATTTGTGGTAATTGAAGATATGCGTATGCGAATGGGCTAGTCCTTGTTCCTAAAGAATTATAACCCCCATTTGGCAGGCTTGGAAATTAATTGGCTATGAGGCAATGGGTGGAAGAGTTCAGGAATTTTCAGAATCAGGAGGCTTTTACGATGTAGAAATAGCTTAGCCAAGGAAGGCTGCACGCCTTTGATAAATTTCTTACATAACTTCAAGAATTGCATTTGCCCTGAATGAACTAGCTATCGAATTCTTCCGTTCAGGAATTCATTTTGTCTCTTCTCTGCACATGGGAACCACCTGTCATTCATGCTGTCAGGCTGTTGACGGAGAGTCCCACATTCCAACGGCTCATCTAAACTAGCCCTGCGATGGCTATAATACCATATACATTCCCGGTTAATTTATCCGTCCACTTATCACAATGGGAACCAGAAGCGTGGCGGCCCCCTTCCCATGAGCGCGTTTAGAGTGCTATTGTTTGTCAGGTGGCATTCCAAACCTCTCTTGCCATCAACTGGTGTACCACTGCACTTTCGCTCGGTGTGTCATGGCATTCTACACAGCTACTGTCTCCCTTTTTCTTAAGCAATAATTCAAGTATTCCGTCTTCTCCCATGTTGTATCGTGAATGTGGAGCCAGCTGGCACTCATTAGCATGAGCTTCACCTGACAAACAACCAAACTCTGTATTCGATTGTCCGGCTCATTGAGATCATTTTCGAATTTGATTAAATCTAGGTGATACTTCCCTCCCCCATATTCCACGCGCCTTCATTCAACAGAAGCATTAGATAAACAGAGTGAACAAGTAGTCATCAATTAATGTAGCTAGGGAGAGAGGGTGGTCAATCTCAGGTGGGGCTATGTGTTGCTCTGCGAACCTTGCGTAGCCTACAGGTGACCTGAAGAAATAGCATCTCACATATCAACTGAAGTTGCCAGTATACGGGGACCAGAGCCATGATACATAATGAACCGTGGGATAGCTTCTCCGTGGAAACAAAACGCTACGCCGCCTACATGAATGACTAAATGATTTCGCGCTGCTATATATAGTGCACCATTGCGCGGATTACTGGTAAATTAGGCGCCTACCTTAGATGGTCAGTATCAACGTCACTTTGGACGTCCTATTACCGAACCCTACTTATCACTACCTCGTGTAGCAAATTTGGCCTATCATATGCGCGTGCTTTCTAATCATCTATAAAGAACATGAATTATCTCAAAGCAGTTAGGTTACTCTTTATTTGGGGGGCTCTGTAAGGATAATCAGGATTTTCTTAATCACTTTTAGTTGGAGAGGAAGTATCGATTTGTAAACTCAGCCAGACTTCAGTTTTTGTTTCTGATATTTCTGAGAATGTCTACTTTTCCATTTGTTCATAATTCTGATCTTGAATACTGTCACGACATCTGCCCAGCCTACTATAATAGGCCAAAAAGACCTAGTATGCTTAAAAAAAAACTATGTTCTAGCGTGCCCGGGACCGATATAAGTAGCGCACATCATTATGCTAGGGGGGCCGGTGCCCAAGCCCTGACATGTACTGTCTTAAAGCTCTGCCCACTTTTACTCTCTGATATTGAGGCTATCTCCAGGCTTAGTCTCTACTCAATCTCAGATTGGTGGCTTCTTTCCCGTACATTTCCTCTAATCTTCCTATAGCTTTGATAGGATGAATTCTCTCTACAGGATGTCAACTTTCACTTTCTAGCTACCTGGTAGCGAAGTATAACATGCACTTATCCCATTCTTATCAGTTCTAATAGAATCCATAGCCACAGTATCCATTAAACTTTAGGCACTAGAGAAAAATATCATGAAATAGTAGATGATGAATACAGCTTTTTCCTAGCAAAACTGACTCGTTCAGTTGCCAAAACAAATAAGAGACACCATTACGGTGACTCCTAGTGATGCCAGCAGCTTTCGACTAGGCGCTCGAAGTCACAGACGCTAGTCTTTGCCTGGAACGCAGTTCCCGGGCCACAGGTCTTCAGAACGGGCTTGCCGCCCACGGGGCATTCGTAAAATCGGTGGCAGTCTTGAGGATCCGCCCATGCCACAGCACCGGCTGCGACAGTAGAGACTGGCACAGCGATGGCCGGTGTGATGAGGGCCAGGGCCATCAAGGCGTCAAATACTCGGTAGGAGAACTGCATAATGTCGGCCTTGAACGAATTAGCTTTGTGACTGGATAGGCATTGAACGGATAGGCTAAATGTACTTGGCTTGTATGATAACAACAAAGGAGGGAACGTGGAGGCAAGTTCGGCTTGAGGGCTTCCAATTATGAAGGACTGCTGATCTTGGTGAAGAAATTCAGATACTGTGAAGGCAGCTGGGGTTCTTATAATTTAGATGTAAATTTCTCTCGGCCAATTTTACTTGATGTTCAGAGAACATAGATCCCTGTCGTCGGCTAATGATGCCTTCCTCACCATTGAAGGGAGCATGTACATAGTTGGGCTAACACAAATCCTAGAATTCTCCCAGAGATCACGCCTCACGGCTAAACGGATCCTGGAATAATCCCGCGCATTCAAGGACAGTGCCATGGCTTGGGAGGAAGGAAAGATAATTTATCTAGGGGGACGGTGCGCGTTGTGTTTCCCAACCGGAAAGGTTCCCTCTCCACATCTGACTACATTTACGTTCATCCCTTGAAATTCTTGACCCGTCAAGAATGCTTAATAAGTTTAAAACTAGACTATTCTAAGAAGACAGATTGGCCCCAAGCGTTGGAACATTAGAAATATTGAATCTACCATGGCGTTCTGGGGTGGTCTAGACACTTGAAGGGCCCGGTCGGGTTTAATCACGTTAGAGTTGTCTAAATTACCTAGTTCTTGATGGTACAGTAGACGATAAGGTGATCTCCGCCCAGTCGCCTACCTCACACTATACTGAATGCATTATTTCACATCCTCATATTCAACACCCAAGTCTAATTACGTGGTCTCGAGGGACATCAGCTTTTGATTTTTCATACCAGGCAAAATTATGAGCTTGCGAAATACAATGGTTTATGAAAGTGCGTACATGTCTATTGGCGTCGCTTGATCGATGCGCAAGTGGTAATGCATATGTTCTGAACATTGTGGTTCTACTTCACTAGCCCTGATACTAGAAAGTTATTATGTATGGAATAAGAAGCGAGACAGACAACTTTCTTAATGCTGGTATAGTTAGATAATGTAATTCCCGCTTGATCTAGCCAACTAGTTGACCGGACCATCTCAAAACAACGGTCCTATGTGCAATACTTCACAACTGCATGTGTCAACGCCAACGGCTATTTGAAAGCACCTAGGTATCCTATTATGAGAGATATCAAACTAAACATCATTAGGGCCTGTTCTGGTAGGCATCGCTGCGCGCTTCTTTCGGATCAATGGTGAGTGATAGTGCTTGTCGTAAGACTGTAAGACCACGCCAGACCGGCCTAGCGATCCGGTATAAAGACGCCTGCATGCTTTGGGACCTGGAAATTAGAAGTAGAAAGCTTCTTTTCATATTATCTTTGTTCGGTAGCTCATGAAACACCTATAAAGAGCAAGTTCTTCCGCGTCAAATCAACTCTTATCGAATAATACCTAATCAGAACAGACGGCACATTCAAGTGGGCTACCAGGTCCCTGGAAGCGGGATCCATCATCAATTATGTAGTCACAATTACCTGACAGCCAGAGATGCATCACACGCGACGAATCCTCCCGACATCCACGGAAGTCATATGAACCTTGCGAGGCAGCTTATGCGCCTTACTAGACTAGCTAGAGGGCCACTATACCCCGTTGCACTCTTTCAACTCGACTGACTTATTATATGGTAGTGATTGTTACTCATCCTTCAGTTCCTGGTCTTTGAATGGTTACTTACAGGGGCGTTAAATTAATATTCAAGCCACTTCAGCTTTAATACATCTGAATGAGATAACAATTACTGTCACCAGCAGTATGAGAACTTCTGCTATTACACCTACAGACGTACTGCCTTCCCGACCGGCTATAATGTCCGACTAGGCTTGACTTGGAGGATTAGTTGATTAGCGCCCGCAATCAAGTTAGGTGGCGGGGCTCGGTGATACGAGGCAATAGGAAAGGTAGCTCACCATCTAGTGGTGACCCGGAGAACAGGAAATATATGCAGAGATCAAGGTCAGAGGGGCGAGGAAGGGGACTTGATGCCACGACGGGGATCGGAGGCGAGTATCTCATGCTGAACACATGTATGCACGCTAACCCGCTTTAGGAACTCCACCGGTGTGTAAGGTTACGCGATAACCCAGGGCCCAATTCCCTCATGATGTCAACTTCTTTGGATAGTAATTAAACCAACCAGATCCTGTAATTACTTGAGATAAGAAAGCTTTTTGGATAAGACCCGCTACGTATCCATTGATGTAATAAATGAGGCAAAAAAACAATGACCAGACTGGGGCTCGATCCCAGGACCTTATCGGTGTTAACGATACGTGATAACCAACTACACCATCCGGCCGCTTTTGATATCCTACGGTCAGCTTTTATTTACATAAATGGTATTGAAGCTCTCGCATACATCATTTCTTTGGCTTGTCCAAGTTCTTTCCAATACTCTTAAATTGGAGTCTTCAATTGTTGAAAACAGAGCATTGCTTAGATACTTTCTCGACTCTATTGGTAGTTACACCTTATGATAGGCTTAGACCGTTGTTTACCTCATTTCGTTGATCAAGTTGCGTAGTCTCCCATCTCGGGAAAGGAATATATATTTTGGGTGGCGCCAACGACACCACAGAAAGTTCATGGCAAGACAAGGAATGAGCAACGCCCCCCTTCAACAAAATGCTACATTCGAGATTTACAAGATACCTGCCGATGATAAAAAACTACAAACAGCCCTAGAAATATTGGCCAAAGAATTGGATTGCGCACCAGAATCAATACATCACGCTCCGTGATGGCAGCTCTCAACAATTCCAACGCACTCTGCAAGTTGCGCTCCACGCCTTAACCCTTCCGTCGATCTGCCTTCGCTTCTGGACCGCTTCCCGCCAGTCATTGGGTTCCCCACTCGTCTTGATTTACCTGCATACTGCCCAGTATACAGTTGACATGGCCACGAGATAACACAGGCCACTCATAAGAAGGCAGCGTTAAATGTGGCTCATCAAGGGAATAAATTAGTAAGACCCATCCCGTTCAATTATTCCACGCACCAGGCTGGCCCCTGGGTAAATTTGATCCACGTATCTCATCAAAATCAACTACGTGACTTAAAACAGTTAAAGATAGAAGAAGACATAGGAAAGGATATTAGAAGCTAGGTGAATGAGCCTCGACTAAATTGCTTATGACTTCAAGTTAATGTCGCTTTCATGGTCAACAGGGCAATTTCCCAATCACAAAGTGCTCCGAGCTCAACGGACAGCTCAGGCCACAAAGTGTAATTCCATGGACCTTCCTCACGGACTTTAGGCGCTTAACACCAGGCTGACAGGATCGACGATCAAATTAAAGATTTCGAGAGTAAACCTCGGCGGGGCAGACGTCATCAAGCAACGACCCGAGGCTTCCAAAACAGACATTTGATTGGCCGAGTCTCTTATTACACCATGGATGACAAAAGTCGCCGAAGTCTTCCTTGGCTCGGAGAGATGGTGCCACCAATCGCAGCTAAAATCCTCGGCCCGAACAAGCTTTTTGGGCGACATCTCCGAAACAGAACCCAGCGACTTATCATCAGTGCGAGTTCTCGGTGTGGATTATTCGGCTCGACGGTCGGAAACTTTTCTTCGGGTTTGATTACAATTAATGCCGCGATATTGTGATAGGCCGAGAGCGAACTTGATTCCTGAATCCGGATTATTAACCACTACGCAGAACGTTTCTAGAATAACCTTAACTTATTTCCTTTGCCTCCCTGATATTCTCATCCGAGCATCCACATCGCCCCCCCCCCACTGGGACCAGGCAATGATCCGAAAGATGCTGAGAAATCGAATAGAAAACCCAGGGAGCTCTGGCAATACCCTGAAATATTTAAAAAAGAGGACGTTCCTGTGATGCTCCTGGTTGCATTCGCAAAAGAAAACCACCTGCTATCTTCCCTCCCCGTACTGGTCACCAATTTAGAACCTACGCATTCACAACACGATGAGCGTCACATTTGAAGTTTTCCGCGGGTCGAAGGAGGGAAAGATCGTTGCAGACAAGACTACCCGCACCCTTCAGCACAACGAGGTCTACATTGAGACCACACACTCCGGCCTCTGCGGCACAGACGAACACTACCTGCATTCCGGCCAGGCTCTCGGACACGAGGGTGTCGGCATCGTGCGACAGATTGGCCGTGACGTCACCAACGTCAAGGTTGGTGCGCGTGTCGGTTTTGGGTACACCCATTACGTGTGCGGTACATGTGAAAAGTGCTTGAGCGGTATGTGTTGATGGGAACATTCAAGCAGCGAGGAACCTGAAAGCTGACCTGTTCAACTTGGTTAGGTTGGGACCAATATTGCGAGAACAAGAAAGAATATGGCAGCCACGATCACGATCTTGGATCATTCAGCGAGGGTGTCGTTTGGGATGCCGGCTGCGTCGTCCCCATTCCCGATGGATATGACTCGGCTGATGCGGCGCCGTTGATGTGTGCTGGTGCAACTGTTTGGACTGTCCTGACCGAGTACGGTGTTCGCCCTACCGACCGCGTTGCAGTGATGGGCATTGGTGGTCTGGGTCACCTGGCTATTAAGCTCGCTGCCGCAATGGGGTGCCACGTCGTCGTCCTGTCAAGCTCCGAGGCCAAGCGTGCGGAGGCCATGTCCTTCGGTGCCTCCGAATATCACGTCTTCAAGGCCGGTCAAGAGATTAAGGACTTCAAGCCCGTGAATCATCTCCTGCTCTGCGGCAGTGCCAGCGTCGACTATGACTCGTGAGTTTGGAAACCTTCTTATCATGCAAGGACAAAGAACTAACATTTGAAACTTCAGCCTGTTGCCCTTGATGGATGTCCATGGATCCATCTACCCACTGACCGTTGACCTGACTCCCTCGCCCGTCCCTCTGCTTAGGATGAACCTCAAGGGTATCCGTGTCCAGGGCTCTCTCGTCGCATCTCGCCGCAGTCTGCGCTCTCTGGTGCAGTTCGTTGCCGATAAGAAGATTACTCCGACCACGATGACTTTCCCCCTGGACCGAGAGGGAGTTGAGAAGGCCCTGCAGACCCTTCGTGACGGCAAGATGAGATACCGTGGTGTGCTCGTTCGTCAGTAAATATCGAGCACCGTATGTGAGGTTTAGAATAGACTATGAGTGATATAACATAGCAAAGTGTCAATATATGGCAATAATGAATCCGCATGTTTGATGAGAGATCAAAGCCAGAGAAAGTCTTGGCACGAGCTTCGAAGTATACTTCCTTCTCCTCCCTTTGCTTCATGATACTGCTTAATTCACCGCCCGCTTGTTATTGTTGATAATATCGGTGAAATTGGAGTTGCTTCCGTTTATCCTTTCATTTATCCTTTACGCGTCGTTCCGTATCTGACGTACACTTTTCTTCTCACCTTCAACATACCCTTCCTTCATCATGTTACTACCTTCGGACTCAAGTGATCCCTTTACTTCTCGGTGATTAATTCCTCAAATATCTCCCTTGTGATCTTCTTTATGCCTGTGAGAAGTCGAATCTTGCTGACTTCTAGCAGTGAAGTAAACGTGGCAGTCCCTTCCCTGGACCAACCGCCCTTGGCCCCCATGTTGAACGCGCCGCTCCTAGGCATCAGTGCCGATGATCACGCAAAGGCTTGGCGCGAGACGGCATATCAGACTACCGAAGAGGGCAACTGTACCTATTGTGACCAATACGGGCATGGTCCAGCTCACTGCAGATACATCAATCCTCCTCGTCGCAACGCAAACTGGAAGCCTGACCCCAAGCTCTGGGTTTACAAGGAAGGCGCGCAAATTGACAGACAGGAAAATCGGAAGAAGACCGGGCCTGCCAATAGGAAAGTCAACTCTTTGAACCTTATCCAGTCAATCTGGGACCAGCGGTCCCAGCCCGGCGGCAAATATGTTCAGACTACGCCAGTTGTTCCCACTCAAATGGGCCCAATGGTTAATACTCCGATGGCACCAGCACTGACAACTCGAATGACTCCGGGAGTTGCAATCCAAATTGCTCCTCCCAAAGATTTCCCACCATACGAAAACAACACTGAGTCGTTTGATCTAGTTGCCTTGCCAATTAACCAGGTCGCCACCTCGAACATCCCTCAGCATCGTTGGGCAGTCATCCTAGGTTACTTTCATCATATCGCCAACAGCAAAGACTGCTTTATCGATTATCATGAGTACACCCCAGGAGAGATACCTTACCGATTCCGTGACCAGACTGGTACCCTCCGAACTACGCTCGGCGTCGGGCGAGTCAGGATCAATCTGTCGGTTATGATGAGCTACTATGGTGAGCTCATCCTGAACGCCGTCTATTGCCCCGGCCTGCCTTTCAACATCATGTCCTTGGAAATGGCCAGTCGGACAATGAATCTGTTCTACTCCGTTCCGACTTACACTATGCGCGACATCTCAACAAACCAAGTGGTGGCAAGTACCTTTGAGCAGAACTTTATGCTCTTCCTCCACACGACCCACGACTTGATCTCGTGAAGAATATCTGAGAAACTTCGGAGATTATTCACTTCCCCCGGATTGTCCATTGAAAGTATCTACGATCGCGATCGCCCCCACCATGTGGTGGCTGGTGATCTCGTAGGCTCATCTTAGCTACTGTTCATAGGCATGAAATAGATGTCCAATCTTTTGAATTCACCGAACCTTGCTTTCTCGTATTTGAAACCGTAGTGTAACACCCATCAGCTATACCGCCTCGCTGTTTTCCACGGTGCGTACTTTGAATGCATGAGACGTCTTCCCCGTCACAACTCCTCTGGTGTTCTTAATATCGGGACAATGGAACCGGGAAAGTGCCTGCCGCATCTCCGGCTCGCCGATCTGAAGCTGTTCCAGAATCTCTGCAACCGCAGAGGACAGAATCTGGATGTTGCCATCCTCGATCTTCACAGCTATTCCAAGCGCACCTTCAGCTCCAAGCTTCCTGGTCCACTCCGTCTGTTTCACGCCAATTCCATAACAACCGTCCGCTCCAATCTTGCCAATCACCAAGCCTTTGAAGGATCTCATGAGCTCCGTGCAGAAACGGTCATCACCGGCGACAAGCTCGGGATATGTAGACATGGCGTGGAATACCTTGCTTAGTGCCCGCATCCTGGGCGTAGTCCCAGCCGCGTTAGATTCCACTTGACTGGCTCCATCGGCAAAGACGGCATACATGCGAGCCAAGCAATGCAAGGGAAAAGCCGGTGCTGGAAGATTGCAACCGTCGACACCCCATAATGACCTATTTGCCTTGGCCTCAAGATGACATATTTCATCCACAGCCTGCCTGACCCGAACTTGCATGGGATTGGTCGACAGATGGTAGGTTCCCACATCCGCACCGAGAGCCTTCGTCCCGGCCAGCATCCCAGCATGCTTTCCAGAACAATTACTGTAGACCGGAGTCGGGGTGAAATCCGCCTTGATCCAGGAGCGATTCACAAAATCCGAAATCGCGGGATGAGGACCGCATTGCAGGTCCTCTTCGCTGCATTGTATCTTCGACAAGATATTTCGGGCTCGAGTAATATGGCGGTCTTCGCTGCTGTGCGATGCGCACATCAAGGCCAAATCGGCATCGTCGAGGTTGAATTTCTGCAGGGCACCAGTTTCATAAATGACCAAGGCTTGGGCGGGCTTGGCTGCGGATCGGGCAAGGGTAATCCTTGACGGATCACCAACGGCGAATAAAAGACGGCCTCTGGCGTCGACGATGGCGGCGTGGACACCGTGACGGTTTTCCACCACGCCTGCCCGATCAGTGATCACACAATCAGTGGAGAAAAGCGTGCGCATCACAGGTCGATATTTGCTTTGAGATGACAGTGAGCTTAGCTTTGCCCCGCGAATACTATTGTCGTGGTACTGTTGTTGTCCCGCAGGGCAGACTTTACTGTGTGCTGATTGCGATCGGCAACTCCCGACGGCGACCGAGTCTTTCCTAATGTAACTGTGCCAGAGAATAACCCTCCAAGCTTGCACTCCTCCAACGTGTAAAAAGGGAAGCAAAAGTTTTATAAGTCCAGTCTAGTGAGTCATATTATACTAAAGTGGGATGATTTTCCCCCGCAGTCCTCGTATGCGAGCATGAATGTCCGTGTTATTCCGGTGCTAGGCGACCACGGACGCTTAGACCCCGAATTCGGCAATTTGAGGCCAATCTCGGCTTAGATTCGATCATGTAGTGTCATTATCAAGATACGTGCCTGGAGGTAGACTAGCATTCCCGGTGGAAGCGATTCAAGCTCTACAAGACCGTTGCACAACTGGGAACACCTTCCACTTCAGCGGTGGCATGTATATACCACGATTCATCCAAATTCTTCTTCCAACTTGAATAAGCACAATCTGACACATCACGCTTGAATCCCCGGAAATGCAAGCTACAACGACAGCGCGAGTCTATTGCTTTGGGAGGAGATGATAAATGCTACCACGCAACTGACGGGTCTTCAAGCTGTTATGGTAATTCTTTCTCCAGGGCGAGAGGAATCCCACGAGGTGCACGTCTTACTGGACGTACGTCTGGGTGTTCAATACCCGATATTAAAGATCTTTACGAGCATGAATGTCCCGGTCGACTGTAAGGGTCTAGTATAACCCGTGAATTCAGAGTTGGGAATGGTGTTTGGGTGATTGCTACAAAGCACATATCGAATATTCGGTAATGCAGGATGCAATTAGACAAGATATCTAACTCTTTAACGAAACCCATCAAAATAATCGCTCTATTCATATCCCATGCAAGTCTAAAACGTAAAGAAAAGTCGCTGTCTTTCCCAAATGCACGCCGAATCAACAAGAACACGCTAGCTAAAACCCATAAAGAAAACGCTCACAAGATAAATCCGAAATTATATGCATCATGACGGCAACAAATGAAGAAAAAAAGAAACAAGCATGTAAATGCCAGAATATGCGAAAAAGATTATTTCCCCCCCAAAAATGTATAGAGAAGTCCACCCCCCGAGAAGCTAGAAGCTGAACAACCCAGTTCGCTTCTTACCAAACGGATAAACCACCAGGGCAGCAAGGAACAAGCCCACGGTAATGCCGATAGCAACCTGAATCATACCAAAGCCCAGACTCGCGACCGAGGTATCCGACAAGCTGTTCGTGGAAGTACTATTCCCCGAAGTCTCCAGATTATGACGAACCTCGTCCGCATACTGAATTCCAGCTATGAGCGAGCCACTTGACGCCAGACCGGATGGCACCAGCACAAAGATACCAGGTAAGATAGCAGTCGCAGCATGGCCATGCCAGATGCGACTGTACAAATTACCCAGGACACCTATCGTGAACGCGCCGACGGTATTTGCGACTTCGGACTGGGTGCCGAGCTTGGTTGTGCTGAAGTAATTGGTGATGTACCCCGAGACGGCGATGAAGACCATGACCGGCATCTGTTTCCATTTACCATGGTTGACGATGGCGAGGAAGATGGCGTAGACGGCGACGAAGGGGAATTGCCGGGCGTACGCGGAGCCGTAGATGTCGAGATTTGAGCAGGTCGTTGCCGAGGTGGCGTTGCCATCAATGAGGCCGTATATCGTCGTCCCGACAGTAATGCCGTAGCCAAGGAAGAGGGAGTAGATTATTGCGTAGACCATGCGGATAGAGCCCGCGATCATTTGGTGGGATTGTAGTTCCAGACTGCTGCAGAGGACCATGAAGCCTGGCAGGATGAGGGCGATGGAGGATTGAGCGAGGGCAGAGAAGCAGAAAAGTACTTCTTGTTCGCCGTTACGGGTAACTTTGATGCTTCCTAAGGCGCGGGCGAGGAAGGATGTTAGGACTGCGGCGGTGACTTCGAAGACGTTGGAGTAGAGCACGGAGCGAGGAGCGAGGACGTGCTGCATGAGCCCGACTAGACAGCCCAGACAGAAAATAACGGGCATGTCGATAGGTCGGGCACTGAAGGCAAAGGGGCCGACGGTTGCACTGGCTAGGCCGTACGTGAGAACGAGGATCCACTTGTTGAAGCGTGGCTTTCGCGACATGATCTCGTCTAGCTCTTGGGATGCTTCTTCAACGCCGATGAGATCGTGCACCACGTTTTTGTACACGTTGTGCGTATCGGCCAGACGACCCAGGTCAACGCCCTGTACCATACGCACCAGCTTCACCTCGGCCGTGCGGGTGGTCGGGTCATCAAAAGACATGATCATACACCCGGGAAGATACAAAAATTGACCCGAGACTTCGAGGACGCGGGCCGTCATCTGCATATACTCCTCGAGGCGATGCGTGGGTGCACCGTAGCGCATCAACGCACGACACAGCTGCATGATATATCGCTGCCGAGCCAAAATCTCCGCAATATGCACGGTAACACGAATCTCATCCTCCAGCCGAGTCCGACGCTTACTCTTCTTGTGCCTCTTCCCGGGGTATAACGAACCTGCCGCACCGGCCGGGAGACTCGTACTACTAAGGTTCATCGAGGCATCGATGAGGGAGGAAGTTGATCTATGCGCCGACTTCTTATACCACTTGATCTTTTCCTTGCGGGGGGTGGTCGCGCCAGAAGTCGGCGCGGATGGGGCAATGGTTGGTGAAAGCGATCCGATTCCCTTGGGCGTGGCCATTCCCGAAGAAACCTGCGTATCGCTATCCGAGTCATCAGTAATGACGCTCTCCGGCCGCGACGAGTTCGTCTGACTAGCATGCAACTTCAACAGCTGCGAGAGGATCCCACTACCACCGGCGAACCCACCGCTCGACCGACGCCGAGCAGCAAAGTCCTTCAACATACCCTCGGGAGTAGTCTGACCAGACCGCTGGTACGCACCGCGAGGACGACGCTTCCGCAGGGCCAGATTATCCTGGGCCTGGGTCATGCTGCGCACCAGACGATGCGCCTCCGCGCTGGGCGGGGGCTCAAGCGGTTCCTCGCCGGCTTCCAGCATGCGTAGACGATCCACCTCGCGACGAGCACGACGAGCCTGTAATTCTTCCATGGGAATGCCGAGATCATCCGGCAGGATTGACGCACTCAGCGCCTCACCGTCGTCCGCCGGACGACCCAGACGTTCGGTCAATCGCACGGTTTTCTGGCGCAGAAGCTGACCCGCAGCTCGGAAGCGGTCGAGCGCCGGATGGGCATGCTCGACATCCTGATCCCGATGCTCTCGTTTCTCGGGATCGACAGGGAGAGGATCATTGTCATTGTGCGGCGGGCGACCGCCTGCACGGCCCGCGTGGCGCGAGAATGTCGGGGCTGGCGGGGTGACGCTTCCGGACAACGGGATCTCGGTCAGGTCTGCGGGCGGCGGCAACAATGGATGCTGTGCAGCGTCGGACGGGTCCGAGTAACCTCGGTGAGAACCGTCGTGCAGATGATGGTATCGTTCACTTATAGAGCGACTGATTGAACGAAAGCGCACGCGTGGCGATCGAATTCGTGGTTGTTCGGTTTCGGCAGCAGGGAGTGGTGGTGAAGCTTGGGGCTGGGGATCGGCGAGTCCAGTCTCGTATTGATGGGCATCGACGGTGTTTTCACGCTCCAGACTTTGGCGACTGGAGTGGGTTATCGGGTCAACTGGGTCGATTGCAGGGAGAGGAAATTCGGCATATTCTTCGTTGGGGCTGGGGTGAGGAGCATAGATTGGGTCGGACATGCCAGCGAGCAATCAGGGCCGAGGAGCCCGAGAAGGCGAAACAAATGGCAATACTTGGTCCAGTCGAGAGATGGTAGAGGAAGAGAACTACAGATGCAAATATAAAAAACGTAATGGACAGATGACGGGATATGCAAGAGGGTATAAGGACAATAAGAAAGTGGACGGTGGAACGAAGAATAAGCACGATGGGTGTGGGTGGATCAAGAGGGGAGAACCCGAGTCAACATTAAAAGTTCGACCAGCTAGCTAAGTCACAGTCGAGATGATTCAATGACACATTCCAGACCGTTCGGGGAGGAGAACGAAGGATCCACGGAACCAGCCTGTTGTGCTGGTTTCTTTGGCTCTCGTTCGAGAGTCGCCGGTAGCCACAAGAGGATCGACCGAAGATCCACCGACTAAACGTATCCACGATAAGAACAGCTCGGTGGGTTTATACTGTACTAGCCGTAACCAGCCGTAATGCTCACAAGGATATTCTTCTGATCTCTAGAATGGTCCAAGCGGTGCTCGGGCCAACTGCATGACACTCGCGCATCATCGTGGCTAATTCAACTGGCCAGTCAGAAATGTCCCGAGGACTTGACGCACATTCGGTGCCTGCAGAGATTTCTCTTCTGGCCAGCTTTGGCTGCGGCTTTTTATCCAACCAACACCGGGACTCTCTTTATCGCCGAACTATATACGGACCACGGAGTACTGTATACCGTTTTATCAGACAATAGCCAGATTCCCGATCGTTGCATCATCGCCCCCCCCCCCCTGCCACCCTTCCCCAAGACAGGATTCGTAATCTTTCATCACGCGAGAAATCACCATTTTTATTCGTAGATACCTGCAAGGACAGGGCAGCTCACATACGTTCTAGAATCCCACACACGTACACCACTTGGTACATCATACCGACCGAGTGGGGTTCGCTAGTTGGGTGGCGATCCAGCTTGGCGCTTCCAATTTTCCCCTACTATCCTAGAAGGACTTCTTTCTAGCTTGGGTCTTGGGCATTTAAGGGGGCCCTTGAACCATTCCTCAAGTGGCACCGCGACCATCCGGTTCGTTCCTAATTGACTAGGAGCCGATTATTTTATTTCTTCCCGCGGGTTCGGACAAACTTTAACGGATCTAGCCACTCCGGCTAAACTCCCTATCCTAGAAGGACCCTAAGTTAGTTCCCGGTCTAGTCTGGTTCTCGAACGAAAAAAGTCACGATTAAATGGACCCTGCCCTTATCAAACATCGTTGGGCTGCATTCGGAGCGGGGCAAGTATAGTACCCACGATCAAGATTGGCATACATCAGCAGTGTAAGCCACCTCCTGGAAATTGGTCCTTGCGAGGAAAGGGGAGATAAATAGCACATATGACAGCGTGATGATCCACCGCGATGGGATCATCGTGGAGACTGCAGTGCTGATAGTTGCTCGGTCGGGCGAGGGAGGCGAAATGGTGGAAGGCGGCGAAAGGGAAAAGTGGAGCGGGCGGTTAGAAAGGTCTGGTAAACAATTTAAACATAGAAATAAACCAGTCACGACTTTGGGCGTACTGACATGGCCACAAAAAAAACACGAATGAGTAAAGTACAAATCGAATTGCCCCCGCCCGGATAATCCGACAGAGAAGCTTAAGAAAAAAACAAAAAAAAAAAAAAAAGACAAAAACTTCTCCCAAGAAGACGGTACTCTATCATAACTAGAATAGAAACAAAGTGATTTTCCACGTGGCGATCTATTTGGGTAATGAAAGTCGTTCATCTCGTCATCCCAATATATGAGAAACTATACTCGATCATGTAGATAATTGTTTCAATTCCAATTTGCTGCCATTATTAGAATCGTTCTTTCCTACCACTGATAGCAGACTGCCCTTGGATCTGAATACTTGTCCATTCTTCCAGACCTCGACAGGCCATCAAGAGGAGCAGAAAGTGGGTCCGACAGAGACCAGCTGATCGATGGAAAATTCTCCTTCCCGCTGGTAGAAGCCCACTTAAGGTACCAAACACCGATAGATAACACATAAGATAGGGGGGAAGAAACATCAAGGTCTGGAAACAAGGAACCTCGATATCCACCCAGCAGCAGTCATGCATATCAAATCACCCTCGCACGGTCCCACCGAAGCTCCCTTTCGCCCAAGCGCCAATAAGAAGTAAAATTCATGCTCCATCGTCGTCGCAACACCTTCCCTACCCAACCATGATACCAGCATCTCCCTTCCCGTAGAAAGCTTCCCAAACGGAGAATCTCAGCTACTCCTCCCTCTTCTTCTTCGGCAAAGTCCAACCATTCAAATACCCCACCCCGGCATTCAAATACGCTGCATACCCCAACCACCCCAGATACGGCGCCATCAGCCAGAAAGCCGTCCGATCGGCATCCCACCAATTCGCCAGCAAAAGTGACACGTTGCCAATCAGCAGGGCCATGTCACCCAGCGCAGTCGCCGGCCGACCCAGCCCGAAGAAGAGCGGCATCCAGATAAAGTTCAGTCCGAGCTGAGTGGTGTAGAGGGTTTGGGCGGAGCGGTTAGCTTCGTGGACGGCCGGGATGAGAGATTGTGAGGCGAGGGCTGTTGCGTGGTGTGATGCGTAGCCCATTAGACCGTAGAGAAGTGTCCAGGCCGGGCCGAAGAGCCAGGCGGGGGGACTGAAGGGGGGTTGGCGAAGGGTTGTGTAGGTTTCTTTGGTGTTTGAGCCTGAATGGTGTTAGTAAGGGGGGTTGTAGATTGAGGTTACTAAGTGTGCTTCGCCATGTTATAGCACTTGCTATACATGACACTACCCGGTTATCTGGAGTAGTAGTGGTTGGGATGGTACGTACGATTAGTGAGCAGCGCAGACGTCGTGCCCACGGCAATGGGCGTCGCGATCGCCAAAAGCGGCGACGTGAAGATAGCCTGAGGCAAAGCGAATGACCACGGCATACTGTCGATATGATATGATAGAGAGTTGTCGAACTGAAACTGGAACTCCGGTGATCCCCCGAGGAAAGCGTGGCAGCGACGATCTTAAGAACGCAGAGGTATCCTGGGATTGGAGCTCCTGAGCTCGATCGAGATCTGAATATGATCGGTGGCTATGACGTCATTGGCGTGCCTCGGCAGGTGGAAGCCACCTTCGCTTAGAGCACGATGCTACTAAAGGGGGGTTGTCAGGGACGAACTAGAGGATTGCAGGTGGGCATCGTGGGGGATTATTGCTGGTGCCTGTGATCAGACAGGCTGTGGGATTTGAGATCGTAATGCGACGCGTGGTCGTGTCGTCTGGCACTGTGTTCTCTACAGCAGGAGTCGCGAATCCCCAGTCTCCACCAACACGGATCTCCAAGAGATAGAAGATTCCACCTGGTCATATTCTCATACTCAAGTACAGCTGCAACTGATTTTAGCGACTCGATTCTGCATCAATTATTGTTGTTTGATGGCAGTGGTTGCCTGAGAAATCGCTCGATGGTCAACAAGATGATCTCAAATTATCCCGTTCTGCATATAAGCTTATTTCGGGCTGCCCGCCAATCAGATCTCCCAGCTTGACTTACAATGCAACACATGACTACCAAGCTTAGGGCTCACTGGAATTTCATACTCAAAGACTTGATTTTCTAGTCTTTTGTTCTTATCCTAGACAGAAAAATTTTCAATCAGAAATATGGGTGCCTGGATAAACTTCGTTGCCAAAACACCGAATGTGTAACTTGATGCAGTCTGCAACGTGCTGGGTCATCACGGGGACTTCTTCGACAGACCAGCATGCCATTGTAGGTCAATATGGTATTCTAGCGAGGCATACAAATCACCGACAAGAATAATCCTCCAAGCAATGAGAAATGGGTGCCTACTAGCTTAGAACCGCTGGCCTATAAAGTAGTTACGCTGATAGTACCCCGTATCAGCAAAGAGGTCAGCTAAAAACCCACCTAGGTTGTAGGCATCACCGGCGACTTTTCAGTTCAAGTCCTCGCAAAATGCTACTAAGACTTCTGTGCCTCCACGGCTGGGGAACAAGTGAGAAAGTCCGTTTACCTTTGCCCAAAGTATCCCACAAAACTGACACTTACTTCCAGATACTACGCTCACAACTAAGTAGGAACAACCCTATTGTTTCCCAAAAGGGATGCCCTTCTAATGGACCGTACCATCTTATTTAGGCGGGCTAACCGGAGATTTACAACGCGACAACACGGCCACATTCCACTTCCTAGAAGGCGAGCTCGACTCCGAACCCGGTCCTGGTATCGCAGGACTCTACGAAGGCCCGTACTACAGCTACTACCGATTCCCACGGAGCTTTTCCGTAACTGACGATGACGACTCCGACATCCTCGCCGCCTACGACCAGCTCGACGAAGCAATCACCTTGCACGGACCCTTCGACGGGGTTCTAGGATTCTCGCACGGCGGCACCCTCGCCGCGGGATATCTAATCCACCGTGCGAAAATGTCGCCGGGAGAGACACCGCCGTTTCGGTGTGCGATCTTTGTCAACTCGTTGCCTCCGTTTCGGATGCATCCTGGTCAGAGGCCGGTGATTGAGGAGGGTTTGGAAGGGTGGATTCGGCTTCCGGTGGTGAATATTGCCGGGGCGAAGGATTCGTTGTTCGAGTTTTCGTTGGCGCTGCATCGGATTTGCGATCAGCGGTGTTCGAGTTTTGTTGTCCATGGCAAGGGTCATGATATTCCGCTGGATGCGGAGAATGTTGCTATTATGGCGGGTGCTATTCGGAAGCTTTCGATTAAGCTGTTAGGAAATTGGTGAAAGGGGAGCAGGCGAAGCAGTTGATTATCGTCATTGCTGGGCAAGCAAGGATGCCGAGAGCTGGATTGTTGGCTTCTCTGGTGTATAAATCAGGCAGAACATTTTCGTGAAAAATCCTATATTCCTGTATGACTCTTGACGTTGCAAGACGGTGACTTTCAACAGAGACCATTTAGTGAGAGGTTATTCAATATCAAATTAGCCGATCAGAAAGACACTAGGCTTTGTGGAAAAGCTGACAGTTATGGTCGTAAGCCTTTTACTTTGATCCTCTTTCGAGCGTGATCTCCTCAACCCTACACCAACCCAAGTCTAGACTTTCTTTGCCAACACAGAAACTATGAAGGAGATTCCCATCATCCTGGAGACGACCGGCTCCGAAATTTTTGAAGAGTATGTTACTCAGTCAAACATCGGAGATGGCGAGCCCTCGAAAGGCCGACACGATGACCATCCAATTCTCATGGAAGATGCATCCATGCCGATAGCCGTGATAGGAATGGGATTTCGTGGGCCTGCGGATGCAACAGACACAAATAGATTATGGCAAATGATTCTTGAAAAACGGGAAGCCTGGTCGCCAATTCCCAAGGACCGATGGAACAACAAAGCATTTTATCATCCAGATCATGCTCGGCATGGTACGGTGAGTGGCAAATGGAGTGTTCGTTGAATGGGTACATAATTATTGACTCGATTTTTAGATCAATGTAGATGGGGGCAATTTCATTGCGGAAGACTTGTCATTGTTTGATGCGCCGTTCTTCAACATGACAAGTGATGAAGCAGCAGTAAGAAACTATACTCACATTGAATATTTCGGAAGTTGACAAATAACAGTCTATGGATCCTCAACAAAGGTTGTTATTGGAGGTCACGTATGAAAGTCTAGAGAACGGTGAGAGCCCAAATGAGCAAATGGACACATGGAATTTTGAATGCTAATATATCCAAGCCGGTATTCCGCTGGCCCGAGTGACTGGCACTCAAACTTCATGTTTTGTGGGGTCATTCTGCGCAGACTATACCGATCTACTTCTTCGAGACCCCGAGTGCGTGCCAATGTACCAGTGCACAAATGCCGGCCAATCTCGTGCGATGATGGCAAATAGAGTACCATACTTCTTCGACCTAAAAGGTTCCAGTGTCACAGTGGATACAGCTTGCTCTGGTAGTTTGGTGGCCCTGCACCTTGCGTGTCAGAGTCTGCGCACGGGAGATGCATCCATGGCGATCGCTGCAGGCGTGAACTTGATTCTAAGCCATGAGTTTATGTCTACGATGAGTATGATGAGGTAAGAGTCAACCGCCAGCTAACTAGTTCGAAGTCTTCCTGACTAATGGAGGGTAGATTCCTCTCCCCGGACGGGCGATGCCATACGTTTGATGAAAAAGCAAGCGGATATGCACGTGGTGAGGCAATAGCTTGCCTCATACTGAAACCGCTGGCTAGCGCACTACGCGATGGGGACACAATTCGAGCAGTCATCCGCGGAACGGGATCAAATCATGATGGCCGCACGCCGGGAATCACTCTGCCGAGTCAAGCTGCCCAGGAAGCACTGATCCGAGACGTCTACGCTCGAGCTGGCCTTTGCCCAACTGAAACGGAAGTTGTTGAGGCGCATGGAACAGGTACACAAGCTGGTGATCCGGTTGAGATTGGTGCTATAGCCACATCTTTTGAGCTTGGACATGATCCGGATCGTATACTGCGGATTGGGTCAATTAAAACAAACGTTGGCCACGTCGAGGGGGCGAGTGGAGTGGCCGGCGTTATCAAGGCCATCTTGATGTTAGAGAATCGGGTCATTTTACCGAGTCGGAATTTTGAGACACCAAATCCGCGAATCGCATTTGAGGAGTGGAATTTGAAGGTGAGTCAAGTTTTGTTCTACTCGTGACCCTTTCATACTAACATCTATAGGTTCCTCAAGTCCCAGAACCGTGGGATACACCTGGGCCACATCGAGTATCAGTCAACAGCTTTGGCTACGGCGGTAGCAATGCTCACGTTATTGTGGAGGATGCTCAGGGATATCTATCAGAGCGTGGGCTACAGCGATGGTTTCGAGCTCCGTCACAAATCACGCGAAAACGACATCTCGTCCACGAATACGTCGAATGCCCTGACTCTCCGCAACAAAGAGTTTTCATGATATCTGCATTTGACGAGCCATCTTGCAAGTCCGAGATTGCGACTCTACGAGATTACCTAGAGTCAAATAAGGATCTTATTCGGGATGACTTCTTGGATGATCTGGCTTTTACACTCAACGAGAAACGGACGAGTTTCATGTGGAAGACCGCCGTGATAGGCTCGTCAGTTACGGACCTGTGCCATTCGCTCTCAGACAGCCTGAAGATTCGGTGCTCAGCTCAGAGACCTACTCTAGCATTTGTGTTCACTGGACAAGGGGCACAATGGGTGGGGATGGGCAAAGAGTTGCTTCACACATATCCGGCGTTTTCAGAGTCAATATCCAGGATCGATAAGTATCTAGCAGAGCTCGGGGCTCCGTTCTACGTGTTCGGTGGGTTAATTATTTCATCCTCGTGACATCTGTAACTTGACTGAGAGCTGAATGTCTTAATTAGAGGAACTTTCCAGAAGTCCAGAGGACTCTCAATTGAACCACCCGCTCCTGAGTCAAGCCATCTGCTCAGCTTTACAAATAGCTCTTGTTGACCTTCTTGCATCGTGGAACATATATCCTGAATCAGTGACTGGTCACTCTAGTGGCGAAATTGCTGCTGCATATGCTTGCGGTGCTCTCACCATGGCAGATGCTATGGCAGTGGCGTATTTCCGAGGCATAGCTGCAAGCCAACTTCTCATCTCTCCGAATATCAAAGGGTCAATGATTGCCGTTGGGATGTCCGATGAGGCGACCCGGGTATACCTGAGGAAACTAAGCTCTGGAAAAGCTGGAGTGGCTTGCATCAACAGTCCATCCAGTGTGACTGTTTCCGGCGATGAAACTGCTATTGATGAGCTGGTAGAAATGTTGAAAGATAAATCTGTGTTTTTCCGCCGTCTAGCAGTCGACGTTGCGTACCATTCGCACCATATGGAAATTGCCGCCAATGAGTATCTCAGTTCTATTGAGCACATTTCCCCTCGCCATGACCACACACTCGCATCGCAACTTGGAAAAATTGCCGTTTTCTCATCCGTCACGGGATCCGAGATACGACCTAGCGAGATGGGACCTCAGTACTGGGTGTCAAACCTCTTGGGGCAGGTAAAGTTCTCCGAGGCTCTCAGGAATTTATGTTTTATGACAGACAGTCATCAAAATGTGGCGAATCTGATTTCCAGAAGAAGAGAAAAGCAAAAAGGCGCTGCACAAAAACCTTGCGTGGATTGCTTGCTGGAGATTGGACCACATTCTGCACTTGCTGGCCCAATAAAGCAGATAATACAAGAGGACACTAAGCTTCGAACAGCGGATATCACTTACCTGAGTATGCTTTCTAGAAAGACTGATGCCGTTTCTTCAGCTCTGGCAGCGGTATCTGTCTTGGCAACAATGAGCTACCCAGTGAATTTTGGAGCAGTGAATGTCCCCAAAAGCGACGGAGTCGCACTTAAACCACGGCTTGTTGTGGACATGCCATCCTACAGATGGAATCATACACGATCTTATTGGGCGGAGCCACGACTAAGCAAGACCTATCGAAATCGCGAATATCCTCGTACGGACCTACTCGGTGCACCGGAAAACATGGCCTGTCCATTTGAAAGGCGATGGAGAAACTACATCCGAACTTCAGAAATACCCTGGCTTCAAGATCACAGAATTCAGTCAGACATAATATTCCCTGCCGCTGGATATATTGCCATGGCAATAGAAGCAGTCATACAACTGATAAATGATATCAATAATGCTGAGGAATTTATAATACAAGATGTTCATATACGCTCCGCGCTGATTGTGCCGGAAGAATCAGGGATCGAAGTGATGACTTCTTTACGAGACTCTGACAAGGGTTCAAAAGATGAGACAGACCAACGGTACGAGTTCCGTATCTACTCGGTGACTCATGAAAATCAGTGGACGGAAAATTGTGCTGGGATCATCGGTACTCAAACTGATTCGAGCCTTAACGATGATGAAACCTTCATGGACCTCGACGGGTTTGCGACCGCGCCTACGACCAACAACACGAGAAATATTTCCGTCATTGACATCCCCCAACTCTATCAAACTCTGCATCAGGTTGGCTTAGAGTATGGACCATGCTTTTCAAATTTGACATGTGTTCATACAACTCAGCATGGAGTCTGCTTTGCTGAAGTCATCATTCCTGATACTCGAGCTGTCATGCCAATGAACTTTGAGAACCCAGCCATAATTCACCCGTGTACCCTTGACAGCATATTTCATACCATATTTGCTGCGTTGCCCGAGAACATGGACCTTGAGGCCGGTTCCCTTATTCCAGTCTCATTCGAGACGGTAAAGGTTTCTCGTCGAATTCAGAGATCAGCTGGGCAAATGCTCAGTATATGCACGCACGTTCAACCTGGGGTGAAAAATACCCTCTTGGCCTCAATAATCGCAACAGATAATTTTGACGGGTTGAGCAGCATGAAACCAAAACTAGCCATTCATGGGCTTCGTTGTGCCCGCCTACAAGGATCCTCAAAGCATATCGGTAACAATAAAGATATCCCCATCGCGTACGGCATCGAGTGGCAGGCAGACCCAGGCTTTATTACCAGAGACAATGCAGCATTTCTGATCCAGCGGCAAGATATAGTTCCAAGCCAGTCGCATCCCTTACAAGCATCATGTGAGAGGTATACAGCTGGCATTATCAAAGACGCAATCGCAAACTTATCCGGCGAGAGTAAAGAGACACTTGACCCTATGTACCCCAGATACCGAGCTGATCTCGTGGCTCTTCTTCACGCACATGATAAGAGCCGTCAAATTCATCCATCCAACGGGTTTGAGTCGCTGCAAAAGGAGGAGATGGGTGTTTCGAGCCATGTAAAAGCCTTGCTTCGCGTTATTTCTTCCCATCTCTCTTCGTTGCCCCCACAAAACCTGGAGGGCTTCAAGGAAACTCAGAGAGAATTATGGAACGCATACCAAGAGCTCATTACCGAGGATCTGGCATATACTACGGCGGCAAAGTACGTTGGCCTTGTTGGCAACAAAAAGCCCGACATCTCGGTTCTGGAAATCAGCGATGGAGGAGACCGACCACATACCTTGTTCTTGGAAGAATTGGCTCCACGCCCCGGTGGTGATAAGGACAGAGTGCCCCACTGTGCAAAATATACATTTGCGCTCAGAGACGAGAACCAAAGCGATCAAGCGAGAGCACATCTCAGTCGTTGGGAGGACATGGTGAGCCTTGAGAACCTAGATCAAAACCCCGACCTTTCTGAGCGGGAACTGAGCCAAAATGTCTACGATGTCATTATTGCCCCGAACTTCTTCTACTCGAGGCAATACGTCAAGAAGGAACTTCTCAAAATTAGGTCAATCTTGAAGCCATCCGGCTATTTGATCCTACCTGGTACCCTCCAGCCGAAGAGAAGCCTGTTGGATGCTCTTTTGGTTACTACTTTCTATCATTGGCCGCATGAATCGACCAAGTCCTTCATTCAAAGTGAAAATATGAAGGGAGAGACTCTCCTTGAAGCCGGTTTCAAAGCAGAGGACATTTTGGAAGAGGGCTTGATTGTTTGCCGCTTACAGGATGAACCGAAACCATCCGACAAAAAGATACTGGTTATCTGTGGAGATAATGATGAGACTTCGCTAAAATTCTCCGAAGCGCTGATTCAAAGATTGCCGGGCGAGACGGCTATGTCAAACATGACGGAAGCGAATACACACGGTTGTATCTGTATCGTTATCAGGGACCTGAACAAGAGCTCATTTCAAAACCCCAATGCCAGTGAATTGCAAAAATTAAAGGACATTTTCTTGCAAAGTGGTGGGGTACTGTGGGTGACCAGAGGTGGGACGATACATGCTACAGACCCCAAGGGTGGGCTTGCAGTTGGCTTCGCAAGAACAGCTCGCTCAGAATCAGGTGGTCAACCAATTATTACACTTGATCTAGATCCGCATACTCCAATACTAGATGACTCCAGGGTGAACATCATTCTCGATATTATGAAGACTCATTTCTTCCGAGAAAGTCCGCCAGAAAGCGACACCGAATATGCGGAGCGAGATGGAGTTGTCCTGCTTCCTCGGGTGGTAGTTCAAGGTGACTTGAATCGCAACATGAAGATGATGAACAAGGCACGGGAATTTTCCCAAGAACAATTTCAGCACCCAGACAACGTCCTCTCATTGCGCAGGACTGAAGTTGGACAGGACAAAGTTTGCTTTACGGCTAGCAGGCAGAGCACGGAGATTCATGAGGGTCACATCGGCATCAAGGTTTTTGCTTTCGCCTTGAGTGAATTCGATACAATGAGTGGCAAAGAATCGTCTGATATCTTTGATACCATTGGCTTCGGATGTAGTGGAAAAGTATGCGAAGTCGGGCTTAATGTGCACGAATTCTCGGTGGGAGATCGCGTGGCTTGTCTGGGGACGGGCACGGCACGAAATTACTACTACAACCAGGCCTCAGCTTTCCAAAGGATTAAAGATGATACCCCATATGATCTTGCCGCGGCATTGCCTCTCGCATATACCGCGGCATACTGGACTGTTTATGAGGTAGCCAGAATCAGGCCTGGTGATACAGTCGTCATACAAGATGCAGCAAATTGGTACGGACTAGCGTTGACTGAGATCTGCATGCTAAACGAGTGTGAAGTCTTCGCAACTGTCTCCACCGACGCTCAGAAGGATATCATCTCAGAGAAATTCCAAATTCCTTTATGGCAGGTCTTCGTGGACGGGAAGGACAACATAGCACGGCGTCTTCTCGAGTCCACGCATGGCAGGCTTCCCGGGACCGTGTTAACATTTGCTGAGCCTGGGAGCAAGATTTTCAAGACTCTATGCAAAATTACTGCGCCATTCGGCCATGTAATTCACCTTCGGACCAAGGCACCGGATCGTTCAACTGGACATACATTACAATTAGATTTGAAGAACATCTCCTTCTCAACATTCGATATCTTCGATTTCCAACCGAACAAAAATGTCATAACCATCAAGAACTGGCCAAAGGTTATCTCTCTTTTCAACCAAGATAAATTGCGCGGGCCATCTTCCTATTCTGTGCACAGAGTGACAGACGTGGCCAATGCTTTAAAGGCTATCTCTTCGACCAATTGTGCTGTGATCGTCACAGAAAGCGATGATTTTGTACAGGTACGGTTTTGCCTCAATTGTCTGTTTGCATAGAACTCTTAACTAATGATCTCAAGGTTGCTACGGCGAACATCCCAAAGTCTCTTTTCCGAGATGACGCATCGTACCTTGTGGTGGGCGGACTCGGAGGAATTGGACGCGAGATTATTTCTTGGATGGTAGAGCATGGGGCCAGATACTTGATTCTTGTCAATCGCAGGGGCTGGGCTACAGATACGGCTCGATCTACCGTACGGCTGCTTCGTGACAAGGATGTTGAAGTGGCTGTGCGTGGGTGCGATATATCCGATGAACGGGCATTTGGCGAGATGTATAACGAAATATCGAAAGATATGCCACCTATCAGAGGCGCCATCCAGGCTGCTATGATACTCCAGGTATTTGAATCGAGTAGCCAAAATATTGTTAATAATATTTGTTGACACGAAACAGGATGTCCATATCGAGAAGATGACTGTGGAAGCCTGGAATACAGTTCTACGTCCCAAATACGCTGGTACCTTGAACCTGCATAATTACTTGCCCCGAGATCTAGACTTCTTCGTGATGTTGTCGTCCATCAGTGGTGTGATCGGGAATGCCACCCAATCCGCCTACGCGGCTGGATCCGCATTCATGGACTTTTTTGCAGCATACCGAAACACTCTAGGCTTGCCCGCGGTGTCGCTGGACCTGGGTACCGTTACAAGTGTCGGCTACCTGGCGGAAAATAAAGAGCTGGCAGCGAAAATGGCGAAACAAGGATTCCAGAGCACAGACATCAAAACAGTGCTGTCCCTCGTCCAGCTTGCCATTCTTGAACCACCCACTGGCTCTCATTCGCAGATTGTGACTGGTCTTGGAGAATGGAAACCAGGGAAGTCACTGTCTAATTTTGAAGCGCCTTTTTTTTCTCATTTCAGGAGAAGATTCCAATTTAATGGCCCGCACGAAGAGAAGTTTGACTATTCTGAGACACTACGGGAGACTCTGAGAGCCGCAAACTCTCGGGATGAGGCCATGCTGGTTGTTCTCGAGGCATTGTCTGGGAAAATTGCTTCACAGCTCAACATACCTATAGACAAACTAAGCCCAGAGAGTCTATTATCAGAATTTGGTATTGATTCAACCAACGCCGTTGAGCTACGAAATTGGATATCTAAAACGATGGAGAGCGTCGTCCCTATCCTTGAGATACTCGCGAGTGGCTCGATTGTTCAGTTGGCCGGCCAAATCACGAGTCGATCGCAGTTGCTGAATTGTCAATGACGAGGTGCCGTAGACAGAAGAGAAAAACAAAGAACGGGCAAGATGGACAGAGAAAGATGTATGTGCCAAGTGGATTTTTTGAGTCGGTGATAAAACCACTGGCCGTTCTGGTGATTTGAATGCATCTGCTGTGCAACATACTTTGAAAATCGGGGGATCTAGAACTGGAAACCCTTATTCTAGAAATAAGAGAAAAGAAATATAGACGGTAGATCTGAAAGGGACATTAACGCTGTCTCGACTTGAGGCTTTTCACGACCAGAATAATGGCATCAACATGATTTCCCGAGACTCGGGTTCTCGGGTGGCATGATTGATGTGGTAAGCCGCATAACGAAAATCGGCCGGGTACTTGCCACTTCACCAAGTCACAACGACCGAATGATTGCATGATTACCGGGCATGTCTGGTGATCTCTGCCCATTTTGAATTTTGAGTCATGGTGTAAAATAGAGAGAAATCGTGAGCTCACAAATATAATTAAGATGCATCGTCAATTTCGACGCAGCAACCAATTACCAAGGACACTTCTTAAAGCAACAACCAAGCGTGCCTATCATCATGCAGTGCACCAAGCTTATCACGAGAAACATATCGCCGGCTCTCCCTCGCAAGCGACCACAAAAATTACGACCGGTTTTGATCAAAGCGGACAATGGAAAAGTCGCATCCCACAAGCCGTCCCCCGACTCGGATCAGCTAGCTTACCGACTATGTGAGCTGTCCCTACAAAAGATGCAAAAAGAAGCAATATCATCAGAGCCTGATCTACGGCACTTCCTGGCATCATCATCTATGCAGAAAAAGGCACAACAGAACCTTCTCCAACGGCTCGATGCTCTCCAAGGCGCAGTTCCTCCATGTTCCATGCCACTTCTTCCCGGCGCAGATGAGCCTTTATTATCAGAAGATGAGATATGGGATATGAGAGAACTTGAGATAGCTGCTTCTGAGCTTGAAAAGGTGAACAGAAGAAGCGAGATTGCAAGGCTTATTTGCTTTCAGCATGCCAGCGAGATGTAATAATTTTATTTTTCACGACGATTCCCCAAAGTTAAGACGGGCTGGCGACATCCTCAGCTGTTCACAGTTGATTTTCACGAGTCCTTTTTCCAATTTTCTTCGATACCTTTGGTAACCACCTCCTATAAAAACTAGTCTTATGTACACGATTTCACATCTGGAATGGAAACATAACCCTGCATAGTCTCTAAGCTCGTTACTATCGGCCCTTGTCAGCAGAGAATAAAAGCCGGCAAGCTATTAGGGTGACGGATCATCCTTATATGCTTTGTCTGGCTGCTATACCGAAATTCTGGGCATCCCATTGCTTGTTGGCGTTACCCTACAAAGTTTTACTGACATTTCAGATCATATTTTGGACAGCCGCTGAGAAATTAGCTACCCATTTTGGCCTCTTACTTCTTTACCACTGTTTTTTTAGCGAACTGCATGCTCTGGAAGACAACAGTAGCCGCGATTTTCCATAGTCACATCAAGCCGTGACCTCTAAACTCATCGCATTTCTCGTTCTCATTCACCTCATTGCTCGCATGAATCTGGCCAGGAACATCAACGATGGCATGCATTATTTGGCTCATGGACAGGGTCTCTTTGATCCACGCCTCCAGCACCATCATTGTTCTGGTGCCCATCTTGTCACGGCGCCATGCAGCTTTCCGTCTTCTAGCCCCACTGCCCAACATTCCCTTGTGGCTAATTGACCTTGAAATTTCTACTGACCTTGGAGATTCCCAGATCACGCAGCTGAACAGCATACTTGAGCACTGTCCATCTGATCAACCATGAAGCAGTCGTGGAGTGGAGAAGCACTACTCACCTCTTCTGCGATTAAAAGCCCATCTTTTCCAGGTTGGTACATCGCCAAAAATTTCCTTGAATCCACTTTGTGTCTTCATCCCACTTTGTGCCCACAATTTTAACACCCGGAGGGGATCTGACAGTCTTCGCTACGCCAGTTCTTACCTTTGATCAGCAGTCTTTCCATGTCCGAGGCGGGCTGATGGTCGTATATCCGCTTGCTTTGGTCCACCTGATGCTCACGATTTTTTCCACTCTTAATCTCCGCAGCTCAGACAATCTCCAGTAATTTAGTTCTCATCTATCTCCGTCTCTAACTCTCCAGCGGTCCTTCAGCCTACCCCGACTTATACAATCGCCTTCACAGAGGTATTTCCTTCTATTGAACCCGCATTCTTATCGACATTTTCAGGCGGTTCCTGTGACCATCATTATTCGGCCATGGAACCAAGCTCGAATTCTACATGTGACTCGGATCCCGCGCTACAGATATGCGTCAAGTGCTGCCTTGAAAAACCAATCGAGCAATTCGTGTCAAGAACGAAAGCCAAGCGACCGACCACATGGTGCAGCGACTGTCGACACTACGGCAACGAGGTGAGGAATTATCTACTACATTCATTCCTAACCGTGCGAAAATAGTAATTTGACTTAGCAGGGCCGCAAGCGCTGGGCAGCGAGTAGGAAATTGAGGCTCGAAGGAGAGAAGAACTCTGAGTCACAAGAGAAAGTCAACAACGGGGAATCTGAGAAGGAACGAGAAGGCACAGCAACTCCAATGTTCAGCAAGAAAGCCCATCGGGTTCCTCCCAGCCGTAATCATCGGGTTCCTCCCAGCCGTAATATGGCTCCCTATATGATACCTACAGAAACCCAGCCGCACATGAACCCTGAGTCCGCGTATCCCTCGACGATCCCAGAGTGGACTCAAGTCCCAATTCCAGGCCCGACAGCAAGATATCAGATATATCCAAGCCCTGGTTACGTTCCATACATGACCCCTAGTGAGTGTTGGCCAGCTCCCTTAACCTCAATTTTTACTGATGCGGGATCTAGTACCTGGCAACTACTCTCTCCCGGGAGCACTCACAAGCTTCCAAATGGTCACACCTCCTGCTAACCCAGCCGAAATGTACCCTATGGTGTGCAACCATGGCCATGGGCCGCCAACTTCCATGATACAAAGCGCGCAATGGGTCGCACCCAACTATTTCAATGCTAAGCCTGCCGTTCAAGACAACAATGGGACGTGTACTAGCCATCCCGAAAGTCAAGCCTTCGAGCATGCTACTTCCAAAAACGAAAGCTCCCAAAAAGGAACCCCCTGTCATGGCATCTTGAATTATGGAATCCTCGATAACCGATTTTCAAACAGTACCACATCCCAGGCTGAAACCCCGGGTCCTGTGACGGTCAAGGAGAAAGATTCCGATAATGGAGACACACTGAGAGTAGTCTCCGTAAAGGGATCATCAGCGTCATCATCATCCACAGGTGTCGCAGTCAACGGACTTCGGGTCCAGTCCAATGGGTGGGAGGAAAGAAAGGAGAAGATCGGCGAAGGATGTCCAGAAGAGAAGTTTCGGGTCTCTTCTGAGGATCCTGTATCTTCGCCAGCGCTATATTTCATTTGCTTATCCTGTAGCACTCCGAGGCCAACACGCCTGGTGGATGACGGTATCTGTGTTTACTGCTTCGAATTTCCGACGCAATATTGCATCCAAGGAGGTCACGAGGTTGACAGACCCTTATTCATGGACACCGATGGGCGATTACACGAGGTTTGCAATCATTGTCGTTCTACTTCCGGGTCACCGTAGTTCATGGCTTCCCTCATATCTCAACAGGTTACTAGGCTGCGGGTTGCCCAATTCTGAGGAGGCGAACAGAATACATGATATCGGCCCGGTCGGCCACAAAGTAGCGAAGTTGTCTTGCCAGCTTTCTTCTGTGTGCACGGTGTCACTCTCATTCTTATCTTGCGTTCTGTCTCAAGGTTGCATGTCAAGCCAGCGTTCGTTCCTTCGCATATGCATATTCATGTATCTTCCAATACGAACAACGGCCAACAGAATGGGCCTGGTGGAATTGTCCTTTTGTGCCACATTCTCGCCTCTATTATCACGTAACTTATCCATGTTAGATCGATTTTCCTTCAAGGCCCGTCACGCTAGCCCCTTCCGTGGGGATAATAAGAGTGAGCTAGAGACCAGTCATCTGCATCCGGGCCTCGAGCCAAACCTCGACTCGGCACCGGAGTTAAGCAAGTAAGATCTAAGCGGGATCACCGAGTGTCGAGATCTATACGGCCCGATGACGTTCCAGCGTCTAGATCCAAGGGAGTGCAAGAGGGTCGGTTGTTAGTCGGAACTTCGGGGAGATTATTCCTCCGCATGGCGCCTACGTGAGAAGAGCGCCGATACAGAATCAAAGGACGAATCAAAGTCCGTGTTGAGATATTGTCTAGTTTCATGCTCCTATCGCGAGTGATCCATTCACCCCAAATCCTAAACGGGAAAGGTAGTTAAATATAATTCTGCGGATCATATCGTAACCCTGTCACCTAGCGGATTAGGAAACCAGTTAGTTCATTGTAAAGGAGAGTCGAGCGTGGAGCTATAGTCATGGCACGCTGGAATCCATGTTTGGGACAGGGATAGCAGGGATTGAAGACACATCCAAAGTGTAAATGCTTGAAATTTGCACATCTGATTGAAATGGTTTCTTAGAGCACCTTTGGACAGAGGACATTATATTCTTGCAGAACCAAGGACTTTATATATGGTCCACCTTACTATTTGAATATAGCAGTACAAATATTGTTTCAGGGTATACTTTTAGCAGTGTTTGATGAGCGAATCCACTTCAGAAAGAGATTTCGTCTTTCGTTCTCCGATGCCGATCCGCTGACTCAGCGGGCCGAAGTCAAAGGCCGATCTCCGTGATCGTTCAACTTCTCTCCTCGGGTAGCTTGGCATGGCGAACGCCATTGATGCGGAAGGAAGACCTTATCAATCATGCAGCAGAGTACGGAGTATGCAACCATTGCAATGACGGAAGACCGATAGCTTGCCCACCTCAGTTTTCACGGAGTAGGAGAAGCGAGCTCAAGGATATACCTTGTTGATGATATCAAACATGCCCCCAACAACATCCAGGTGGTGTGATGAGTCAGCGGAAGATGACAGCCTCCGCAAGTGCTTCCGATTGTTATCTTTGGCTCTTCGGAGGCTCCACATCATATTTGGTTCACAGAAAGAGATTTCGGACTACCCGACTGTGGGTCTACTAATGCGCAAATACTCGGCCTGAATAGGGAGCTCACGGGACAAACATGTGTCAGATTCAAGGGTCTACCATATTCAGAAACTTGCTCGCCCGTGGAGCAGGGGGCTTGACGCTGTCGATGAAGGCCGATTGATCGGGCACGGAGGCTCGGTGAGACCTCTGGCCGTGAATATCTACGTATGTCCGGACCCACTGCTTGTGATTGAAGCCGATGCCTCAACTGGGATGGCCATTATAAAACTATCAGGGCTGCCGCCTGCACGCCCCTCTTTCCATCAACACACGTCTCTCCTTCCCCTGTCTTTCGTTCAGCCATGGAGGGACACAACCAACCATCATCGTCCCATCAGGGGTCGATCGACATCAAGGATGATACAGAGAGTGCTGCCACTGTCCTTGGTGATGACACTCCCCAGAAGAGCAGCCCCTCTAGTCAGCACAACGACTGGAGCTTGCTGAGGCAGGTTCAAGAGCAACATGAGCGAGACTTGGCCTCCGGATTCAAACCTCAGGAACTTGGCGTCACCTGGCAAAACCTGAGCGTCGATGTCATCAGCTCAGATGCCGCTGTCAACGAAAACGTCTTGTCACAGTTCAACATCCCCCAACATATCAAAGAATCACGCAACAAGCCTCCATTGCGCACCATTTTGAACAAGAGTCATGGTTGCGTCAAACCTGGCGAGATGCTCCTGGTTCTAGGCCGTCCGGGCTCCGGTTGCAGCACGCTACTGAAGATGCTCTCCAACCGTCGTGGAGGATACAAGTCCGTGGAAGGTGATGTCCGCTTCGGCTCGATGACCTCTGACGAGGCCAACAATTACCGAGGCCAAATCGTAATGAATACCGAGGAGGAATTGTTCTTCCCCACCCTGACTGTCGGACAAACCATGGACTTTGCGACTCGCCTCAAGGTTCCCTTCGTTCTTCCCAACGGCACCGACTCCCCCGAAGCCTACCAGACCGAAGCAAAGAAGTTTTTGATGGAATCAATGGGGATCTCTCACACTGAAGACACCAAGGTTGGCAACGAGTACGTCCGTGGTGTCTCGGGTGGTGAGCGCAAACGTGTCTCGATTATCGAATGTCTTGCTACCCGTGGATCCGTCTTTTGCTGGGATAACAGTACCCGTGGTCTAGATGCAAGCACGGCTTTGGAGTGGGCAAAGGCCCTCCGTGCTATGACTGATACTCTGGGCTTATCCACCATCGTCACTCTGTACCAGGCCGGCAATGGTATTTATGATCTCTTCGACAAGGTGCTGGTTCTTGACGAGGGTGAGCAGGTCTACTACGGCCCTCGTGCCCAGGCCAGGCCGTTCATGGAGGATGTTGGCTTTGTTTGTCGTGAAGGTTCCAATGTCGCCGATTTCCTCACTGGTGTCACCGTGCCTACCGAACGCCGCGTTCGTGACGGATACGAAAACCGCTTCCCTCGAAACAAGGATACTCTTCGTCAAGAATACGAAAAATCTGCCATTCATACTGATATGATCTCCGAGTACGACTATCCCGACTCCGACGTCGCACGCCAGCGCACGCAGGACTTCAAGGAAGGCGTGGCGTTTGAAACATCGAAACATCTTCCTAAGAACAGCCCATTGACTGTGAACTTTGGCGAACAAGTCAAGGCTTGTATAATCCGGCAATACCAGATCATCTGGGGTGATAAGGCGACCTTCATAATCAAGCAAGTCGCAACCCTCATGCAAGCTCTTATTGCCGGTTCGCTCTTCTACAGCGCCCCTGATAATTCAGGTGGTCTCTTCGTCAAATCCGGTGCTCTTTTCTTCTCTCTCTTGTACAACAGTCTGCTTGCTATGTCGGAAGTGACCGATTCCTTTGAAGGTCGCCCTGTGTTGGTCAAACATAAGGGTTTCGCCATGTTCCACCCCGCCGCTTTCTGCATTGCTCAAATCACTGCCGATATTCCTGTGCTGCTCTTCCAGGTCAGCATGTTCGCACTGGTTGTGTACTTTATGGTTGGCTTGACAATGTCAGCCGGAGCTTTCTTCACCTACTGGATTCTGGTGTTCTCTACTACCATAGTCAGTCAAGCTCTGTTTTAATTCTTTGATATATCGCTAACCGTTCACAGTGCATGACTGCCCTGTTCCGTGCGATTGGTGCTCTATTCTCCACATTCGACGGTGCTTCCAAAGTCTCCGGTTTCCTCATTTCTGCCCTGATCATGTACACCGGCTACATGATTCAGAAGCCTCAGATGCACCCTTGGTTCGAATGGATCTTCTGGCTCGACCCCCTGGCCTACGGCTTTGAGGCTCTTCTCTCCAACGAATTCCACAATAAGATCATTCCTTGCGTTGGCAACAACCTCATCCCGCAAGGTCCAGGCTATACTGACAGCGCGCACCAGTCTTGTGCTGGCGTTGGTGGTGCCATTCAAGGTAACACCTTTGTCACTGGTGATCAATACCTCAGCTCGCTTTCCTACAGCCATGCTCACCTCTGGCGCAACTTTGGTATTAACTGGGCGTGGTGGGTGCTCTTCGTGGTTGTCACAATCATTGCTACCTCCAGATGGAAGTCTCCTTCCGAGAGCGGAAGCTGCTTGGTGATCCCGCGCGAGCGACTGGATCGGCACAATCAGAACGCACCGCTCGACGAGGAGTCGCAAGTTCAGGAGAAGTCTAAGAAGCCGTCAGCTGGGGATGCTCGTGATGAGGACAACATTGATAACCAGCTGGTCCGAAACACATCCGTGTTCACCTGGAAGAACCTGAGTTACACAGTGAAGACTCCCACCGGTGATCGATTGCTGCTAGATAATGTCTACGGTTGGGTGAAGCCGGGTATGCTGGGTGCTCTGATGGGTTCTTCTGGCGCGGGCAAGACCACCCTACTTGACGTTTTGGCCCAGCGCAAGACCGAGGGTACCATCAAGGGCTCTATCATGGTTGACGGCCGTCCTTTGCCTGTTTCTTTCCAGCGTTCTGCCGGTTACTGTGAGCAGCTTGATGTTCTGGAACCATTTGCTACCGTCCGCGAGTCTCTCGAATTCTCCGCGCTTCTACGCCAAGCCCGGGATGTGCCTCGCGAAGAGAAGCTGAAATATGTCGACACGATCATTGATCTGCTTGAGCTGCATGATATTGCCGATACCTTGATCGGTCGCACTGGCGCTGGATTAAGTGTGGAGCAGCGGAAGCGTGTCACCATTGGTGTCGAGCTCGTTTCCAAGCCTAGTATTCTGATCTTCCTTGACGAGCCTACCTCTGGCCTTGATGGGCAGTCCGCCTACAACACGGTTCGTTTCTTGAGAAAGCTGGCCGATGTCGGTCAGGCTGTGCTTGTCACCATTCACCAGCCGTCCGCGCAACTTTTCGCTGAATTTGACACACTGCTTTTGCTCGCTAAGGGCGGCAAGATGGTGTACTTTGGTGATATCGGTGATAACGGCAATACAGTCAAGAACTATTTTGGCGGTTACGGTGCCCCTTGCCCGGCCAACACTAACCCGGCCGAGCACATGATTGACGTTGTCTCCGGTCATCTCAGCCAAGGGCGTGACTGGAACCAAGTCTGGCTCGACTCACCCGAGCACCAGAGAGCAACCAAAGAGCTCGATCAAATCATCGATACCGCCGCCGCCAGCCCCCCCGGGACTCACGATGACGGACAGGAATTTGCAACCTCGATCTGGGAGCAGACCAAGTTGGTGAGCACCCGGATGAGCAAGGCCCTGTTCCGTAACACAGACTACGTCAACAACAAATTCGCCCTGCACATCGGTTCTGCCATTTTCAATGGATTCTCCTTCTGGATGATTGGCGATAGCATCGGCGACATGCAAATGCGTCTTTTCACTATTTTCAACTTCATCTTCGTCGCTCCCGGTGTGATCAACCAGTTGCAGCCGCTCTTCCTGGAACGTCGTGCCATCTATGAGCAACGCGAGAAGAAGTCCAAGATGTACTCGTGGTGGGCCTTCGTTACTGCCCTGGTTGTTTCTGAGGTTCCCTACCTTTGCATCTGCGGTGTCCTCTACTTTGTGTGCTGGTACTGGACGATCGGCGCCGACACGGCTTCCAGCAAGTCCGGCCCAACATTCTTCATGATGCTCTTGTATGAGTTCGTGTACACCGGTATCGGCCAATTCGTCGCCGCGTACGCGCCCAATGCCACCTTTGCCGCCCTGGTGAACCCCCTCATCATCGGAACCCTGGTCTCCTTCTGTGGTGTGCTCGTGCCGTATGCGCAGATCCAGGAATTCTGGCGCTACTGGATCTACTGGCTGAACCCATTCAACTACTTGATGGGTGGCCTGTTGGTTTTTAACGTCTGGGATACCGAGGTCAACTGCAAGGAGAGCGAGTTTGCCATCTTTGACCCGCCCAATGGTACTACTTGCATCAACTACCTCAAAGACTACATGGAGACCACTGGCGCGCGGATGAACCTGGTTAACCCGGATGCGACCGAGAGTTGCCGCGTGTGTGAATACACTCACGGCAGCGATTATCTGTACACCCTCAACCTGAAGGCTTACTACTACGGCTGGCGTGATATTGGCATCGTTGCTATCTTTGCGATTAGCTCGTATGCTTTGGTCTATTTGCTAATGAAGCTGCGGACCAAGGCATCGAAGAAGGCTGAATAGAGTGGATTGGGTGATTGTGTCGGTTGAACACGCCGCGAATGGAAAAAAAAAATATCAATCACAAATCTTAGACTGGTTGATTTCAATATTTAGGAGTTTAGACAAACATTGCATCTCTACTACTCAACCTTTCCTGTCTACTATCAGTATCTTGTAAATGTGACCATGCAGGCTTAGGTAGACTCTCGAGCGCAGAATACTACAGTCGGCGTCATCTGCTTAACTAGGAAATCGCGAATGGGTTGGCTTGATAGCCTACTACATCTGTAGTCTCCGTGGTAGTCCGCGGTTGTCGGGGGCCCATTCTGGAATAGCTTCAGAAGCAATGGACAGACGGCCAGTGGGTCATTGCCGACTATCCGGTCATCGATAATGACCCCAAGAATACATCTTACCAATCAGGATTGAACCAACCATTTATAACGGTCGTATTGATGCTCGAGCTACTGCAGGTTTCGTCCTCGCGTTTCCTGCCATCCCCGGAGAGTTCTCCGATGCCCGCATCAACCGGGTTTCGTCTCCAATTTTAACCAAGCTAGACTAGTCCAAGTCCAATCATTCAAGTTTTGCGGAATGGATTTCCTCATTCATACTCCATCATCTCCACTAAATATCCCCATTGGATTCATCTCAAGGGCGACCACTATTTAAGCAGGATTTATCGCCATGAGTCACAAGATGTCGGCTTGGGATCCCGATGGTTTCTGAGCATCAATTAAGAAAGTATTGACTTCCGGAAGAATGATCAAAAGAATTTCTTTTTCTCTCGTTGGTCTCAGCTTGATCATTAGTTTGCATTCACCACCTTGAATTTCCGACCATATCTCACCAGTCTCCAGAGTGATGGCCACATCCAAGACTACCACCATCTTCACCACCCAACCCTACCATCCATCACCACCCGATACGCCAACCAGCCAACGCTCATTCGCAGGCCCAAGCAACCTACACAAAAACACCCACACACAAAACGATACCTTCAACATCCGCGATGAAGAAACAATCCCACCCCAAACCGCCTTCTCCATCATCGAACCCCCCGCCCAACTATCCGCCATCACGACACACACCACCCACATCCGCCCACTCGATGGGGAAGAAACCTTCCCCGACGGCGGAACACGCTCCTGGCTTGTCGTGCTAGGCTCCTTTTTCCTGCTAATGGCTAGCTACGGCATGATGAATTCCACCGGCGTCCTCCAAAACTACTTCGCAACGCACCAACTCTCCGACTACTCCACCAGCGCTATCGGCTGGATCCCCGGTCTATTCACGTTCTTCGGCCTAGTCCTCAGCGTGCAGATCGGGCCCATGTTCGACCGGTACGGTCCCACGGGCATTCTCATCGCCGGATCATGCTGCTACGTCGCCGGACTGCTCATTCTGGCCGAATGTAAGCTGTACTGGCACTTTATGCTGACGCTGGGCGTGGTGATGGGATCCGGCGCGGCGCTGCTGAGTACGGCTGCCATGGCGGCGGTGCCGCAGTGGTTTGACCGGCGGGTTGGATTGGCGATGGGGTGGGCCATGTCCGGGGCTGGATTGGGGGGTGTCATGTTCCCGCTCGTGTTGAGGGCGGCGTTTGCGAGGCTTGGGTATCAGTGGGCTATCCGGATGTTGGCGTTGATGGTTGCGGTGATGTGTGCGGTTGGGATTGGGTTGGTGAGGTCGAGGTTGCCCAGGGGCCAGAGTAAATCAAGTATTGATTTGAGGGCGTTTCGCGATACGCGGTTTACGTGGTTGACGCTGGGGACTTTTGGTGAGTGATGCGAGGGGGCGAGGATCCGTAAATGTGAATATCTAATCCGTGGACAGGACTGGAGTTGGAAGTCTTTGCCGGCTTGGGTTTGTATCCCACGTACGTGGTGATGCAGGGGTTTAACGTGTCAACCAGTGTGATCCTGCTGTCCGTGTTGAATGTGTAGGTCCATTGATCCATTCTTCCGCGCATAGTACCAGGCTAAGTGCCTCTTCCTAGCTTCTCTACGATCGGCCGCCTCATCGCCGGCCTCATTGCCGACAAATACGGGCGCATCAACACGCAGACGGGACTGATCTGCCTGGGTGCCCTAGCCATCTTCACCATCTGGCTCCCCTTCGGCCATACTCTGCCCGGTCTATACTTATTCAGCTGCGTTTTTGGACTCGCATCGGGATCCTTCTTGAGCCTAGCACCGGCATGCATTGGGCAGATCTCGAAAGCGAGCGAAGTCGGAGGCCGATTTGGCATTTGTTACTCTATCGTGAGCTTAGCGTGAGTATTTTGGCTGGGGCTGGCAATCGAGCACTGAAATCATGTACTGATGAAAGCTCTAGTACGCTCATTTGCATTCCCATCGGTGGTGAGATGCTCGAAACGGTGGGCAGCCGTGCGATGGTTGGGTATCTGGGGAGTGTGTTGATCGTCGCTCTGGGGATGTTTGTGATGGCGCGGTGGGCAAGTTTGAGTTATCGATGGCGATGGCAGGCCAAGATTTAGATTGTTTAGTTGCGAAAAGTCCTGGGTATTAGCGTTAACGAGTGTTGGCGATTGGAAAAGTGCAATTTCATATTTTCATTCCACGGTAGCATATGGAGGTATGGAATATTGGAGCGGGAATCACTAGCTTATTGCTAGTTCATAACGAGCAGGAATAACAAGCATCCACAAATTGAGACGCCAAAAGTCCGGAACAAGCTCAAGAGAAGGAAAGTAAACATAAAGCATGGATAGATCGTAGGAGCCTCCATCAATTCTGTTCCCCACCCTGACTCTTCGAATATTCCTCCCTAAACCATACATCATTAGCATAACCTTCCCTCAAAACCCCAAGACCTAGACAACTCCCAACGGAAAGAAAACCTACAAATGCTTGTCCAACTCCGCCATATGTTTCTGCGACTCCTTCATCTTCAGACGCAATCTCTCAATCCTACACACGGATTCCCACCCGGTTAGAACACCACGGCCATACCCAGCACCGACCCCGGAAACGATCAAACGTACTTTTCCATCTCCTGCTGCCGAATATACATCGCCTCCTGTGCTGCCTCTCGACGCTGGAACTGGTCTTTTCTATGGTCGCATTGTTAGGAAATGCATGACGTCATGGAGATCCCGCGGTCGCGACTTTCAACTTACTCCGCTAGAAAGCCTCGCGCTTTAGGCGCGCCGGTATCGCCTGCACCCATGGTGTATGGAGTTGTCGTGAATGCTCGTAGGAGGAGGGGGGTTGATGCTTTGGTGCGGAGGATTGGGCGAGAGAGGGATTGCATGATGGAGCTGGGAGGGTTGGATAATGGTCGTAGCTTCGGAGGTGGAGGTGGGTGATCTGGTAGGGGAAAATAGAATGTCGATCGCGATGAGGGGAAGATGTAATATATGTAGCACTAGAGATTCTTGTTCATTTATAGGACGGTACTTTGTTACTTCGTCCGTTAGGTCACCTTGAGACAGGAGCTACCTGGAAAGACCCGGAAAAAGCAGCCCTTTATAGTTGGCCGGAGCTCGGGAAAGTGTATTTGAGTACGAAGTACCTCATACCCACGCAAGAGTTCTTGAGGACCGGGCTGTGAACCTTTGGGGATCAGATTGATCACCAGAGAGTCACCCGGTATTTTGAGTATAGCGATCGAATCGTCTGTGAATTAACGCTTGATATGTGGCGTCTCATCGAAATATTTGAGCGGGGAAACGTGTGTCTTGCAAGTACTTTGGTAGGAACATCTGGGCTAAAATAGTCGAAGACTGACTGACCTAGCCTCACTGGGGAAATACAGAGGGTTACTTTAGACGAATACCATCCATCGCGCGAGTTTTACGAGCGCTGGGACTGGCATACTGAATACTGGTGTCATATGAGTGTTTCAATAGTGAAATAAAATTCATAACTAATAGGACATAACTCTGTAACATCCCGCCCTTACAGCACGTACCGGAAACCCTTCTGCAAGCGTCTCGCAGCCGCAAGGTCGATCCCCTCCAAATCAGCCGTAATCTGCAACCGCCTCAACTCCTTCTCCGTCAACTGCACATCCTCGTTCTCCAATCTCTCCTGCCTCTTGTTCAACATGCGCAGATTGAAGTACATAAACAGCGCCATCGATAGACCCAACACTTGCAGACCAATATTCACACCCATCGCGGTCCAGAACTTAGGCGACTCGTTGGCCAGGTACGTATACGGGGTCCAGATGCTGGCCGAGTTACCGATGGAATTAATAAAGGCGTATGCGGCGGCACGCTTGGCGGGTGGCCGGGGCAGCGCATTGGCGATCCACGAGTACAAGGTACCGTTTTGGGCGAAGACGAACATCATCAGGAAAAGGGAGATGTAGCGGGGTGCGAAGCCGGTGGTTGTTGAGAAGAGGATGAATCCCAGGATCGAGATGGGAATTGGGTAGACCAGGAACCAGAAGCGGACGCCCAGTTTATCCGAGGTATATGAGTGTGCCAGACTGTAAATCACCATAAAGATGTACGGCGGGGCAACGAGCAGCAACGAAATGGTGTTGTTGTAGTGCAGGGTTTTGGTCAGCGTGGGGAAGAAGTTCTGGAAACCCGCCGCGCCGGTGATACACATGTATGCCACGGCTAATACGTAAGTCTTGATATCGGTCATGGCGAGTTTAAGACCCTTGAGCTGGGACATGCCGCCTTTCTCGTCGACATCGGCCTCGGCGGCTTCGATGGCCAGACGACGTACGGCGACGCGGCGCATCTCGGGGGATAGCAGTTTCCAGGTCTCGGGGAAATCGGGGAGAACGAAGCAGATGATGATGCCGACGAAGACGGTGATGGAACCCTCGATGATGTACAGCCACTGCCAGGCTGCCAGGCCGCGATGGCCCTTGAGACCCTTGAGGATACCGGCGGCGATGAGATTGCCAAAGGCACCGCTCAGCAGGGAGCCCGAGTAGAAGATACTCATGCGGAACGCCAGTTCTTTCCTCGTGTACCATTTCGATAGGTAGAACAGGACGCCGGCGAAGAAGGGGGCCTCTATTGATGCGCGGATTAGTACATGTACAAGATGGCAGATTAATATGTGGTTTCTATCCGGGGCAAAACTTACCAACCAGTCCAAGTATGAAGCGGCAAGCCACGATCGAGCCATAACCCTTGACCTGACTAGTCAAAGCCGACACCAATCCCCACGCGGTGATGAAACCACCCAGATACCACGACGGGCGGCCCATGTAGTTCAGCATCAAGTTACTCGGCACTTGCATCAGAATATACCCCACAAATAGAATCGATAGACCGGTCTGGTACTGCGTGGGCGTTAGGCCGAGGTCCTCCGTAAGACCTTGAAGCTTGGCCGCAGCGTAGTTGTTTCTGTCAACGGATTAGTTTCATCCACCATCCAAGAGTCCATACAACAGATAAGAGGGCTCGTCTTACCGATCAATATAATTCAACAGATAAACAAGCACGACCAGCGGCATGATCAGTGAATCAATACGTCGCAAGAGTTTCTTCTCGAGAATTTTCTCCTCTTCCGTCAACTGGGCCAAATGCACCACCTCCTCATGGGTCATCTCGGCCTTTTCGCCCATAGCCTCTACGTCGGAGATGACACCCGTAGTTGGCGCCATGGTGAGTGTGAACAAACGATGACCTTGTCTTCAACAGCAACCGAGAAACAAGAATGAAGGTTAGTCCAGACCAGGGACTAGTTGGAAGTAATAATTCACAAGTCGCCACTAGTTTACTTTGACCGGGAGATAGGGGGGGGATGGCAGATCACTTTATGTTCTTGCACGAGGCGAAAGAGGGGGGACGTGTCACCGCATGGTTCTGCATGTGGCCAGGTCCCAAAGACACGGGGGTAATATGAGAAGCGTTAGATCATCCCAGTGGTGGGAATAGTGCCGTGGGGTGTTTAGTGTTCAGTCGCGACCATCGGGTTTACCCCATTACCCCGTACTCTCTACCCCGTACTTCCTGTCTATCGAACAAAGTGCGTGGGGGCCCGCTGGGGCAAATCAGCCATACATGCGGCGATCCAACCAATCAGCGTATATCCACCATGAGGAATGCGGGAGAGACACCAGGGTCAATGTTGTCATGGCTCTGTATTCGAGAGTTCTCATAGGACAGCGTCCCGTACGGGGTTCCCCCCAAGGTGGAGGCGGAAGCCATGGAGCTCGAGTCCTGCGAGGGAGACCGCTCCTTACAAGCCAAAAGCCACTGAGATATGGGGAAAGCTTACCGGGGGGCACCCCACGGAGGACGTCCGTGTGGTGCGTGAGAGTGTAAGGGGGGCAATCTTTTCAGGCTGTGAGTACGGGACAGGGCTCGGAGTTCTTCCGCGAGGTGAACGGCTTAGCCATGCAAAGTCGATGCAACCAGAGGACCGCGCGTGGACTTTGAGTTTGGCTTGGGCCATTTTGAGTTTGGGGAATTCGCGGGGTTGGGGAAGGGAAACCGGGCCCCGAGGTTCAACACGTTTAATAGGCGTGGTGCTTTATCTTGTTTCGAGAGAACTGGACTATCAAGCAAATAGTATGAAGCAGGTTCATAGCTAGTCTTTCACTATTGGTATAGTTTTCATGACTGGAGTAAATCACAGAAAGAAAAGAACAAAACCCGGCGGGAATAAAGACCCGTAAACCTGCTTTTCGCCAGGCTCTCCAATGCCGAAAGCTTCACCTCGGGTATCCGAGCACAGCACATCGATCAGTCCAAGCCGGAATAAGCCATCTCCGATTCTCAAGCGTGCAAGCCGCCCGTGCACATTTCTTTCTCCGAAGTCCATGGATTGACTTTACTCAGCACCTCGGTTGGTCTGATTGCTTGACTAGCCAATTTTACTTCCGACCAGAAGCCACGCGTGGGATCACGGTCTCGCACTTTCTCCGGGTGGATCTGGCATCAGACCACGCGATCGGTCTTGCTCCTATGTTGTCACCGCTGAATATTCATAGGATGGGAGACTCCCCAAGGTCTGGAGCGGTAGACTTTGTGATCCATTATCGCAGTCTGCAGGTTCTGGTTCAGTCCATTAGGTAAGGTATGCGCACCAAGGAATCTCCTAGTGCTTGGGGATAGGTGACTCGGCCGATATATCTATAAAGTCTAATCGTTCAGCCGCAAAGGACAGCTCCAGCGTTCTAACAAGAATCGATTTGCCCCGTAATATCGTCGCTCGGAAGGTCTCATCATAATCTTGAACAAATAACGGGCATCCCCTGGGTATTGTAGAGCTCCATGGTTTCACTCTCTGGCACACCCTTATCATAGAGGTCATTCCAGAACATCATGTCCCGAAGCTGTTCCTCTCTCAAATTGGCATTCACGAAATGCTCTCGTTGTGGGGTTCTGACGACGGTGGACTTCTCCGGCAGTCTTCCATCCAAAAAATTCAGCCATTTCCCAATCAATCAGCCCCACAACTGTGCCATTGTCAACAATACAATTTGACGAGGTAAAGTCGTTATGCATGAAGCTCATATCTGGATCCTGATTGGTGCCTGAAAAAAGGATGTACGCTTCTAATGGATTGATCCGACCGTTACTCAGTATGTTGGGATCCGGTGTCACATGAGAACGAGCCTGAAGTCCCTCTGGGGGCTTAATAGTGTGAAGTTGACGGAGTATTTGCCTAGCTTGTTCTTTATAGGACATCTTCTGGTCTTTGGATAGATATGGCCATGCGACAGACATTCCAACCCCTGGGATCCTTTCTTGGATAAGTACTTGGCGACCGTTGATCTAACGGGATGTCAGTTATTGAGCCGACAATCGAATTAGGAGCGAATAATAATGACCTTGCTAGTGAAGTAAACCTCTGGAACTTTGACCTCCGTTAAAACTGGGTTTGCCAACTCAATCGCCTGAAGTTCATTCATATCGGCATATGAGAAATCAATCTCGGTATATTGAGCGTGGAGATGACTGGACTTCACAATCACGCTACCAAGGGCAAACACATCGCGACCACCTTCATCAGCCGGGTAAATGCGGATCTCTTTAGTGCAAAGTCTAACAACTGAGGCCCAATACCACACACAGGGAGTCAGTCGTGTGAGAGTTGACATGCTTGGGATCAACGCGGAAATCATCGGCTTTTGGGCAGTATCGACCATACAACGGCACATCCGCGTATAAGTCAGTTGTAGGGATTCTATCCGGGTCCGTTTCGTATGGATTCGTCATTGTCAAGAGAAAAGAGAATGATGGGGAGAGACAAAGTACTTCGGTAACGAAGGAGGGGTAACTTCTTTGAAGGTTGTGCGTTGCAAGGATGACCCGAATAGAAAAGCGTCAATGTCGGATTTCTAGTAGGAGCCGCTACGCGGAAATCCAGCCATTTACCCATCACAACTTGCCCCTCAGGTGAGATCGAGGCTATCTGCAATGAATGGATTGCCATTTCATTAAACCTACGTAGCAAAAGATCATGTGATATCTACTGACCATTCATTTCGATGATCTGAAGTGCGCTAGAGCAAAGGGAACAGGTGTATTTCGATAAAGGTTCGGGGAAGACTCTACCTATGCAAGGACCCGGATATTTCCAAGCCCGGGCTGGATGCTGGTTTAATGCTAGCAGAGGCCTTTCTCTAGCCTCCCGTCGTACCATCTGAGGAGTAGACATTTTGGTCTATTCCTCGAAATGTCGAGTCCAGTGCGTTGCCAGCTTGGTAAAATCCAGCCGATAGGCGAGAGTGCCTCACGACCAGCATCCCGCTATGATGGACGAAGGACTCCAAGTTGGTCAACTGTGGGGCGGAACAGTCACAACAGAGGAGAAAAAAAAAGAGAGTGCCTTGGTTGTGATGCGGACGGATGGGTCCAAAGACTAGGTGGTGGAGTTGAAATACTGTACCTAGTGATATATACAGCCAGGATCCTTTGGTATTTAGAACATGGTAGTGAACGGCCACAGTGCATGGCACGTGACCCATCGGCCACAAGGCCCGGTACGGAGAATCATTGCTCCGAAATGATCTGTTGTACTGTATACCGCCTCTCTGACCGCCCTCTCATATTCCGTTTTGCTGACAGTACACCATCAAGTGCATATCTGATCATTGTATGGGTGTCTCGATCGAAAGGATCATCCTTTTGCTTGCCCATCTCTTAGTAGTGATAACGACCGGCCTAGGTTAGCAGGAGCAATATATTCTCCAAAGCCTAGATATTCTAGCACGCCATATTTCCAGTATGTACGGAGTATGGAGTATTGACTCGGTCGGTTTTTTCTCGGAAACAAAGCCGCGGAAGCCCCCCAAATTAAGTTGAGATGCAGCCCAAAATGCAGATCCACTTTGGTCTCAACGGTCGCAAAATAGTTCCGTGAGCTGCGTACTCCGTACTTTCGTCGAGATTGATGGATTGCTCCATGGTGTATACCCACAGATCTTGCTCTCTAAAGGCTTGCTAATGAGTGCGAAACATACTGAAACCTTGATTTCACGTTGTTGTCGGATGTTTATACATCAGCACCGGGCCTTGCAGGGCATTGGCAAGGGTTCCTAGGGGTCTCAGCCAGCCTCAGCAATGGACGAGGATGAAGGTAGTACGGGTTCCACGGAGCTGGGTGTTAGCCCGCTGTCCAGCGACACCCAGATAATCGTGTCCCATTGAGCTTTTCAAAGAGAGTTCAGCGTACCGTCTAGCTGGAACAGCTATCTGTTGAGCTGGCCCTCTACACGATTCCCCTCCTTTACCACGACTTCCGCAACACCTAATTGACTCGACCTCCTTCGGGGAACACGTTCACAAAACAATCCACTGTCCTGCCGCCCAATTCCCAACCGTCAGCCCCTCACTACCTTTTTGAGCGACTGACAGTCGATGCATCCAATATTTCGACTTGCGTCACGCCAATCGCAGGGCCACTGACGCGGGCCCCAGTCCCCGCGGACCCAAACCCGCCCAGCCACAAGACCTATCAGAATCCTCCGTAAGCTTCAAGCTCCCCGCCAATCCGCCCCAAAAGCTGGTCAGATTGGACCCCTCAGGTCCAGGTTCCACCAAACGGACCCGTGCCCCCAAGCAACAGATCTCGGACCACGACACCGGAAATCTGGCTCCCCAAATTCCCGCAGCGCCGTTGGTTCGTGATGTTTTCTCACTCCTCCTTCGCTCCAATTTTGCGTCCCCCATGGTCGGTGAATTGCGACAAGTTGCCCCCGACGCGAGAGGCAGGAAGCCTCCGAGCCGCCAGTCACGCTCCTGCAAGGTCTGCCGGGCCCGCAAGGTTAAGGTATGAGATGCGAATCGAGAAAGGTGCTCAGATCGCGGACGGGAGGGACCGTCCCTCCCGGACCGTTGCCCTGTTCCACTGCAAGTCCACGGATAAAGGGGATGGGAGGGGGAAGAGACAGTCCACTATCCAGTCGGCAGCGATGTAGAACTGCGATAGTGTCGACTTTTGATATTTCAGCATTTGTCGGCGAACCGAACCCGGACGCTAACCTTCATTTTTTCCTGGTCTCGTCTAGTGTGACCGAGTCAAACCCTGCCATGCCTGTTGTGCTCATGGCTATCCATCGAAATGCGTATATGAGAATGTGCCCGAAGAAGAGGCCCGCCCCATCAGCCAAGCCGAGGAAATCCGGAACCTTCGATCGGAGATTCGGGAACTCCGTGCTAGGATAGACGAGAGGAACGATGGTACGTGCACATCGGACAAGGCTCTCCGTTTTTTTTTCCCGGTCGACAACCACCCGCTAATGCATTGATGCTGCAGGGTCGCGTGTCCAGGATCTCGAGCGACTGGACCAGCTTGAGAGCTTATTTGAGTCTATTCGATCGGCCCCGCTTAGCGTAGTGGATTCGCTGGTACGAGACATTCGAACTGAACAGAGCGGGTTGAAGACAGATCTGGTCAAGGTCGGTCCGTGGGAGGGTTACGAAGGTATGTTGGACGTGAACAATTCCAGTGGAGGGTTGAACCGATATGCTTACCTGGACATGAACTACTACAGCTTACGAGAGATATGGCACTCCCGTCTCTGTCATTCCTATTCGCACGCGTTCAAGGAATGGTAGTCCAGAGAGCAACTTTAATGATCCACTGCTTGGCGATGACGAAGATGGCGACTTTGGAGATATCATTTCCATAGGTGAAGGATCAGAATCATCTATTTCATCCGGCGCAATCTCTATCATGAACCTACAGCGACCGGCAGTCGATGTCTTTGTGGAGCGCTTCGTGGATGCCTTCGCGCCCGAAGTCGACTCTAGACATGGTCGAGCAGGTGCTCTTCGTGCGGCTGCCGGGATCCGGATGTTCTCTCCCCTCATCTCAGATGCATTCGAGGCGGTATCTGTAGCCTTTTTTGGAAGATCTATCCAGAACAAGCAGATTGAGGCGTCCGGTTTTCGCCTGTACCCCCGTGTCCTGCGGTCTTTACAGGATGCCTTGATTGACCCCGAGCGGTCCAAAGCAGAATCTACATTGGTCACAGTGATTCTGCTACTTGCTTTTGAGGTGTGTCATACAGCATGCTTTTGTTTAGCATCACAGTACCGTCCTAACCGCAGCAGAGCGTGGAACGTACAACCCAAAGCGGTGTCCCGGCTCATGTTCGAGGTGCAGTGCGCTTGATCGAACATCGAGGCCCCGAGAACCACATGTACGGTGTTGAGCATCTCTTGTTTACGGAATTACGACCATACTGGGTAAGCTATCACTCACGTTACCTTTGCAGACAATTTTACTCATGCAATTAGATTGGCGGTGCACTGGCGGCTCGCCAACCCTCGTTCCTAGCTCGTGAAGAATGGAAGACTGTTCCCTGGGCGGCTGGAACGACCAAAAAGGATATTCTGCATCACTTAATTGATATTGCGACCGAGATTCCCGGCCTGCTGGCACAGTCCGATGCATTCAAAGAAGCCCAAGCCACCCAGAGAATGGGCGCACGGGAAATGGCTGTCAAACAAGCGGCTCTGTGGAACGGTATCGCCCAGTGCACGGTACAGTTCCAGCGGTGGTATATCGACTGGGTTGAAAGCTACCCCGACGGACCAATCCAGGAACTCAAGCAGACGGGACAACAGGACTTCCCCATCTTCAAACGGCGTAACTTGCGAACGGGCGAGATCTATGCACCAACCATGCTCTCATACCCGAATCTTCTGCTGGCGCAGACTATGTGTGTGTACTATGCCGTCCGACTCATCCTATCGAGTATCGACTCCCGCCCTCAGGACCGAGTGACACCCGCGGAGCAATATGAGTTTGGTTGCGGCATCTGTCGGACCATGGAGTACTATATTCTGACTGCACCGGGGAACATGATCAATCGTCTTGCCTTCCCGACTCGAGTCGCCTGGGAGGCTTTCCCCGATGGTGGCCCGGAGCGAGCGTTCATGGTGGAAGTGTTGCAGCTGGTGGAACGACGCCACGCGCTGGGACTTTGGGGTAGTGCCATGCCCGAGCTCTCGGTGCGGGAGAATTCTCCCCTCAACAATTCAGAACTGTAGTTGCTTTGGACGCCACGCTGAACCAGATGATACGTTCACGAAATGTTACATTGACTAGGATCTATTATGTAAATGACGAGAGATAACTATCCCTTGAGCGAGTTACGCAATTGGCTGCAAAATAATGTACCCCTTTACTATTCCTGAACCTTGCCATATTATTCGTCTGCTCATTTTCAACACGTCCAGTTCGGTTTGAGATTCATCTCGGATAACTGAAGACAAATCATACATTTCCCCTCCCATTGAGGATCAGCCGGCAGTGATGCATCACACAGATGACAGGTCAATTTGGACCACGATCTCATTGGGTCCTCGTGCAACATCTCCGCTCCGCCACGATGCCACTAAACCCCAGTGGGTCAGTGGGGTCCAGCTCTGACCAAGACTTGGACCAGTCACAACTCCGGAAGTCCGATCATCAATCGATAGTTCCAGGTACGGATGGATCCGAGCTGATGGGCACTGAAGAAAAAAAAAGGAGAAAGACAAAGCCTCGGTCGGGGAAGATCGTGTCTTAGCCGCTGCCAAAGCAAACAATAAAAAGCCCCGTCGTGACCCGCGTCAAGCTTTGATCGGATCTATTACTTGCATAGCTTTTATTCCTTCCCACCCTTAATCAATCCAGGGTCGACATCGCACCCAATTCCCATCAAGATGCCCTCTCTCCGCACAGTCCTCGCTTCAACCCTCCTGGCAGCATCCGCCGCCTCCGCCACCGGCATCAACGACTTCTCCTGTACCTCAGACTCCAACCCAGTCGTTCTCCTCCACGGTCTAGGCGCAACCTTCTACGAAGACCTGAACTACCTGCAATACTGGCTCCAAAACCAAGGCTACTGCACATACTCGCTAACCTATGGCGCCTACGACGGCTTCCCCTTCCTCGGCGGCTTGAAACCCATCAAGGAATCCGCCGCCGAAATCGCCACCTACATCAAAGAAGTCGTCCAAAAGACCGGAAAGTCCAAAGTCGACCTCGTCGGACACTCCGAGGGCGCATTCCAATCACTCTACGTGCCCAAGTTCGAAGGTGTGAGTCAGTACATCGATAAAATCGCCTCCATCGCACCGCCCACCCACGCAACTACTTTCGCGGGTATCTACGAGTTGGCCTATCTATTCGGGAACGCGTCGCGTGCTGCAATCGGCGATATCTTGGATACCGTCGGTTGTGCTGCGTGCGATGATTTGGGTCCTGACGGTGCGGCTGTGACGCGGTTGAATGACGGTACGCCTATCGTGCAGGCGGGTAACAAGGTTACCATCATCGCGTCGAAGTATGATGAGCTCGTGACTCCGCAGACCACGTCGTTCGTTCATGAGGATGGTGTCACGAATCGTTGGGTCCAGGATACTTGTCCATTGGACCCGGTTGGCCATATTGGTGAGGCTTATGATTTGAATGTGTGGAACTTGGTGAAGAACGTATTGGATGATACCCCTAATCGCAAGTTTTTGTGTCTGCTTGGATCGCCCGGTAAGGTTTAAGTTTGGGTTGGATTGTTTTTTCACAAGTGGAAACTGGACATAGTTGGTGTTGGTAGTACTTGTATATAAGTAATATTTAATCATGGTGTTAATTGCATGTCGTATAGCTGCATTTACTCGGCATGTTGTAATTGTCAACCTTTACATTGCCATTGTGAAGTATAGAGTTAATGAATAAAGTGTGATCGGCGCTGTGTGACATGCATAGATCTCCCGAATTCCGATCCGATCGATTTTCACCATGTTTGCTTCGGCACGGCATGCAGCGAAATCAATAGTTTGATGCCACTCATGCGGGTCGGCCAATTGCTCTCTCATACTAAAGCAAGCTCAATCCTCTATCAGATTCCGAGGCGCACTCTAGGTCTTTCCTTGACAGCCCTCCATCTAACCGTAGATCAAATCCTTACTACGTCTATAGGCATATAGTAAGAGGAGAAAGAGTGAATTGAAAGGACCTTTGAATAATGGCGTCCTCAGCCACTCTCGATGATCCAGCTAAGCCTGTCAAATCTCACCCAAGAACTCGTTAATTAGCGGCGCTTCGGATACCCGATTGGCCTTGAAATTCCGAGATGGAGCCATGGAGTAGTGTACGGAGGTGATTGTCTGACACAAGCTGAGCTAAAGCGGGGTCCAGACAGTCGGATGTTGACCTAACCCTTAATAAGGGTTACCATGTCGGGTCATTTGGGATCCAATGACAGAAGCGAGTGGCACGTAGTACACAAAGACATGTGGCTCTAGACTGTCAGGGGATTGGTTTGACGGGGGTATATAAAGAGTGTAGCTTCTTGCCCCTCCGATTTCTTGCCGTCTTACTGTACTTTGTATACCCTCAATCATCCACCTATCAACGAACTCTTCCCGCATCCTTTACAGCACCAAAAAACAGTCACCATGGGTTTTTTCGACGGTGAGTGCTTCAAGCATCATACCAGCGATTACACATCCATATCCATAGACACGGGGATATTCCACATCATCCGGTCCTAACCGCATTCCTCCACTCTAGACGACTCCGATGAATACCGTCGCCACGACCAAGTCACCAACCGCCCTCACGAAGCCAAATGGTCCCACGAGCTCATCGGTGGTGCGGCCGCTTACGAAGCTATGAAGGCCTATGAGGACCACGAAGCTCGCAACGGTACTGGCAGCCCTTCCCACTCTATCCTGAATCCAATATAGTAATCCGATGTCACTGACGCTATTCTCTTGTTTTCCGTGTTAGGCAAGATTGACAACCACGCCAAGGCGAAGGAGGTCGTGGCCGGTCTGATCGGTGCCTTTGTTGATCGCGAGGTCGAGACCAAGGGTCTGGATTTTATTGATCGGGAGAAGGCTAAGCATCATGCTCGTGAGCGTGCAGAGGAGGCAATGGGTAACAGTGGACGCTGGTAAATGTCGATCCCACCATTATTATACTGTTCTGAAGCCGGGAGGATGTCTTGGTGTATCCAATGAAACGATGCGAGATGTGCGACCATGAATGAATGATTTCAAGCTGGAACTCTTCAAAGAGGCTCCTATGATTATACTGGGCTGAGCACATGGAGCCTTGTCCGTTATGATTTGTTTCATCGGGAGCTCTTGCTTGCTGCATGTCGTTTGCGGGGCTGGTTATATATGCGAGCCGCTACTTGCAGCTTTAGCACTTGTTGGGCTGCACTGCCTTTGAAGGAATTGATGCGTAAATATGCGCCAGAAATCGTGTATACCGTCGTGGTGTTCAGGTAGATGGAGGAGGTCATTGCGTTCGGCATGTCATGTTTGTCCTCACCCTATGAAGTATACCTGGCCTTGTATTGGGTGCGCTGAGTGCCACGACATAGCAGCTTCTAGGTAAGCGTCAACGAGTGTGAAATAAACGACACAGAACGCCCGAGAATGCTCTAGTCCTCGCTCGACGATGCCTTGAACCAATGATGCGGTCAATCGATAGTGGACCGGCGACAAGAGTGACAGCTCACATGCCTGATGCCGTCTCGTCCCACCGCCCAGAGCCCATAGTCCACACAAGCAGCACAATTCCGCGACCGCTTTGCCCAAACGGAATGGAGCCTGGAATCTCCGCCAATTCCTTACACCTCCTCCTCTACACTATTGGAATATATGCTATTCATACACACTATCCTTGGGATCTTCCTACAAAAATCCCCCAGGGATGTCCGAGGACCCGTCACCCCCGTTTGGCGGGCCCAACATGGCTAATGGCACCTCCTCTCCACACGACCAACTCCGCCTAGAGGCTGCGCGAAAACGACTGAAGAGTGAACGATTTACGAGCGAGAACGAGTCCCCCCTCGATGCCCAAATCCGACGCTTGACGGAAGAATTGGAGGAATTGAAGAAACAAAGACAAGTCGCAGAGTTGCAGGAACAGATATGGGCAGAACAGCACCTGTTGGAAGCTTCTCGCAACCGCTTGAGCGTCGCAGCTGCCTCGGCCTCCCCGATGAGCAATAGCCCAGCTCCAGTTCCAGCTCCAGTTCCAGCTTCAGTTCCAGCTCCAGTTCCAGCTACAGCTCTAGCTCTAGCTTCAGCTTTGGTGTCAGCTCCGTCTACATCTACGGCCATTGCACCTAGCCCTCAAGTAGTGAGCCACCCTCCTCAAACCACGCAGGCGGTAGCGAAGCCGTCAGTCGTGCCGAATAACGTACCCGTAGCTGCCTCGCCAAACGTTAAGCAACCCTTTGTCGCGCCTCAGCCCGCTGCTGTTCAACAACCTCAGAAATCACCTCTCGTTCTGAACGGGAATGGCCTGACTCAGGGTCAGGCTGTCTCGAGTCCTTCCGCCGGCAATGGCGTGACCAATGCGACACCTTCGCGGCCACCAAGCGCGGTCCCGACATCGCTTCCCGTCGCCTCGAAGCAGCAACTGCAGCAGCAGAGGCAACAACAGCTGAAGGAGCAGCTGCAGAAGGAACAACAGCGGAAGCAGCAGGAGCAGCAGGAACAACAGCGGAAGCAGCAGGAGCAGCAGGAACAACAGCGGGAGCAGCAGGAGCAGCAGCAGCAGGAGCAGCAGCAGCAGGAGCAGCAGCAGCAGCAGCAGCAGCAGCAGCAGCAGGAGCAGGAGCGCCCATGGTTTAAACGTCCATGTACGCCAGGTGCCCCTGCGGATTCCACACTAAGACAGTTGCCGCCATATCAAGGACGGACCCGGGAAGAGTACGCAAGTTTCATTGCTGCTCTCGAAGCCCACTTTTCCCGGGCACCCCAATACTATAGCAAAGAGCGGGAATACCGAAAAGTCAAGCTTGGCCTCCAACACCTTGGCCCTGCTCCGCGGGCTAGTTGGCATGCCCTCACTGAACACCCCGAAACCTGGCACAATTTCCGCATTTTCCTATTCAAGGTGGTGGTGCGAAATCTAAAGCCTATCGATCAAGCTCGACAGGCGAACACAACTCAACCAGCAGCGCCGAAAGTCGAGACGGCTCAGACCCCAGCTGCGCAGCAACCCCCGCCGGCTCCAAGCAGTATGCCAAAAGTTCAACCCGGTCAACCAGCCCAGCAGTCTCCGCAAGCCCAGCGTAACGGTTCTCTGTCGCATGGGCCACTGCCATCAGCTAGTCCTAATCTCAAAGCCAAGACGGCCATCGCTACATACGTCAATTGCCAACAAAGTCCGAAAGAGACAATCCAAGCATTCTCGACACGTCTGCAAGCGACATCGTCCTTCAATGCGGAACTCAGTCTCCATGATCGGATGGGCTTTTTGAAAAAGGGGGTTGTGTCGCCCATTCGGAACCGGGCGCATCGCCCATTTCCCTACTTCAAAACTTATGACGAGTACGTCGTTTACCTGCAGGATATCGAGGACACCCTGCCGCAGCGACAGATCGAGCTTGAAGGGGAGCAACCTCCGCAGACGAATGCTTCTAAATGGGTCCCCGTTGCCTGGAACGGAAATTCCAATCATCAGACTACCCAGCAAGGACCCGGTGCCCCTAGGGGGCACTCGCCTGATTGTACAGCAAAACCCCCGAGCAATGTTCCGCCGCAGGCTTCCAAGGCATTCGCTCACTCCTCACCACCCCGACCAAAGAATGGCCCGGCGTCTCCAACGGCGCGTAAGTCAATGCCGCGCAGGATGTCGTCGCCAGCCCCACCTGACCCAAAAATCAAACCTACCGATGGCAGAGACTGGTGGGCATGCCGGAATTATATCGGCGGCCTGGAGGCACACTTCCGAAATCACCCTCGATACTTCACCGACGAGGAGCGCAAGGTAGCCCTCGCTCGGCGCTATATTTGCCCTAGTCTGAATGAAAAATGGGTCGCCTTCGCCCGCAAACGTCCACAGATAACATGGTTTGACGTCTGCGTCTTCATCATCAACCAATCCGCGCAGTCTTTCACACCCGAGTCAGCAGTCTCCCGCTATCTTCGCTGCTCTCAAATGCCCAACCAGAAAATTCGAGAATTTGCCCTCTGGGTCCAGCAATTTGCGCCACATTACCAGAGGCCCGGATGGGACGAACTCAGACACTTATACGATCGCATCATGCCTTATATCAAAACGAGGGCGCGGAAAGATTACAAAGACTTTTCCTCCTTGGCTGCCATGGTGGCGTACCTGGAAGCCGTTGAGAGCACTCACCCTAATAGACCAAAGGACATCGCTCCGGACAATGCACGGCAATCAGTACCACGAAAGCGAAGTCGGGAAGATTGATGGAGGGGAGTCACGGAGTTGCGGGGATACAATTTGGCCTATAAGCGTCAAGAGTGCGCCGTTTTTCACTGGTACTTTACGAGGGGACGGAGGTGTTAAGCGATTATCCATCATGGATAGGTTGGTCATCGGGTGGACTAACACTAGATTTCTCCTCCACGGTTGCGGGTGGCATGGCAAAATGCATTCAAGCGCATCCTTTTCTTATTTATCTAGATGATTAGCTATTCATGAGCAACAGTCCAATTCGTGACGCGGGCTTGCAAGTATCTCAAAAATAGTTTATGGGCAACACGTACCAAGCAACACATCCGCCAGATAACGTGTTGCCATCGTCTGAGGCTCTTGACGCGGTGCGACTTTCTCTTGCACTCGTCCAGCATCAGTGTTACAATGTAGGAACATCTCCAAGGCTGCCTGTGTCAAATTTCTCAGGTATAATCCTCAAGCCTATTGTTACCATGTAAGCCAGTATACAGCGCATCTGGACTCCGATTGCAAGGCTACCAGAAGAGACTCATCCCCACGATGCTGTGGCATACTATGATCAGCATTAAGATGATGCTCAGGCATAGATTGCATCTCTAGCTGATCTTCACGATCGTGATCGCACCACACTATTCTACTGATCGACCAACCTGCGGGGCTTCGGCAGTAACACCTAGCCAACCACTCCGACTGCTCGAGCGCAGCCACGGAGTGCACCCAATAGTAAGTGCCTAGTTCGCAGTAGTAAAGGGGTTTCTTTTTTTCCCTCTGCACACCCTTATGCAATTAAGCAGCCAACATGACCAATAAGCCAGCCCCGAAACCAAATACGCAGGGTGTGAATGGAGCATCCTGATGGATCAGCTCCCGACCGCCACTTTCCCAGCGCGTGATAGGCCTCGGACCAGCCCACTTCCCACCGCCGCGGATCCTTCGATCGGCCAGCCATGGTTCAGCCCGTCAAGTTGGGTCTTTGTTCTTATCTGATAATAGTCTCCTGGGTTATCTCGGCCCTGAGAGGGGGTTTGTGCTGTCCCGGCTGATGTCGTCGTGGGAATATTGAGCCTGTCGATTGTTGTTTCGATATCTACCTAGACTCGACATATTACCATCGAGGGAGGTATTTTCATGCTATCTCGTGGGGGATTCTGAAGCCATGGAGGATTGCAAAGCGGCCAGCTCGAGGCCGTTTATCCCTCGCTGGCGAGTATCACGAGAGCGAAACGTTGCTTCTTGGGTCTACCTTTTGTCTGGGGCGCTGGGCCTCCTTTGGTGGACATTACCAGCTCCAAGGAGAGACTTAGATCCTGCGTCAACACCGATATCAACACCGGCCACTTCACCTTTCCGCTGGGAGGATATCGTCCCCTCCAAATCCTTGGAGTACCATGATTATGGAGACGGGTTTCAATGTGCCCGACTAGAGGTGCCGATGGACTACAATCAGAGCGACACCACTCGAGGGCGAACGTTCGCTTTGGCAGTGGTTCGGATCCCAGCAAAGGTTTCCATCGACGACCCTCGTTATGGAGGTGCTATGTTGATCAACCCGGGTGAGACAGATAGCATATTTTCTGAACACCACATAGCGCTAATATGAGACCAGGCGGCCCTGGTGGTCCCGGAACTCTGCAAGCATTCTTATCAGGTCGCAATCTACAGACTATCGTTGATTCGGAAAAGGACCCGAGCACAGTCCCACCCAACGCAAGCGACAAGTTTTTCGATATCATCGGCTTCGACCCGCGAGGCGTGGGATCCACTACGCCGGCAGTAACGTGTTTCCCCGATTCGACCTCCCAACGGAACTGGGAGTTGCAAGTCGAAGCAGAAGGGATGCTGGGCAGTAGCCCAAACGCCTTGCAGAGAAACTGGCTGCGGACACATGCGCTGAACTCCGGATGCTCTATCTATGAGATGGCCGCTGCTGATGACATGCAGGGCGAGGAAGCAATGATGGAGTATGTCAGCACTACGCTCGTAGCTCGTGATATGATCACCATCGTTGAGCGTCATGGTGAATGGCGCGAGAGACAAGGTCGACTAGCCCAGGAAGTCTATGACCTGCAACACGGCCCAGATGAGTCGCGCGCCATCCTCAGACGCACTCAATGGCACGTTGACAGGGAACCCCTCTTGTACTGGGGTCGGTCTTATGGAACTCTCTTAGGTACAACCTTCGCTGCACTTTTCCCCAACCGAGTTTCGCGTGTGATTTTAGATGGCGTGGTCAACATGGACAGGTACTATGAGGGACGAGGTCCAAGCGTAGTCGTGGATGCAGATGCGATTTTCGCTCGATTCGGCGAATACTGCCACGAAGCCGGTCCAGAGGCTTGTCCATTCTATGCGGAGGGGGGATCTGACACCATCAACGAGGCCTATTGGGCGATCGAAAACCAGCTTCTAAACGCATCTCTCCCCGTGATGGCATCTGCCACTCGCGGGCCGGAAGTGGTAACATGGACAGATTTGAAGAATATCCTTCGCGTTGCTGTATATCAGCCCCTTCTTGCCTTTCCCGTGCTCGCCAACCATGTAAGTGAGCTTGCAAAGGGTAACGCAGTGACAATGGCGGATTTCAAGCATCGCCGACATTTTGGTGCTTGTCCCTCTAGTGAGTGTCGCTTAGCGGGGCCGTGGTCGTCCCAATGCGCTAGCGAGCAGGACAACACTCTCTATGCGAGTGCGGCTATTCTATGTACGGATGCGGAATACATGACGAACTATACCTGGGATGAGTTCGAGGGGATATGGGCTGCGTTGGCGGCCGATAGTCGTTCTCTGGGAGATTATTGGGCTCAAATCGAACTGTCCTGTGTGGGGTGGAAGGCGAAGGCAAAGTATAAATTCACAGGTATGGAACGGTTTCTTTGAGAACATACTCTCCGGTTACCATATTGCTGACCGTTCCAGGTCCATGGAGTGCAGTAACGGCACACCCAATGCTGTTCGTCTCGAATACTCTTGACCCGGTCACTCCTCTGCACAAGTACGTGGATCAGTCCAAACATCACAAGTCCGAGCACTAATCCAACCAGCGCAAAACATATGGCCAAGCAATTTCCTGGGTCTGTTTTACTGGAGCAGGATTCTGAAGGGGTGAGTTGAATAGCGACCATTGTTCAATTTTCTCGCTTGGTCTAACAGATTTGATGATTAGCACACCACCATTGCTGCGCCATCATTATGCGTGGCAAAGGCCATCCGCAAGTACTTTCAAACCGGGGCACTTCCTGCTGTCGGCACTCTTTGCGAGGCGGACTTAAAGCCGCTGGTCGGCTCTCGTGGAAAGGTTGAGGAGCAAGGTCTAAGCTGTGCTGACCAGAAGCTCATGGACGCAGTAATGGCTGAGGTTAAACAGGGATATCTCCCACGGTTCTAGCTTTGACTGCCTTTGTCGGTATTTTTGATGTATTTCTGCCATTATATCATCGGTTTATTTTGGGACGGTCGTGTTCGAACCGTCTTTTGTTGGGTTGAGCGATAGGGCCATGACAGGCGAAATGATTTATTTGAATCATAAATTAAGCGAGAGCGTGCCTTTTCATCAGTGAATATCCGTATTAAGCGATTGAATTGGGCGAACTTCATTTTTGTCTATCATTATCCAGTTCATTTTGAGTCATGGTGGTTACTTTGCTGCTTCAGAAAAGCTCCTCGGCGATAGATCGACATGCTGGCTTGTCGCTTTCTATGGTCGTCGCACTAAATGACATCTGACATCGGAATTGACGACCCCAAATCCGCGCGGGGTCTCAGATTATAATACACTATCTCACAGTCTCTCATGAACAAATCAGGATAACCTCGGACGGTACCCACAAACTTTGCTGACCCGGAGAACTGTCCGACGTGGAACGCCTGGTGCGGAGAACTGGAGAACCTCGGCAGCCGGCCAATCTGGTTGCAATGATAATCAGCAGAACCCCGCCTATTCGGACTTCGTACTTGATCACTCCTATCGCAACTACGACAGGAAAACAATCGTTCATCATCACACAGCGAAAATTCAACATGGCTCCCCCAACAGCAACCGAGACTGTTAGCAATATTACCGTGCAGACCCCGCAGTCTAACCAGGCGGCGGGCGCTGAAAAGGCCAAAGTCAAGATGCAGATGCCTAGCATGCCCAAGTTCGAAAATAAGATGGAGGAGCGAGAGTATCTCAAGGGCCGTCTAGCTGCGGCGTTCCGGATCTTTGGAAAGAATGGATACGACGAGGGTATGGATGATGCACTAGCTCGTCTTCGAAAGACACAGTAGTGATACTCACAGTTCATTCCAATAGGTGTTGCTGGCCACATTACTCTACGCGACCCAGTTGACCCGACCACTTTCTGGGTGAATCCATTCGGCACTGCATTCTCTTTGATCAAGGCTTCCGATTTGATTCAGGTCGACCACGCCGGTAAGGTCATCGATGGTGGACCTAATCGTTTGCTCAACGCAGCGGCTTTCATGATTCATTCGGCTATCCACGCCGCCCGGCCGGATGTACTATGTGCAGCTCATAGCCACAGTTTGTATGGCCGCGCCTTCTGCTCCCTAGGTCGGCCACTCGATATCATCTCACAGGACTCCTGTGCATTCTACGATGTAAGGGACCTCTCAATCCAAATATGCCAGAGAAATAAAAAAAAAATTGACTCGGTCCGGAAAATAGGACCACGTGGTATACAAACAATTCAACGGCGTCGTCCTCGCCGAGGAAGAAGGCAACAATATCGCTGCGGCGCTGGGTAACAGGAAGGCTGCACTGCTGCAGAACCACGGTCTTCTCACCGTGGGCAAGAGCATTGAAGAGACCATTTTCTGGTTTGTGAGTCTGGAGAAATGCTGCCATGCGCAACTACTCGCCGATGCTGCGGCGAACGGACGGGGGGGACAGACGATTAAGATTGACGATGCGGATGCTGCCTTTACATACAAGACTGTTGGGACCCCCCTAGCTGGATGGTTTAGCGCCAAGCCGCTGTTTGATGTCATCCATAAGGAAACCAACGGAGACTATCTGGAATAATTTAGAAATGAAAGCCCTTACTCCTTGATGTCAGGGTTATCGGGACGTCAAACCAGTCCTGGAGCGAGAGACTCGGGTGTGGCTTCGGGGGTCTCTCTCCTTTTTCTTCAAAACCAGAATTTATGTATATAGCGATGACAGGAGTGGACCTCCAATCTCTCGTGCTTCTTCACGTTTTGCACTGGTTGAACACAAGCTCCAACAAGCTTCGTCAGCCTATCGAAGGAATATGATCCACTAACCGGAGACTTCGCTGCGTTGGTAGCTACTGTCCGTTTTAACTTTGGTAGAAAAATTAATGCGTCAATCACCGTGTTGGCGGTTCGGGGATCCACCGTTTCAACTAGCTGGAGTCTATACTGACTGGTGTCTTACTTTGAAACAACACCTTATGATCCGGCCTCAACGAGCTTATTTGTTTCCACCACTGAAGTGAAAGGGGAAATGCATAAATATCAGCGATTGGCCCTGACCAAATATGAAAGATCAGCAGTGCTCACTTTTAACTCACGAGCCAGTTTCGCGATCACCTTTTTCAAACCATGAAGTTTCTCCTTCCTCTCCTGACCGGCTCTGGTCTTGCCAGCGCTGCAATCTTCGGCTCGCCCACGACCCATACCAAGCGTGATAGCTGGGGAGGCAGTGTGTCATTGGGCCCGTCCAAGTCGACGATTATCAATGCAGTTACCACTATCATTCCAGGTACTGCTCCGTCCACTCAGAATGGCGAGCTCTTCCTTTGGCCTGGCATGTCCAATGGAACTGGAGACTTGATCCAGACGACCTTGGAGAGCTGGCCTGATAATTCCTGGTGTGGAGCCACCACTGGCCAGTGGTGTGTCCGCGCCAGTGTCTTTGGATCCTTCGGCCAGCTGGATGGCACTGGCAGCCCCGTCAGTGGGTCTGAAAAGGTCCGGATCGAATACAATCTGGAGAGTGACGGAGAGACATGGACGCAGTATGTTATCCCAGAATCGATGGGTACTTGATTGGATCTTAACCTTCTCGCAGGACTGTCACCAATGCTGAGACTGGAGCCCTCCTTTCTTCTTATTCTCGTGCCTCTGGGCCGTACATGACCGGGTATGTGACTCGAAGAATACGGTATAATTCCCAGTTACTGATTTTTCTACAGCTACGGTACTGGAACCGAGTGCGACAGCGACTGTACCGGCACTATCGCTTCCCAGCAGTACCTGAACACGACTATCACTCTGGCCTCCGCCGATACCACCTTCGGCAGCACCATTGCCACTGCTCAGGGTGCTACTTATACTGGGTTGAAGTCGAGCCAAAACGGCAAGGTCTGGGTTATTGACACCATCAACATCCTTTCCATGTCCTAAAGCTGGAGGAGTATAATGGGGAATCGTGAATTCTCGTCAAGGACAGATGTGAATAAAGAAAACTTTGTGTATAAATTGAAAATCGCTGCAACTGGCTTTGCAAGGGGACCACCAAGACTACGTCTATACATTAAATACTAAACATTATTCATGCTCCTGGTAGTCAATATCCACCACCAACCTCACCGGCCCGGGATAAGCCGCACCCCCAATACCATCATTATGTCTTTCGGACTCGGTATAAGCATTAACCACCTTCTTCGCCTGAGGCGTAATAATAGAACACCCCTTCTCATCAGCCATACAGATTCTCATACCCTGCACATCCTGATGCGCAATCTGCGCCTGGATAGCCGAAACATCCCACCCAGACCAACCGCCATTCTCCCCATCTCCGAACGAAAACTCTCCCCAGGTCGACGTGAATCCACCCCAGTTATCCACCGGCAACCCACTAATTCCAGGTGCCGCACCCCACGCTCCCTCGGAGTCTTCGTCGAACGCGATATACCGCGTCTCGTCGGGCGCAAGAATGAACGTCAATGCAGAATGGCCATACCACCCATCCATCTTGCCATCAGGGCCGACCTTGTTCCAAATTGTGATCGTCCAGGGTATGGTGTTTGAGCCCGTGAAGCGGACGACGTATTTGTAGCGGTATGCCTCAGTCGGACTCACGGAAATAACGTTGCTTCCCCAGGGAATTCCGATATTTCCCTGGTATTTGATATTTTTGCCCGACGGCTTGCTCCGTCCGCCAAAGCGGTCGAACAGAAAGTTCCCATCTTTAGGAATGGCGGTCCAGTCGAGGATCTCTAGCACAGCTGATTCGCTCGGTTCCAGGATTTGGCTCAAGGGCAATGATGGGAGTGCTGAAAGTGGGAGGTCGGAGACGACGTCCTTGGGGACGTCTTCGAGTGCCTGTGGGACTTGTGAAAGGAGAGGGAGGAGACCTGGAGCTGCCGGTGCATCGAGCTTTGCAGGGACTGTTGGTGCTGGAGGCACTGGCGGTGTCGCGTCTGTCTTTGTTTCGACAGTGATGTTCGCGGATGGAGCCGTATTGACGAGGCTGGCGCTAGCAGTGACAGTGTGTATTTCTGTTACTGTCTTGGTCATGTCGATGGTGGTTGTCTTTTCATCGTGTGACGACACCAATTTCTTGACCTCGGATAGAGAAGGCATAGTTTGACTTGGTGTCGACTGTGTAGGCATTGACTGGGTTGCCATTGACTGTGTTGCCATCGATTGTGTAGGCATTGACTGTGTAGGCATCGACTGCGTGGGCATCGACTGCGTGGGCGTCGACTGCGTGGGCATTGACTGTGTTGCCATCGATTGTGTAGGCATTGACTGTGTAGGCATCGACTGCGTGGGCATTGACTGTGTTGCCATCGATTGTGTAGGCATTGACTGTGTAGGCATCGACTGCGTGGGCATTGACTGTGTTGCCATCGATTGTGTAGGCATTGACTGTGTAGGCATCGACTGCGTGGGCATTGACTGTGTTGCCATCGATTGTGTAGGCATTGACTGTGTAGGCATCGACTGCGTGGGCATTGACTGTGTTGCCATCGATTGTGTAGGCATTGACTGTGTAGGCATCGACTGCGTGGGCATTGACTGTGTTGCCATCGATTGTGTAGGCATTGACTGTGTAGGCATCGACTGCGTGGGCATTGACTGTGTTGCCATCGATTGTGTAGGCATTGACTGTGTAGGCATCGACTGCGTGGGCATTGACTGTGTTGCCATCGATTGTGTAGGCATTGACTGTGTAGGCATCGACTGCGTGGGCATTGACTGTGTTGCCATCGATTGTGTAGGCATTGACTGTGTAGGCATCGACTGCGTGGGCATTGACTGTGTTGCCATCGATTGTGTAGGCATTGACTGTGTAGGCATCGACTGCGTGGGCATTGACTGTGTTGCCATCGATTGTGTAGGCATTGACTGTGTAGGCATCGACTGCGTGGGCATTGACTGTGTTGCCATCGATTGTGTAGGCATTGACTGTGTAGGCATCGACTGCGTGGGCATTGACTGTGTTGCCATCGATTGTGTAGGCATTGACTGTGTAGGCATCGACTGCGTGGGCATCGACTGCGTGGGCATCGATTGTGCAGGCATTGACTGTGTAGGCATCGACTGTGTCGGCCTCGTGTTGATCCCCTCTAGTTTCGGTGGTTCGGGCATTGCAGGAGCTGGGACAGCTACTCCATTATTTGGGACATGTATTAATTGCGCGAGGATTGTGGTAGTGAAAGGGTCAATGGTGTTCGTTGCCACGCAGTCCGTGAAGACGGTTGTTGTAATGGTGCGAGTCTCCAACATGCTGTTCGCTGGGATGCGGTCAGCCCAGTCTACGCCCCGGGGCTCTAATTGTTGCTCATGAGGCTTGAGGTGTAAATGGTGATGTATGTCATGATGATGATGAGATCCAAAGGCATGCTCGATTCCTATGACCACAAGAAGTGGTACGGTGGTGCCCCAGCGCATTTCAAGGTCAAGTGCTTTAGGAGGCTATTTGGTTGATCACTGAGACGAGGAAGGAAGACGATAATGTCGAATTGATCTGGTTAATCGGGTATCGTGCACTATAGTTGCCGAATTCTATTTGAACATTGTCGAAAAGTTGTCAGCCTGGGTTTGTTGTTGCCGTGTTCGGTTTGTTGGTGTGTGCGCGACAGCAGACGCGATCCGACTTTATACTTTGACGCGAAAAGGTCTGGCCCATTGATGGTCAAGAATGTTGCTCTTGTGTTTGATCTAGAAAGGGGATCTGATATGGACTGTAGCAGCCCTGAATTCCTTCGCGTCTTGGCTACCTTGCCGGATCCAGGGCCGCCGACGAGACAAATAATCGACTTCTTCATCTGATATCAAAATTCTATATCCTTAGTGGGAAATATAGCAAGATCTCAATCAAACTTGATTCAATACTTCTGAAAATTAATTCTAACAAAAACACGTTAAGTATCCATAGCGAGGAGCTGGTAGGGAGTGAATGCAACCCGCCCTGCCAGGAACCCCCTGCGCAGGACATTCCGGGGCGCCCGATGACGAAATGCCTCCCTTCTACCAGAACGTGGAACTCTGAAAATTAATAAAAACATGGATGAGATTGGATTGGCCATCTTGAAGTCAGGAGCGGTTACTCACGTGGTGTAACAGTAGTATCGGCTTTCTGACTAGACCACTGTGTAGTCTCATCAGAACTAATTAGTATGCAATCCTATCCCCAAGATTATCACGATCGGGCAGGGTTTCCGACAACCATGCCTTCCATCAAGAAACAGATGAGTCCACAAAGGGCATTTGACAGTGTTTGTCGCTAGAAATGCAATAGGTAGTGTAAACGAGATGCTGCATGGTCGGGTTGCACTTTTGCTGCGCTAGGTTTGTGACCTAGGATATATATCGCCACCTCCGCGCAAAAACCTTGTCCACCCACAGAAGTTCCATTTCAATAGTAGTAGGTGGAGATATATTTTCAATCATTGCTAATGATAGACATACGCCGAGAAAGTGTCTATGAATCTTTGTACCTCAAACAGCTATACTTACGCTTGGCAGATCACCGATCGGTCACTATCAATAAATACGAGTTCTGGGGTCCAGCAATCGCCAAGATTACCCCAAAACCTTGGAGTCTTTCATCGGTGGGCCAATAGGGGCAGCTTAGTCTATCGGGGGGCCTTGATTGCTAATTTTCACGCGCTAAACCATAACGAGGTAAAGACACGCCGAAGTGGATCAAGAATAGCGAATCATTGAACAAGCCAGACAAACCCCCGCCTGGGTCGAAAGATTTACCCAAAAGAGGATGGTCGTGCCTGGTCCGGGGGGCCTGGAGAACCACATAAAACGCTTCAATATCGCTCTTGTGAGGCCTTTTCTAGATCTTCAGACCTCGTTGCCATCATGACTTCTCTTCACCCCTTTGATCCGATTACCCCCGGGGAGATTCAGTTGGCCGTTCGCATCCTGGAGGCGGCTTTTCCTGGCGTCAAGTTGCGGTACAAGCGCATTGATCTCCAAGAACCCACTAAGCATGAGACCATCCCCTATCTCGAGGCCGAGCGTCTCGGCAAGCCGCGTCCTCGCAAACCGGCACGTCTGCTGATGGCTTTGTTCCATCGCCTTGACAATGGCTCTTTCTTCAAAGCAATCTTGAACGCGGACACCAAGTCCATTGTGTCAGCAAAGGAGCTCCCCAAAGATGTCCAGGGCCCCGTGGATATCGACGAGATGCTTGAGATTGAGGCAATCTGCTTAGCACACCCGGCTGTCCAGGCAGAGATTGAGAAATTGAAGCTCCCAGCAGGGATGTCGGTTTGCATGGACCCTTGGATCTATGGCACCGAGGATGCTAATGAAACTCGGCGCTTGACCCAATGCTACATGTATATCGTGGCTGTTGACCACCCACAAAACAACCAATACTCTATCCCTTGCAAATTCTCTCCCGTCTTTGATGGCATTACGCATGAGCTGGTGCGCATGGATTATCTCCCTGGTGGAGCGGATTCCCAGACTACGGACACCCAACCATGGAAGCAAGTGGCCGCGGTTCAGTATGCTCACGAACTGCTTGATGAGCCATTGCGCACCGATCTGAAGCCATATATTGTGCAACAGCCGGAGGGTGCTTCGTTCAATGTCATTGGCAATGCAGTCTCATGGCAGAAATGGCGCTTCCGCGTTGGCTTTAACAACCGCGAGGGCTTGGTCTTGCACAATGTGACCTATGATGGTCGCAATACTTTCTATCGCTTGTCTTTCTCAGAGATGACTGTTCCCTATGGCGGTAAGTCTTTTAGCTCCTTTTTCAACAATCCCGAAGGAACCAATGGCTAACACTTGGCAGATCCCCGTGCTCCATACCACCGCAAGCAGGCCTTTGATGTTGGCGACGTTGGCTTCGGTATCACCGCAAACCAACTCTCCCTTGGCTGTGACTGCCTTGGTCATATCAAGTATTTTGATGGTTTCCGCACCGACGCCAAGGGTGAACCCGTGCAACTTAAGAATGTGATTTGCATGCACGAGCAGGATAACGGTCTGCAACACAAGCACACTAACTACCGCAGTGGCGCTGCAACTGTCGTTCGTAACCGCCAGCTCGTGGTGCAGATGATCTGTACCGTGGCTAATTACGAGTATATCTTTGCATTCATCCTCGATCAAGCTGCAAACATTGAGCTTGAGATTCGTGCGACTGGTATTTTGTCAACCGTACCCTTCGATAACACGGACGGCCAGACTGTACCTTGGGGCACCAATGTGGGACCAGGCGTGATGGCCCCTTACCACCAGCACATGTTCTCACTGCGGATTGACCCTGCTGTGGATGGATATAAGAACACCATCTATTACGAGGACAGTGTGCCAATGCCCGAGGATGACTCGAACCCCTGGCTGGTCGGATACACCACTGAGAAGAATGTCATCAAACAGAGCGGTAGCGCCTCGACCAGCGTTGAGAAGCACCGTGTGTTCAAGATCCGCAACGATAACATCATCAACCCAATTACCCACCACCCAATTGCCTATAAGCTGCAGACCAGCCCAAGCCAGATGCTTTTGGCCAACCCCAAGTCCTTCGGCGCGAAGCGTGCTCAGTTCGCCACGCGCCCTATCTGGGTGACCAAGTATCAAGATGATGAGCTCTTCGCCGGAGGTGAATTCACCAATCAGAGCAAGAAATCCGAGGGCGTCGAGGTGTGGGCAGCTCGCAATGAGAACGTGGAGGATGAAGATGTTGTTCTATGGCACAGTAAGTCGTCGCACTCCCATTTTGGTCTCACAAAAAGCATTTGGCTTACACTTAGCACAGCATTCGGTCTCACCCACAATCCTCGTGTCGAGGATTTCCCTGTGATGCCTATGGAGCGTGTTAGCGTCATGCTCAAGCCGGATGGCTTCTTCACTAAGAACCCAGCCTTGGACGTCCCGCAGTCTTCGCAGTCTTTCAATCAGTCCACCCAACACCCGGAGCCCTCGTGCTGTTCTGGCCCCCAAGATCGCAACCAGGTGAAGCTGTGATCATCGGGATAACCCCATCTGATAATAAATTTCGTTTTCTCCATATCATAATGTGCCAGCGACTGGGCGCGTACCTGAATGACGTATATAGCCCTCGCAATAGATACCTTTTCAGACACGCTCGTGCCTCACTGCCCTCCGTACGTCCAATTTAAAGTGCCTTTCCTTACTCGGAGGTTACAGAGAACAAAGAATGGAATCAACTCATGATGATTGCTTGGGAATATGTGGGTGCAAATCTGAAATTGCACTTGTGAACTGAACGTGTGATAGAGGAACTCCGTCTCTATCTTCTGACGGCATACTGGAAGCTTGACTGGGTCTATCCACTCAAGGAGCAATCGGTGTTCTTGCCAGCCCGGTCAATATCCATCAATTAGGAGAGGGCAGCCTTTTCACCAGTGGGCTCGTCGCCGAGCTGCTGGATCCACTCGTCGCTCGTAAGGAGATTGACCTTCCGCTTGAAAATCTTATTGATCAGGAAATTGTGAGTCTCCTCATCACGGTCTTTGCAAAGATCACACAGGAGAGTGATCTTGTAATCCAGGTCTGCGGCATGGCGAATGGTCGACAGGACAGCGCCGCTGGTAGAAATGCCCGCGACGGCAATTCTCTCGGTATTGTAGCAGCGGAGAATCATGTCGAGCTCAGTACCGAAGAAGGCGGAAACACGGCGCTTGGTGATGACTACCTCGTTATTGATGGGAGTGACGGCGGGGTCGACCTCGGTGGTCGGGTCACCCTCCACGAACAGGCCCGCGGCGGCGATGCCGGAGACAGATGGGTTGGATGGGTGAAACTCGGGGTACCCAGGGCGGAAAGCAGTGATAACATGGATCACTTCGATGTTGTTCTCGCGAGCGGCGTTGAGGGCTTGGCTAAGGCGTTTGAGGTACTCGCCATCATCGCCAAGCATATCGAGGGTGCCTTTCTCGACATCGAGGATGAGTAGAGTGGTGGTCCCCATGGTGGCTGAAAGAGTATCGGAAGTTTTGGGTATTGGTGAGAGCTCCAAAGGGTGCAGAGTGATTTGAATTATCGAGAGATGTGTTGGATCGAAGAGGTGTCACGAAAGAAAGATGGTGTCAGGAAAGAAAGATGGTGTGAAGAAAGAAAGAGGCTTGTTGATGATGCTTTGCTGCGATGCCGGTTCCGCGTTCCCTCTATCCCGGAATCGGAACTTGCCTTGTATGGGCAAACAAAGCCTTTAACTTATAAACTTGCCTTTCAGAAATCTAAAAGGAATCATTACAGCCATCATTGCTAAGGCCACACTGTTTTTGGAAATACACATCGTAAAGCAGCGTTTCTATCAACATGCTGCATCAATATCTGTTGTACAAGATTTGAACATTCGAATCTGACCAGGCTTCCATACTTCCACACGCCGAGTCGGTGCAGGAAATGACCAGCTAGAAAGGCACAATAACTTCCCAGAGAATAGAAACTTAGCAAAATTTAACTCCTCGAGGCGCTAGCGAGCCTGATTTGCCATTGTGGCCGAGGCTCAAACCAGTTCTTGTTCTGCTTTGAATTTTTGGTGTCTTCGCGAGTAGAGGAGTCCTTCTGACCTTTGGTTTTGTCGACCAGATTTGACCGGGGCTTGAACATTGGCTTCTGCCCGTTCTTTAAGCGCCTCAAAGACTCTTCTATCTCCCTGACCCTCTGTTTTTCTTGTAACAGCAACTTCTCCTCTTCAAGTATGCGGGCGGCTTCTTCTCTTCGCCTCTTGTCTGCTTCGCGCCGCTGCTTTCGCTTCTTTCTTTTCTTCTCACATTTTTTGCGAAGTTCTTCTTCATCTTGCTGCAGTTGAAGACGTGCCTGGTCAGATGGCTCATTTACCTGACCATAGCCATACTCAGATCCGTCGGCTTGAGCTTCGATCATTGCCAGCTGCATGATCAACATTGCTTTCAACATCCTCGCCCACCTTCTCGGAGTTTGATTTGTTGGAATTCGAGACCGGTAGTAGAGGGGAAGGATCTTGGGCCTTGTGGCCAGAGCAAACAAATCTGGCAGCTAGGAGACGTTCGAGGGCAGAATATGCTGCGCTCATCTCCTTGTATGCCTCCATCACCTTGCTCTTGCATCTTTTCTTCGTCTTTGGAGAAGTTGCGTCAACCAGACTGTCAAGTCTCTTGAGCATTTTACGTTTTTGGCTTCTGCACCACTTCGAGTCTTCATCATCAATCACGTTGTTGAGCTCCGGGGTCACTGAAAGGTCGTGCGTTTGTGGATTTAGGGGCTCAGCTGCATTGGACGAAATCTCGGCATCTCTGCCAATTGTCTCATCCTCTTCAGCGTGGAAGTAATCTGGAATGCTGTTCAATAGGAAGTCGTCGTAAGGGAGCTCTTCTGCTGACTCAAAGTCGCCCTCTTGAGAAGGCATGTATTCTTCATTCTGGGATTTGTTCGTGTCCTCTGAAATGAAACCATCCAGTCCGTCATCATCACATTGCGCGCGTTGGGTTTGGGATGCAGGAATTGACTCTAGCGTTCTCTCTGAAGGCTCCGGTGAAATCAAATTCAATACAGTTCTCTGGGGAGGAGTTTGCGGTCTCAGTCTTGACTTGTTCCGCATAGAAGAGCTTGTCATTGTGGGTTCTGGAGCGCCATTGTTGTCGATAAGGTTGCAAATGGTTTTCTGATCCTGGGCCCGAAATAGGCAGGTTTTCCTCCAACCTAGTGCAATCGCTTTCTTCACGGTTGAGTGTTTCATGAACTTACTGATGGCTGCAGCAAATTCCCGGGGCTCGGCCTTGAACCCAGCTAGCTCATCACCTTCGGCTTCGACCTGAGCCACAATCCAATCTGCATATAGGCCTTCGATGCATGCGAACACGCCATGGTTCAACGGATTGAAGTATGGCGCCCCATGGCGGGTGATACACACACAGAAGATATTTTTCAGCCAGCAAGTGATGAAAAATTCGGGACTGATGGGGAATCTGTATCCGTCAATCAACATTAAGCGACGTGGAGCCTCCTTTCCAACCGCACCAGTGGGATTGGTCTTTGGATCGAAGACACGCTCGAGCCAATCAAGAAGATGAAGGGGCTCAGCCCATCCATCCAGACTGAAGCAGACAGGAGTATCGTCAAAAGTGTCCTGTGATTTCTCGATACGGCCAACCTTGAAAGTGATACACGGCGGCAAAGGCGCTCCGACATGGGGCGCGCAACGAATAACCAAAGCCAAGTGCCGGGGCTCAAGTCTTTGGCCATTTACTGTCAGTGGCCGAGGAACTATGAGTCGCTTATTCCAGCCAGAGGTGGTCATGAGGAGAGCCAGATCCGTCAGAATAAAAACTCTCTCTTCAGGAATTCCGAGAAGCTCAAAATCACTCTGAAAGGTCGCCGGGAATTGTCGCAGCCTTGACTTTATTGTTTCAGAGTCTTCTTTAGTGATCTGAAACTCCCGTGCACTTTCCATCTCTCTGCGAAACTCTAGGTTTGAGTCGTAACTATAGATGCTGCGAGGTCGAGCGCGCAGAAAAGTCACCTCAACCTTTTCGACGAGTTTCAAATACGAATTTGTGATATCATCGAAAATGGTCATTCTCGGCACTGGAAACCGAAACTTGATCCAACGACGATGCCAGAGCATAGCTCTCTTTGCCTGCTCTTGTGACAATGTGTTGGGTACACGTTTAATGGTGCACGGCACTTTAGAGCGAGGGGCTTTTGAACGTCCTTGTTTATCTCGAGTTTCTTCCCGGCTCTGATTGTCTCTGGAGACAATCGAGTTGTTTGAATTCTGATTGTTTTGTTCGGTCCGGGTCTGGCCTTGTCTCTGGGATGCTATAGCAATCGCGCTGCTAGTGAGATCTCGCCGGATTCGAGATCGATTGGGGTTCTCAGTCGCAGATCGACGCCTTGCTTGATTTTTCCTCGACATTGACTCTGTAATAGTCACTTTCTTGGGTGCAGAAGGATCTGCCATTGCCTTCTTGCTAGTATGTGCTCGAGGCATCGTCCTGCGCTCTTTGCTAGGACTTGAATCTGGCGCCGGGGCGGGTGTTCGAAGAGTGATACCGTAACCACCAGTGCCATTAGGAATATTTGGAATCTGGACAGAATCGAACAGTTGCATCACTCTTCGATCCCGCTTGATAATTTCTCGGACTGATTCGTGAATCTCAACGTCACTCCGGGTGATGCCCATCCAGACGGCCTTGACGGCGGATGCTCTGCCTGGGCTGCCTTCGCAAGAGATGAAAATGGGACAGTTGGAAGCCCAAAGCCTTAGACAAAGGTTGAACTGAGTGAATCCAGCTTCAAACAAGGGCAAAAAGTCAGGAAAGACTCGGAGAGAATGTCGACACTAGGAGAGTAAGGGTACGACTAAAGAGTATTGGACAGCAGCGGCAAAAGTGGACTGGTGAAAAGCGGCTCGACACAGGAGGGGGGAGCGAGCGCCTTGGAAGCAGGTGTTCACTTCCTTGTCTGCGTGGCCAGTAAGACACAGATTGACGCAGGAAGACTTGAGACTCGATCGGGCAAATCTGAACGGTAGACCGGCAAGACTGACGTTCAACAGGCGAATTGAAAAGGCTGATGAAGGTATTGCAGAAGGATGAGAATCGTGAGAGCGAGAAAGAGGCACAGGGAGAAAGTTGTTACCTTGGTAGGCGTCTCAGTGAGAGAGTGGAGAGAGAAAGTGAGGGGAGCAAATGGAGAAGGGGGAAGACTGAAGTGGATTTGAAGATATTACAGGAATGATAGAGAGAAGAGTGCTCCCACTGAGAAGATATGGGACACCTGAGACGGCACCTGGGCGTAGCCACTCCTACGGCGGCAAGCAAGTTCTCCTAGACAGTACGATAGGGGCAGTAAAAGACTTTAACAAGTCACCCACACGGTGATTGTGATTTAGAAACAATATCATATTTTTTTTTTTTTTAAAACTATGAGCTATGCTGATGTTAAGAAATGCTAAGCGCCCAATCAACAGACCTGGGCGTCCCAAAAAAAGGCAAGTGGTACAGGAAAACAGGAACCGAATGAAGACTGAATTTTATAACGAAAGAAAAAGTAGATGACTCTCAGAATAAATGTTGAAAAATAAAGAGTCTATAGACAACGAAACAAACTTTTAGTCTCCCCATGCCGTCTATTACACCGTCACTCAAAAGAAACGTGGGTAGCCGTTTGTCGAGGTTCTTTTCTCATTCTAGGATGCCGACGTTGCTTGCTAGACTTCTCCTTCCTGACTTTGGTCCTTTTGAATGTCTGGGGCGTCAAAGGCCGTGATGAAGTAGACGGGGCAGAGAATCTTGTCGAGCGTGCCTTTACGAGTTCTCGTAAAGCATTGATAGTCCTAGGTGCAAATACAGAGAGAATTGGAGCTAAGGCGAGAAGCTTTTGCTCGTAGGTTCGTTTCTGCGATTCTGGCGTTTGGGGGTCTGAAAGCGCCCGAACTTGCATTCGATAAGCCTCTTCAATACCTGCACCTGTCCAGGTATTGTCGGTATTATCTGCCATATCATCTGTTTCGGCGCATTGTTTGTCTCGAGGCCTGTAGCCACCACGATCTGCCCGCAGAGGGGTACGACAGTTGAGAATCTCAACAGAAGAAGGCAATGGCCGGGTGCAATTTGCGGACCGATTGGGCGGTTGCATCAAGGCTCCAGACATTCCGTAGAACGGCGAGACGGATTCAGGCCCTCGGCGAGATGGTGGAGATGCGCGTAAGATAGGAGCAGCTTCCTCTCGGGTCGAAGTCTCGTGGTCAGAACCTTCAACATCAGAATCCTCGTCATTTGAAGGTAAGGAGTTTGATGCTGCATGGTCAGAGCTCTCATCCTCAGAGATCTGAATCATCTGCGGTGGTCGTGGGATTCGTTGAGATCGCAATAGTGATTGTGGTGAAAGGTCTGAGGTAGCAAGTCCAGCACCACTTGTTAGGCTATTCCCAGGTGTAAGTCGGTTATGATACCCCAATGGTCTCCCTGGTTCAGGTGGCTCGTATTCACTCTCCGACGTGCTCAAGGATTCGGTTGTTGACCCGCGAGCGCGTCGACCGTCTTCGGGTTGCTTCGAAGACTGTGGTGGAGACATGGGTTGACCTTGAACTTGTTTCCGGGTAGCTGATCGGGTTCTTGCTTTGACCGGAGTCACTGGCGCAGGGGTCGCAGGAATTCCTTTGACATGCTTGCTTAATGAGTCTTCATCCCTAGAATAGAGATGGCTTTTGGTCCATCCTCTGCTGAGTTGACCTTTCAGCAGATTCCGATCCAGTAAGCGCAGAATGAAATCTGTGACATCTCTCGGGTCTATAATGAAAGGCACTTTCTCTTCGCGATATCTGGTGGCAGCCTCGTCGGCATAGACCTTGTGCATCTTGGAGAACACTCCGCACTCTAGTGGGTTGAAGAAAGAAGACCCTTTATGCGGGATACACACCAAATAGATGCCTTTGTTCCAGCAGCTCATGAAGATCTCGGGAGTAATCCCGTACCGGATCCCATCAACCAGCAGAAGTCGTGCCTGCCCGTTAGGGCCTTTAACCCTGGCAGGCTTAGTCTCCTTCTCGAAGACACACTTAATCCAGTCAAGGAAGAATTCGGCATTGGCCCACGGCTTGGCGGCGAAGGAAGTGGATACATTTTTGTACATATTTGGTTGCTGATTGACCGCACTTGTCTTCGAGATCAGGTAAGGCGATAAGAATCGATTGTCGTGACTAGCACAGATAATGGCAGATGTCATTCTCCGGTAATCATCGTCGTCACGAGTCGAGGCGTCAATGTACAATCCCTGATGCTCCGAGGAAATTGCAGTCACAAATCCTGTGTCGCCAAACACATAGAGGTGCGCAGAGGGGATTTCCAACCCCCATTGCAGGTCTCTGAGGAAAGCCGGGAACCTTGAAAGTCGTTGCTCCTTGGCTTCTCGGTCCTCTTTCTTCAATTTGGCACTTTTATAGGCCTCGCGTGCCGCATGAACACGGTCCTTGATGGCGCGGTTCCGTCTGAACAGGCTCTCATAAAATTCATCGGACACACCAACGTCCTTGTTCGGATGATTGACGATGTGCATGAAATATCGCGCAAAAGCACTCACTTGCTTCCGGTTTTCAAGAGGAAACCCATGATCCAACCACCGAACTATCCACTCCGCGACTGTAGCCTCGTCTTCGTCACTCAGAATTCGGTTAATCCCTGGACGTGTTGCAGAACTGGCCTCGTCAGTGTTGGAAAGCCGGATGGCTGGGCCAACATCTTGGTGCGTTTGAGCCTCTTTTCTGGAGGCCCTTTTACCCATGGACTTAGCCATCACTACGGATGAGAGACACCAATGGTGATTGATCACTCTGAGGTTTCGGCTAAAGTCCCGAGTTCAAGAGAAGAATGGAAGACAGAGTCAAAGTATGAGCCCAGCTTTGATGAACTTGAGACCACCCTCGCACCAGCCTTCTGATTAGCTTCCCCCTTGGTCTTACGGGGAGTGCTCGTTTGAATTGGGATGACCCAGTTGCCGCCGATTGACGCTACCCCAGACGAGCCCCTCTGTCCGATCCAGTGAGAGTTTAGTATTAGCCTATTAAGATTGCGAGGCTCAACATGACCGTGAAAGCTCACCTTCTCCGATTTTTTGCGCTATTAGAACCAGACTTCAAATCACTGACCCTTAGAACAGCTTTGAGCAAGAGTAAATCCCACACTGGCACTGAGAGAAATTTTAGGAGGTCCAAAAGCTCTAGTCCTGTTTCGGTAAATTGTCAACAATGACAGGTCCAAAAATCTATTCGGAGAAAATTGGGGAGAAAAATGGGGAGCAAAATCTCTGCATGTGACATGGCGTCTAGTTCTGACAGCTACGATTAAACATTATTTGCTTGTCGTTACCATAGGAGATTTAATAAACAGACCAAAGTACATTCGTAAATCGTGGAGGTTATGATCCGGATACGGAGGCATCATTCTACTGTAGCCAATCAAGTTCCGCAGCACGGAACGCAAACTTCTTCGGATGCAGAAAGTGCGCTCGGGTCTGACCCAGGGGGTTGAGTCTGGAATCTTCATTGTCATAACTGTGGTACATGAAGCTAATGAAGCTGTAGAGATCAATCCTAATGGTTCTCAACTTCTTCACCCCCTATGCGGGTACTCGCAAATGCGCTCGCCTAAGTAGTTCCGATGGTCCATTTTTCGAGATGACCTCAAAACAGGTGACCCAGATCAGAAGGGCAATGGCCGAGAAAGTGCCCTGCTGCGACTTCTATGATACAAGCCACCTACCACGAGAGTTGGTCTGAATAACCCCACTGTCCGAGGTAGACAGTCAGGGATTCGGCAAAGATATCATGGTAGAAGTTCGCTTTTCTGAGTTAGCTAGAAGCTTTTATTGCAACTGCTCTCTTTGATCAAGTCTGGGATGTCCGGGGTTGACCCTAAAAGGTGGCGCGAACAGCCTGGAGAAAGCTCCACTCACCGGTGCCAATGTACCCACATGAGTAGTCGTCCTCCAGAGCCACTTCAAAATACTTCTGCCATGACTTTGATGAGCAGGATAGAAATCAATTACTATCTGTCAGAATATCCGAATCATAACCATGTAGAAAATTCGACCCTTGGTTGGATTAGATTTTAACCTTAAATCTTCGGTCGAGCTCGGCGCTTACTTAAGAAATCGATTACGTCGCCGACGCCGTCCATGGGATCACCGGACAACGCAACCTCTCCTTGTCACGCAGGACCAGCATGGCCGACGACGAGCCTTTAGCCTGCACAAAGAAGCACCATCATCCTATGGCCAGGTTCCTCTGAACCACGATCTTCTCCCAACAGCCATGGCGCAAGAGCCAGTACCCCTCACTCATGGCAGACATGGTATGCGACCCTTCCCATCGTCCACGTCTATCGACCCAATCTAACGCTGCGCAGAGATGCTAGCCCCAGTTGCGCGCTTGAACGGTCGGGTGTTTGACGACGACCCCGTGATCACGTACATGTTGCTTGACATGCCAACGGAAGAGCGACTAGCGTACCTCCCGACGTACTGGTCCGTTCTCGTCAAGTCTGCTTTGCTCAACGATGCGATCATCACCGAGGCGGACGGCTGGAAAGCTGCGTCTGTTGTTACCCCCCTGGGTAAGCATGTTGACAATATCTGGACTCTCTTCTATGCTGGCTTCCTCTGTGTGCTATGGAAGATGGGACTTTCTGGGTTCAAGGTACGACGGCTCGCGACATCGAAAGCGAAAGCGAAATCAGGAGCTAACTCCGTGTAGCGTCTATGGACCGAGTTCTCAGGCATGACCGATAATGCGAAAAAGATCGGTCTCCGTGGACAGAAGCAGTACTACTACATCTTCAGCATAGGGACTGAGGCCGAGCACCGTGGGAAAGGTAGCGACACCGGCTTCTGACTACTGCTGAGATAGAATACTAATTGTGCTGCAGGTCTCGCCAAAGCCATCATGCGCGAGCACATGAGGAAAGCTCAACTCGAAAACGTCCCTATCTGGCTGGAAGCTACAACACCCAGCTCACGGAAACTGTACCTCTGGATGGGATTCGAGGAAATCGAGGAGATCACACTTGGGAAAGGCAAAGTCGACAGAAACGCACACCTCCAACCTGGAGGACCGGGTGTACCGCTCTGGGCGATGGTCTGGTGGCCTGAAGAGCAGTCTGGTCATAACTCTTCATCCTAAGACGATTGTTATTATCCTGTCAGTTTCTACTTACGCATCTTCCGTGGACTGCGGCATACATTCCCACCACAATACGCAGCTCTGAATTATCTGTAATTTGGTTTTATGCTTCAAGACTTTTCACGCGATAGAGATCTTGGTAAAGCCCACGTTTGAAAGAGAAATAAGTACACACTATATGGCCCACTTCGTGAGACACCAGAAGCATTTTTTCAGAAAGGTTACAAAATAAAGCCCACCAGCCAGACTTATAAGTTGGTCTACATCTCGACGAGTCGAGTATTCTGACACGGTACCTCGTTTAGCAGACACTCTCCAGCGATTTCAGATCCTTGGGGATAACACCGCTCTTGACAGCATCTAGAATCAGATTAGCACCCCCTCTATCGCCGTCTTCCAACACAACTATAAACTCACCTTGATAAGACCAGCGGTAATCATTCAGCTGAGCCTTCCAAGTCCAAAACACCCAGCCTTGTTGCTTCTCATAAGAATGCACCTGCGCAGCAAACCACTTCTTGTAAAAATCTGTGTTCGAGCTGGGGTCCCATTCTGATGACGATTGCACATCATCAGGGACAGACAAACTCCATTCGCCAACGATGGTGGGGGTATTGCTGTCGCGATTATCGTTGCAAGATTCACTGATGTAGCTATCGTGAGAGACATCGACGCTGGTGTCCCATTTGAGGTATCGGTGGTCGTCATAGGCGGCATAGTACAGGTCATCGAGGTATTGATTTGGATCCCCAGAGCCCCAAAGCTTATTCATCATTTGAATATGGAGATAGTCGTTCTTGTCGATACCGGCGCTGGTTTCGTTAGCGCGGATGCGCTGGAAAGGAAGGATGTCAGTATTCCTGGACGATACAATATCCGTGCGGAGACTTACTTCAAAAGCCTTCGGGTAGTAGTTCTGACGCATGGAGGAGGCCTTGTCGTTATCCTGAACTGGCTCATTGACGACCTCGAGCATACCAACGTTCCGGAACTCATTGACAGTATGAATAAGACCGGTCATCCACTCGAGGAACTTGAGAGCACGTTCGTACTGGTAGTCGACGTAGAACTCAGCCTCGGGTGCTGATTGACCAGTGAACGCGTTCTTAGGAGTCTGAGCACCCGGCGCACCGTGCAGGTCCATGATGATGTACATGCCGGCATCACTCGCCCAACCACAAAGCTTCTTGACGTAGTCGAGGCCACCTTGAGGAAAGTGCTCGCTGTCCGTGTAGACCAAGTCTTCACGAAGCCAATACCCAACAGGTACACGGATGGTGTTAAGACCATAGCTGACCATCTCGGTGATATCTTCTTGGGTGATCCAGCTGCCCCAGTGCTTCTGGAAAGCGCTGTTGGCAGCGTCCTGGCCGAGCGAGCTCACGCAGTCAAATTCTGAAGCTTGACCACCACAGCCCATATCATTCCAAGCGTTCTGCCCAATCCATGGCTCGAATATGAATTGAGATCCCAGGTTGACACCGCGGATCTTGCCATTGGATGTCGTGAACAGATTCGTGCCATCGCTGGCGGTGATTTCCTTGTTTGTTTTAGGCAACCAAGCCGCAACCAGGGTGGAAAAGGCGCCCAGCGCAATAATTTTCGAGAAGACACCCATGGTTGAGACGAGAGAGATACTTGGGTGGGCTTTTACTTGTTGACAAGGAGTTCAACTAAGACTAAATATCATTTTCAGGGTCTAGTAAGCACCCCACGATCTACCTCGGGAGACGCCCCTGATAGGCGGCAGTTTCAGGTTAAGCCAGGGGATGTAACCAACCGGCAGGCTTATAGACTTGATTCAAGACCAGAAAAGTAATGATGTTCGGTGTTTCAGGGTTGACGATTTCCCTAATCAGGAATCTGGCGTTCCTGTTCTCGAACGCCAGGATGATCTTGGGAAATCGCGGGTTGCGGTTGCTCTACTCCACTAACCCTTCTCGATAACTAATCTATGGAATTTATTCCTAGCACGCGCTGAGAACTCAGGCTACCTTACCCTTATTCCGAGGACGATTGTGATAAACAGCGTACGCGAGGAATTGGGGGCCACCTTGGCATTTGGGGCCCCGAAGAGATCGTCATGCCACTACTCAGCTAGGATAATCGGTCGGAGAACGTTGTCACAATCATGTTTTGCGACCGGTGTCTTATGGAGGAGTGAATAGTCATTCTAGTGAGCAAGGCTGGACATATTCGTAAGCAAACTGCTCCCATGTTCCCCTTTCGCACAGGGTAGGTAGTATTAGGTCGCTGTTTCAGATTTGCTGGAGCGGCTCGGTATTTACTTTCTGTATGTGAACGCAGCACTCTAGGCACTTTTACGGCGTATTCTGGATGCTACCAGGATCAGTTACCTTTGAGCTCTTGTGCGAGATTTCAATGATTGCGGTTGTTGTGGAATTGGTCCAGCTTCTGCTCTGAAACCATTTCTCCTCGTGATAATGGTTCTCAAATCCTGACGTAGGATGATATCACGGACTCCTTTGGCAATACCAATTCTAGTCCCCACCTGATCTGGCTGCAGTCTACCATCCTCATACCCTCTACTTAGACTACAGATATGATAATGGTAGTCTTCCGGGGAATGATCTCCCAGCCAAATCTAAGTGCGTCCAGTTGTTGTTCCGAGGAGACTTCGACTAGGGACGACCTGTGAAGGTTGTTGCATTTGGTAACTGTTGAGAGGTTTTCTGGTCAGGGTCTCCATTGACCAGGATCTTTTGATGACCATGGACTTCCATTAGAGCTCTCCGGTATGGCGATTCTTCTAGGTCTTCGTCATTGAAGGCAATCGTGGCCGGGCGCTCACAAGGTTAGCAACAGAAGCATTCGGTCACGAAAAGATTCAGGAGAAAGTAGTTAGCCCATTTACGATTGAGTACGAAAGTCCCATGAATTACGACTGGACATAACCAACATATAGACTCCATTATCTAACAATGTACAGTAGTCAAGCAAAAGCCACACCCGGCCTCTACCCTTCTCTCCCCTCCCACAAGCCCCGAACCCAGGAAATGACGATAGCCGCATCCAGATCCATCCAAAATCACAGAGTGGAGAACCCAGAAAAGCACCACCGATCATGCGATAAGTCCGAAGTCCACCCTAGGCCTCTAACAGGCTAAAGCACAAGCACAAACCATTCCACGTCATAGTTCTAATCCGGGCTCGCGGGGAAATCTCGGCCGGCCGAGAACCCCGTCGGGAGTTTCAACGCGGCACAAACGCCCACAATAAGCAGTCCAACGATACAAATACGAGGGGGCGGTCCCGTCAGGCTTGTGAGCTGCGAATGGGAAGCTCAAGATTTAGGGCCGAGCCGAGGAGGGGGAGGGGGAAATGAGACGCGATGGTTTGAACTGTTTTTGGAGCGGTAAGTCCCGGTTGAGGAGGAACCGTGTATTATTGCTAGGTTCGTTTGCGGTATTGGACTTGGGGTTAGTCGGGTGAGAGAGGCACAGGGTGTACATATATACGGGTCTTGCAGACGCTGGTAGGCGGGAGGTGTTTTATTTGAAACCCGGTTTACTGTGATATTACCGAGGTGGATCGGGGATCGAGGGACTGTCTGATCGCACATCGACTCTCGAGTCGCACTTCCCTTGGGTCGCAGAGCTTCACAGACTTAGCCTCATCATGAAGAGAATCATGAAACCTACGATGGACAGCTCAGGTAGGTGTTGTCCGACTGGATATCGCATAATCACAAAGTGGGTATGTGGTGTTATATAAACCGTGCTGACTAGCTCAGTGCCCATGCAGGATATACAAGAATAGAAACAGGATCGAGACGGCGAACATGCCATGCCACCAGAAAACCCCCTTCCCTGGGTCGTACAAAAATCTCCAGAAAAAGATCCACGGAAAATTTCCCCCCAGCGCCTTGATGCGACGAAAAGAGACCACGACAAATATTAGAAAGCGGGACTAATCACGAACTGCGACCAAATGTCACACAACTGGACTCGTGCCGCTCATGCTGGGGAACAGCATCACATCCGACACCCGGCCCAGGATATTCCGCATACTCCAATCCTCCATGGGCAACATCGGTCCACCAGTCCTAGCCATGCTAGGCGGCAACCCGGGGGTATTAGCCATCGAAGGCGGCGAGGGCAAAACCACCGGCGAGTACGTCTGTCCAGATACGGGCACGGGTTGCGCCGCCGGTTTGCGCGCGCGGCAAGTCTCCCGAATCTCACGCAGTGCGCGCAGCGATGAGGACAAATGCTTGGCCGAATCGGTGCGATTATTATGTTCGGCAGTTCCGTCTGCATAAACATGATCGGTGAGGACTTTTTCCAGCCGGTCAATCAGCTCCCAAGTCTCGGGCCCGTCGCGATTAGCGATTAACAAGAAAGCGGAGGCGATGGATCGCTGCAGACTGATCCATGACCGGGAGCAATGGGAGTTGATCTCGTGCAGCTCGACAAAGGCATCGATGGTGCTAATCAGACTGCTGATGCAGTCTTCACGAATCTGCTCTCGGCGCTGCTCGTCTAGGTGTGCATGTCGATCTAAAGACACTCGACAAATCACGGAGAGAAGGTACGAAGAATGCAAACGCAACTCCGTGCGCTCGATATGCTCGGCGAGCGACCGACATTGGTCGCGGTTTCGCAGGTGCGGCGTCGCCTCTGCGATCATGCGCTGGATGCGCTGCTTATACTCTCGGATCTCGTGGTACCGAGGCTCCTGCGTTTCGGGGTACATGCGTGATCGCAGGACTTCCAGCGCCAGCGAAACCACGCGGCACAGAGTCTCAAAATATGTTCGGTGGCCCGGCATGGATTTAGGATCAAAGGGGATTTCGGGTTGGCTGACCATGGTGATGGATGGTCGGTCATAGGCGAGTGAGAAATGGCTGTTCTGGAAGGCCATGGTCCACCTATGTTACATTAACAACGTGCGCTCGGCAAGGCAAGCCCAGGAGGTAGAGACTTACCATACACGCCTTCGATTGGCCTGCTCCTGGAGTGAAAATCCGGTCGTTTCAACATGGAGCCCGAGCACGAGACACATACGCTCCGTCATGCCTATGATGCGCATTAGAGAAGTAGGTCGGGGTTGCTCAGAGGCTCGGACTGACCAAGTAATGTATAAGAAGCACCAGCGTTCATATTATATGAGAGGACATTGCTGATTATAAGCAGAATCTGAATCACCTCTACAGTCGGTTGCGAAACATAATTCAACATCCGCAGGCATTGATATGCACAAGAGACTATGATGGATCGTCAGAACTATACTTCACAAGTGGGCCGACGGGGGTCAATCCATTTCCTTTTCCGGAAAAACGTACCGTATATCCATGAAGTCAATTCACGATCGGCACTCGGCAAATCGGACAGTTGACAGCCCGAGGCTAGCACCGCGAAAAGCAAGCTGAGAAACGGCAAGTCCATACCGAACGGCTTGACTAGTCCATTGGCATCTGGCTTATAGACACCTCCTGCCCGCCGTCTCCCCTCGAGTAATCGACCCGTCTTGAGTTCCAGCGCGTTGAGGTCGGGAAGGACGGGATACAAAACCGCGCCGATGTCTTTGTAGAAGCTCAAGAATCTGCCAATCCACCATGTCAGCAAGTTCCAACGCCGCATGTCCCTCTGCGGTTTCCCCTCGCCACATACCGTTGACACTGCTCATCTTCCGGGAGCACCGCACACACCCCAGCAATATTGAAAGTAAAGGGATCGGAGGACCACAGGTCCACGAACGGATAAGCGGCCGACTCATTGCCCAGCGCGAGTTCCGCCAGCAGATCCTCCTGAGGCAGCGCCTGCGCTATATCCTCAGAGCCCTTGGATTTATCCAGAATATCGACGAGCGCCGACCGAGACCCGAGATGGACAGCGCCCGTCCTTAACACGTTGGACCCGTACACGCCCTCCGACCGGGTGAAGCTCTTCCGTTCCGAAGCTACCGTCGTGGCCTCGGAGCGCTTCCGAGATGAATGTGAATTGAACATCGAGTGCAGACTGCCCAGGATCTGCTCCATAGCGACCATCTTGGAATTGATCTCGTCCCACTCTTCCTGCGAGACGTCAATTATCTCTGGTAGGTCCGGGTCATCGCCGGCGGGTATCGTCTGGTCGGGAGCGTAGGAGCCGTCGCGCGGAGGGGGAGGAGGGAGCGACGCAGCCGCATCGTAGGATGGCGAAACACCGAGCGAAGAGAAGGAAGGCTGTAGCGGCGTGGAGGACGCGGTACCGGCGGACACGGGCACGGGGAGTTTAGCTGTAGGAGGCGGGCGACCGTAGGAGCAAATAAAGTTGCGCTTGACACAATTGCTGCAGGGCACGTTGCGATCGCAACGGACTTTGCTGGCGCGGCAAGGCAGGCAGGTCTTGCACTCGCGCGGGCGGCGACGGATGGGATATGTCGGCATGGTTTCAGAGCCCCGCGGTGCTAGGCGAGCTGGAACGGCTTGCTTGCCTGCGGCGAGCAGAGGACAGCAAAGGGAACGGCATATGCAGATCGAATGGGGTCGGGGCAAGAGATTAGGGCGAGAAGAGGTTGTAGCTGGGCCCCCCGACTCGACCTGCGCAGCAAAGGTGAAAGTGTGACTAGAGCGACTACTAGGCGGCGAGTTGACTGGTCGACTGGTCCAACTAGGATGAGAACAAAGTGAACAGCTTTGGGGCGGGGCGGATGCTTGATCCGATTCGGACAGGATCAAAAGGAACGGGCTAGAGCCGCCATCGGCGTCGACGGTTGACTGGGAATCGACCGATGAGGTCCGTGAGCGCAGCAGCGGGACGTGTCGAATCACTGGGGAAGAAGGCTTGTAGATTGAAGATTCGAGATCGGAGAATGCAGATTGGCGAAGTAGATCGAGGCCCGCCAGGCGTGCTAAACCACTTGAGTAACGTGAAAGGTCAACTAGATGGATCCGAACTGCCGAGGATGGCGTGTGCTGAGGTGCTGCAGAGAGCCGCTCGGGGCGGATCGCGAAGTCAATTTTGCAGAAATTGACGGGGCCCTAAAGCGGCTAAAGGGTTAGTATCTGGAGCTTGTGCAATAGGGGTGTCTCCAGTAGACAACGTGCGAGGTAAAGCAAAGTAGATGATCTCATAGCCAAGTTCGCGTTTCCTCGGTTCGTGGCGCCAAAAACGGACAATCGGCGGAGACAGCATTCCAGCTCTCGTAGCCTGGAAGACGAACTTGCAATTAACGACACGAGTACAGATACGAAGTACTCCTGGCCTGATCCCGACTTTAAGTTTTTACTTTTTATCTTTGTACAAATGAGTACCCCCATTTCTATTGGCTAGTTATTATAATAAATGCATTCGCTTCGCGGCTCGCTTTCTCATTTCATAAATAGAGCAATCCCCTAATCAAGTTAGACCCTTTAAAAAGACCCATTAGATGCAAGTACCTGTCAATGCAATGCCACGAAAGCAAACAAATGAATGAAATAGCCATTGGTCCCTCAATTTCAGAGTCCCTACTCGCCCGAGCCTATTGCCCTCACGGCTGAGACACGACTCCTGAGGTGGTTGGCTTGGCCGCATTCTTCTCCGAGATCTGCGGAACGATCCACCAGTCATGCCACTGCGTCTTGGAGCCAATCTCGGGGATCACCACTCGAAGGTTTGAGGGGTTCCCCTCGGAAGAAGGGTTGTTGCCGAGGAGTGCCTTCTTGACTGTCTCAATTGCAATGCTAGCCGCAATACAAGCCCGCATCGTATCCTTGATATCGCGTCGCCAGTCTTCCTCAATGGCGATCGACGGTTCTTTTGTGGGCGATGAGACGTCCTCAATGAAAGCGCCATTGACAAGCGTTGCCTCCCATGCCTTTCGAGCTTCGGTGATAGCCTTGGAAGCACGGTCCAGAATGGTGGCGTCCGTGTCGCCTTCCAAAGTAGCCTCGCGGTGGTACTCCTCGTAGGGGACCAGTTCGGGTAGAGAAATTGGGATAAAAGGCTTCATCCGAAGCTCATAGCGGAGCTTGTCACTGGAGTAAGCGTCGGGCCCAGAGGCAGACGGCAGAATCTGATGCCGGGCCAGCAGTACATAGAGGGCGTGAAGTGCGATCGCAAATGCGTCAATCGCAATAATATGGGTCGTCAACCTCTCGAGATAAAGAAATGATCTGTGATAAGCAGGAGACCTCTGCGCAGAAGTTTCTTCGTGGCCACTGTTCACGAGATCGCGCTTTCGAGCTGCCACGGTGAATGTGCGAATGCGGTCGAGGTGACTTAGATGAGTTGAGCAAATGTGTGACAGGTACCAATAGATGCCGGGTAGCTCTTCCGGAGCATAAATAGATAGTTCAAATCCCATTTGCAGTATCAGGCGGAGCTGAATGAGTTTCTGGTGGTAGGCCCAGCTACTGAGTGGGTAGGAAAAAGAAGCCTCTCCGCCTTGGAGTTGCAACGCAGGCTCTGCACTGAGACTTTGAAGTTGGAGGTCGAGCTCCTCGGCCTAGAAGTAGTTCCGATTAGCTAGAGCATAGCCGATGGGCATAAGAGGCTGAAACATACCTCCATCTGCAGATTGTCCCAGTCAACGGCGGTGTGGCAGATGGTTCGTCGGACCCGACAACGGTTCAGGCAGGCGGAGCGTACGGTGTCAACAAAAGGCTGCAGACAGTTAGCTAGCTCGCTGGAAAATTTCTGAGACGCGATTACCTGAGCAAAGCGTTTAACAAACCCTTCCATGATTTGCGCAATCCGGAACCGAGGGTCGGAAGGTAGCTCCACCTCATCAGTATTCGCTCGAAGCAATATACTTGACGGCAGAACCAGCTCAGCAAGGTCATCATAGAGGAATTGCCTAACCGGTACAGCCGCAAGGATTGTCATGCCGCTGACAATCAAGGCCTGCAGCAGGGATCGAATGTAAACTGACGGCTGGGGTTTTCGAGACAATAAAGTCCACACGGCGGTCTAAAATCAGAACTTAGTAAACCCATGTATAATCGACTCTTCGCACCATCGTACCTTGAAATTGCTTGGACCGCGGTATTTCAGGATCTGTTGCATATCAATTGCATCTTGACATAACCGCTTCATGTGGGCCAGAGCATCCTCCTGTTTGATGTGGACAATGGGCCGAGGCGGCACAGTACTGGCGAGCTTGCGTTGAAGCTTCAAGCTGAAAGCTTCAGGCACCGCCTTTCCAAGAGGAAAAGTTTCTGTTACGGGCTTCAAGAGGTTCAGACATGATTCAAAGCTGTCTGTCGAGCCGGTATCTAAGAGCTCAAGATCTTGATCCACGGCAGCCAAAAACTCCCACCGTAGTTGAAGTCGGCTTCGAATCGCATCTCGAAGCTTTTCATTGATCCCCTCCTGAGACTCAATCCAGGTGATCGCCTGATCCAGCAGGCGATAGAAGTGTGACGAATCAAAAGAGGACAAGAGGTGTCGATTGTATAATTGAGTAACAAAGTCTTCTTCCTGTACCACCAACCCAAAACATCCGTCAGCAAAGTTGGTCATCTTCCCAATAGGTCATCATCCCACGCACCTCGTAGAAATATTCAGATGCCACACGGGCGTGAACAAAGTCGCATGCTTTGATTAGTGCCAGACAATAGGTACGGAGCACGAGGCCGACCAGTGGGTTTTCGCTAGGCACGCGGTCGAACCGGGCATCCTCCATTGTCCTCGGCGCCGGCCACAAGAGCTTATCGATATAGATGGACGTAAAAAGGGTCTGAGAAAGAGGATGTCCCATATGCCATGCCATCTGTATCAGTGTCAGCGGCATTCAATCCAAAGCTGACGCAGTATACCCACCTCATGGCAAAGCAGCTGGTCCATCAACCCCACCACCTCCTCCGGTGTCAGGTCCCGTCGCACATCGTAGTCGTGTTCTAGCGCTTGCGCATGGTTCTCGCCAGGTGCTATGTAGCCACTGTCCATCTTGGAGTCCATGATCTATCATCAATTCCACAAGGTTGTCAGCAGTCAGTCTCCTCCCCCACCAATACTATCCTGGTACGACAATGACGCACCTCCAATGCGCCCACCGCCTCGAATAGCGTGAACATTTCATCCTTGACGAGCTGGCCAGTCCGTAGTCCTGTGAGAAAACAGTCTTGTTAGGTCACGTAAAGAGTCGAATGCGAATGGGATCAACTCTACTCGATGCAGCCTCTGTAAATTCGGCGGTGATGTCGCGCGGCGCAGCGGACTGCGCAGCCGCCCGCGGCGGGGGCACGCGAACCTCGTTATTCGGCAGCATCGCACAGAGATTTCAAGCTCTGCAGTCCGCTGCCGGTTCTTCTCATGGGACAGGTAAGGAAATTGAGTAAAAAAAAGCCTGCGAGGTATGAGGCTGCGAAGGGAGGAGAGGGGGGTTTGGCGGGGGGAGGCTGAGGCGGAAAAAGAAGGGCTTCCGGCCGGACGGGCACTTGGGGCGCTCTGACGTGCAGCAGGTCCCGGCCGGACACCTGAGGATATAATTTGAGTCAAAAGATTACGATCAATGGTTCTACTACAGATCCTAGGTATTCAGGTACTGGTGCACACAGAGAAGAAGGCGATTTGATGATCTCTCTGTCTGTCCAGACAGATCTTGTTATTGCTACACATGTACAAAAAGTTCAATTGTCTCCCCGGGGGTCCCTCCAAATCATCGCTTGTGTCCGATCACGGCCCCCGGGTCCATCACTCTGCCAGAAACATGGCTATATCATGCTATCTCGATCATGCTCAAGGGGAATGCTGGTCGTCTATTTCTCGGTGGCCTGGGCAACGGCCTCGTTGTTGGCCTGGGCGAGCGAGCGGACATCGCCCTGCTTGCCGTTCTATGTCACAAAGCACTCCGTCAGTCCCATCGATCTAATCCAAACAATGATATCGTGTTCAACTAACCTCCCACTTGGCGAAACGGAGGTCCATCTGACCGCGGCGCTCGGCATTGAGACGGGGAGTCTCCTTGAGGGAGCGGCGCACCGTCCGGGCGGCAATGGCCAGGTAGCGGTTGTAGCTGTTGCCACGATTAGCACGGGCGAGAATTGGCGGAATCTGACGAGACATACGTGAGGCCAGCGGCTTTCCAGGTGGCAGTCATTTTGAAGAGTGGATGTGGAGAGGTGGGTGGTTCAATTGAAGGGGGTGAAAACGACTCGGGTGAGTTTGGAAGCGTTCGACTTCCGGAGAATCGGGAACTTCGGTCACGTGCTATTGCATCCGATCTATAGGTCACGTGTTTACAACATCACCCATCAATTGCCTGCAATAAGAGCCATCCTTAGAGACAGATGCGAAAAAGCTAAGCTACGCAATCAGTATTCATTTAGTGATTATTTCGCGGAGATTTACCGTTTTAGTGTTCTGCAGGAGATCATGCCGGATCTACATGCAGTATACCAGAGCTGAGGGAGAGGAACGAATGACTCGGAACTTCAATGTCATAAAGAAGCGTACTGGACCTCTCAGACTGACCTTACGTCAATACTAGTAGATATACTGTGACTAGCAAACTTTTCCTTGACCACTAGCATAAAGCCTAGCGGGGCTCAAGGTCAATATCCAACATCTCATAACTACCGACGGTAGTAGAAGACAGGACTACTTAGACCCGTCATATCAGTGCCTAGTATCAAAATGCACACTGCAATCTTAAATGGACTATTTAGGTTTCTAAAGAGGCTAGGAAGGTCTGTTTGGTATATCGAGACAGCAGTAAGTAACCGTCTTCAACTTTCTGCGAGCTAGTACAATTGGTGTTTGCCGTCACCGTATATCCTCACATCATTTGTTTCTAGGCGCGAAGACGCGAATCTCGGAATCTACCTTTATTCACATCGATCTGTCTGGCCAGTGTTTGCCCACCCCATCTTTTCACTTTCGTGCATCTCTCGCTATCCGTTTCTCATCTCTCACCCCTCACCCATATCCAACTACCCCCGCGTCCACTCGAGACCCGCATCCCTCCTTTCGGTGAGTAAAGACTCTTTTCTACTTTTATTCAGCTAGGAACCCCGTCTCAACCTGCTGCTCCGTCTACGTTGAGGCCACTAGAAGCCGCCGAGGATCCCAGACAAGCTCGGTGGTTAAGAACGAGCGCGTCGGAGATGAGCGAGGCGCCGGACAGCTTCTTTTTCACGCTACCCTTTTGCCCCAAGTTCCAGAAACCTTTGAATCTTCTTCTCCTCCTCCTCTTCCTCCTCCTCAGACTCGACCTTTCAGGTCACAGCTTGGCATCATAAAGAGATCTTCACAAGGCGTCGGTATCTTATCAAAGGCCTTCGTGCTTCTCTTCTTTGATGTGTCTATGATATACCATGCGAGTCAAGGACAGGCTTTGGGTGTGCCACACTTATCATTGTCATCCTCGAAAGACAAGCCAGCTCGAGTTTCTCCCTCCCATATCCATCCCTTCACAACCTCCCAAAGTCCACTGCAGACCACCTCCCCCACAAGGGCGTACTAACTCTGATCTTGTTCCCTAGTCCACCGATACCTTTCCAAGAAAAGATCCCAATATGCCCTCCACTCGGAAGGGTGGAGGGGAGGCCCTGCCGGGCAACACTGGCAAGCCGGCACGCAAGGAAAAGCGGCAGCTGGTTCGCTGGGATCGTAAGTTCAACCCCATGGTGTTTCTATCACAAGTGAAGTGTGTTCACGTCACTTGGACCCCCTTTGCCGTCCTGATGCATAGAAATATTTGTACTTTGCTATTGAACTTGAAACATTTTGTACTAACATCATTGATAGAGGACCTCGACACCCTCTTGCTTCTCACTGTTCAGTCGGCGTGCAATCTGACGGGCGTCAAGGTTCCCTGGGAGAAGGTTGCCCAGCTTATGGGTCCGAAGTTCACCGAAGGAGCAATTGTACAACACCTGTCGAAGCTGCGCATCCGTCGTGAGGCTGCCGGCCAGCGCGTTCCTCCCCCCCTACGTCGCTCCGTGACTGCCGCTGCCGCTGCTTCTGGTGGTGGTAAAGGCTCCAAGGCAGGAAGACGAAGTGCTCGCAAGCGCAAGGGCCACTCTGGTGGTGTGGAGGATGATTCCTCGGATGACCTGGGCGCGCCGGGAGAGGATGATTCCGATCCAGAGTATTTCCAGGGCAAGAAAAAGCGCAAGTCGGGACGTTATGCGCTCTCTACCTCTAAGAAGCCCAAGATGACCATGGAGGACGATGATGAGGAAGACGAGGATGCTCTGATGTGCGGCGGGGCCCCATTCCTTCAACACCTCCAGCCCGATACTTACCATGACGGTAGCGACAGTGATGATAGTGACGAGGACTTGGACGAGGACTTCGATTCTGATTCCTGTACCGCCAAGACCAAGGTTGAGCAGGCTAGTCCGACATCCCGTCCATCGCGCGTGGTTAAGCTGCCTGTCAGTCTCCAAACCCAGGATCAGCACGCCATGAAGTCCATCCGTAGCAATGCTGACGCCAATCCTCCCCCGTCGACTACCATGGCAGGAAATTGGAGCCAGACCTTCATGCCCAACACTCCGGCTGTCATGAGCAACAACCCTGTTCCGTCATATGGAAATCAGGGTGCATATTATCCCAGTCAAATGGCAACGGGCCAGGGCACTGGCAACCCGCTTCAAGCCACACAGAATCAATTCTACTGGCCTTTGCCTACCCCAGTTGTCAACAGCCAAATCCTTGGACGAGGGGAATTCACCTGGTCTCCACATGCGCCTGCCTTTGCTTCCGGACGAGGCGGCATTCTTCAAGTCTCCGGCCCTCCACCGCCAAACTGGGGACCAGCACCAGCTCCGGCTACTGCTGATGAGGCCCCGACCCAGGCCATGGGCCTGAGCTCTCTAAACCCTGGCAATCCTGACCCCAACTCTTGGTTCATGGACTCGAGTCTATTCATGCACGATGATGATGATGATGATGATGATGAGGCTCAAGGTAGTCACAATCAGCATCTGGGCCAGGAGGAGTACTGAGCTACCCGGTAAAGCGGGGATCCGTCAATCTTCCATCTGGTCCGTGATAATCCCGACAGGTTTCGAAGCTGGCAATGCTACCTATCTTCTTCGTCGATGATGGACATGGTGTTTTTTATTTTATTTTCTCTTATTGCGGTTGTTGATAAGGCGAATGAGTTTCCCGCTCGCTTGACGGGCACTGGATTCTCGTTGCTTCCAGCGTGACTTCGACGTCAGATGGATTTTGTGGAAGGGCTGCTTCTTTGGCTTGCAAATACCATTTTCTGTCAGCTAGGAAGAACCGACATACTCAGCAAGATCTCACAATTTAGTATCATTCAATGAACATGTCCTTTAAAATAAATTATAAGAGTGAAGTAGATGAGCGTTTTCTAAAAACCAAGGGTAAACAAATTCGAATTGGAGGGACGTCTACATGGTTTAACCTTGTTCCGTCATGCGATTCTTTCTTCTCACTGTCGTGTCTCCTGTATTCATTTCGATCCTGCTTTGCGTCACCTAGTCGTTAAGTAGCCTTGAATTTCTCAATGTGAAGCTTCAATGAGATGATGACTTTGAATTGTAGACAAGATGATTGCTTTTTACAAAAGTCAGAGTGGTCATTTCCAGGACCTAGTTTAATCCATGGATGATACATCCATGATCTCAACAATATATATCCGCGGCCAGGCGCACGGACCGATGTTTTTCCACCCGGATCACTTCTCTCTCTCCCGATCTTATGGGAATAGTTATATACTGATGAAGCTCAAGAGAGTCATTCATCAAACAAATCAAGATTAAAAACCCATCATTTCCATGCACTAGTATCACTCATCGTATTTTTTGACGTCAACGGGAACCCGGTCGAGATGCGGTAAAGAGCCGGTCACCCGAAACCTCGGGAATGGCCAAGAGCACGTGACCTTCTAGCTGTTTCTGCCGCCAAGTCTGGGGATGGGGAAGAATGAAGAAAGGCCTGGAAAATTTTCGAGACTTTGGCTTCATCTTCCCCAGCTTCCCTCCCTTCTCTTCCATCTCCCTTCCATCTCACCCTCCTCCTCACCTCCCACCCCGCATCAATTCCGGCTGGGTTTTCTTCTATATCTTTATTCTAATACCGTCTTGTCTCTTCTTTTTCTTCGTCCTCCTGTTTAGCAATGCAGCGCGCCCTGTCTACCCGGACTTCGGTCCTCTCGGCCGCTTCCAAGCGTGCCCCCTTCGCCCGCTCTCCCCTGAACCTCCAGCAGCAGCGTTTTGCCCACAAGGTGCGTGTTACAATGCCATGGCAATTGGCTTCGGGATGGATTCTCCGATGACCATCGGCTGCGAATTCCGTCGATTCCGAAGCTCTCCGTGTTTAACCCTGACTGACCGCAAAACAGGAGATCAAGTTCGGTGTTGAAGCTCGTGCCAGCATCCTCAAGGGTGTCGACACTCTCGCCAAGGCTGTTACTTCTACCCTCGGCCCTAAGGGTCGCAATGTCCTCATCGATTCTCCTTACGGCTCCCCCAAGATCACCAAGGGTAAGTCTGCGGGTCTCTTGGCTCGATCCCCGAAACCCAGCTCGGCCTTCCGCGGCGACTGAGATAGAAGGACAAAATTTGCTGACATTGCGTTTCAATCAGACGGTGTTACTGTCGCCAAGGCCATCACTCTGCAGGACAAGTTCGAGAACCTCGGTGCCCGCCTCCTCCAGGATGTTTCCTCCAAGACCAACGAGCTCGCTGGTGATGGTACCACCACCGCTACCGTCCTCGGCCGTGCCATCTTCTCCGAGACCGTGAAGAACGTTGCTGCTGGCTGCAACCCCATGGATCTCCGCCGTGGTATCCAGGCCGCCGTCGATGCCGTTGTCGACTACCTCCAGGCCAACAAGCGTGACATCACCTCCGCTGAGGAGATCGCTCAGGTCGCTACCATCTCCGCCAACGGCGACACCCACGTCGGCAAGCTCATCTCCAACGCCATGGAGCGTGTTGGCAAGGAGGGTGTCATCACCGTCAAGGAGGGCAAGACCTTGGAGGACGAGCTCGAGGTTACCGAGGGTATGCGCTTCGACCGTGGTTTCACCTCCCCTTACTTCATCACCGACCCCAAGTCCCAGAAGGTCGAGTTCGAGAAGCCCCTGATTCTGCTGTCCGAGAAGAAGATTTCCGCCGTCCAGGACATCATCCCCGCCCTGGAGGCCTCCACCACTCTCCGCCGCCCCCTGGTCATCATCGCCGAGGACATTGAGGGTGAGGCTCTCGCCGTCTGCATTTTGAACAAGCTCCGTGGTCAGCTCCAGGTCGCTGCCGTCAAGGCCCCCGGCTTCGGTGACAACCGCAAGAGCATCCTCGGTGACCTGGCCGTCCTCACTAACGGTACCGTCTTCACCGATGAGCTCGACATCAAGCTCGAGAAGCTCACCCCCGACATGCTCGGCTCCACCGGTGCCATCACCATCACCAAGGAGGACACCATCATCCTCAACGGTGAGGGCAGCAAGGACAACATCTCCCAGCGCTGCGAGCAGATCCGTGGTGTCATGGCTGACCCTACCACCTCCGAGTACGAGAAGGAGAAGCTCCAGGAGCGTCTGGCCAAGCTCTCCGGCGGTGTTGCCGTCATCAAGGTTGGCGGTGCCTCCGAGGTCGAGGTCGGTGAGAAGAAGGACCGTGTCGTCGATGCCCTGAACGCTACCCGCGCCGCTGTCGAGGAGGGTATCCTCCCCGGTGGTGGTACTGCCCTGCTCAAGGCCTCCGCCAACGGCCTGGACGGCGTCAAGCCCGCCAACTTCGACCAGCAGCTCGGTGTTAGCATCATCAAGTCTGCCATCACCCGCCCCGCTCGCACTATCGTCGAGAACGCCGGTCTTGAGGGCAGCGTCATTGTCGGCAAGCTGACCGACGAGTTCGCCAAGGACTTCAACCGTGGCTTCGACTCCGCCAAGGGCGAGTACACCGACATGATCGCCAGCGGTATCGTCGACCCCCTGAAGGTTGTCCGCACTGCTCTGGTTGATGCCAGCGGTGTTGCCTCTCTGCTCGGCACCACTGAGGTTGCCATTGTCGATGCTCCCGAGGAGAAGGGCCCCGCTGCCCCTGGTGGCGGCATGGGTGGTATGGGCGGTATGGGCGGCATGGGTGGCGGCATGTTCTAAACGCAGCCTCCTCCCATCGTCTTTCCTCCCCTCTACTACTTTGTGACATGATTATCCCCCGCTGCATCCTTTTTGCATCGCCGCGCGGATCTCTCGCGGCTCTGGACTTTTTGTAATGCCCCCGGTGTTGTTCTATTTACCTCTTGTTTTACCACCGCTTATCCTTTCTTATACCTGTATTTCTCTGTGACTCCTACACCTCCTCTCTCCACTCTTCCCCTGGGGCTTGAAAAAAAAAGGTTCCGGCGCAAATTCTGTATCATATCTGTTCTCTCCATTTACCAGAGGTTTCTAATGCATTTGATGATGCTAGAATATGTTTCCATCTCATAATTGTCAGCCGTAGGACGCACCGACTTGGCGTCGGTAGGGATTAGTGCTTCTGTACGCCATCACTAGTTAGATCTCAAGTAGATTCGGATCGCGACACCAGAAGAGATCACAGATTTCAAATTCTAAAATCAAACGTCCCCAGTAACATGACACCGGTTATATTCCTCAGGAATCAACGTACCCGCACTTGGGCCAAGCAACAGATTGACGGTGTGTGGACCAGCGATCGACCCGCCCGCAAAGATCGACACGTGTTGCATAAAACCACTGGAAATTTCGTAGAGCCTGCAAACTTCTCTCTTCTCCAGCTGGGGGCCATCCCAGACGACCCAGGTCCAAGATCCATGGGCCGCCGGGAGTACGACCAGCTGATTGGCATTTTGGGACGTGTCACTCGCCGGCCTATTGGCTGCTGCGGTCGGCTAATTGACCACGGATTGCGCGGGTACTATCGAGGGGGGAGTCTAGACTGTCCCGCCAATGCCCATAGTTTGTTATGAGAAGCCTGCTTCAAATGCCTTGATTGAAACTCGCCTCGGTCACTTTACCTTGTCCTTACCCGGAACCCGCCCCCAGACCCTCTTAGCCTCTTGCACCATTGCCACCCTCCACTGACTCCGGTCGAGTCTGGGGCCAACGTCTGAAACTCACTGGCAAACTCCACTGGAACAAGCCTCGTACTTTCTTCTCTTTTCCTGTCAGTCTAGTCAAGTCCTACCGTGGGGATTCTTCGCGACACACACTGGATCTGGGGAATGTATACACAACTGCGCGCATTCAATCTTCGTGCTGCTGCACCCGTCGCCTGCCTTCTGATTCTAGAGGAGGACGAGCCCATCCGACCTGGTGAGTTGCGCTGACCCCTCTATCTCGTGCCTTGACATGATCTGGTGTACCTACAAGTCCTTTCCTCAACCTGGCCAGCTGACACCAACCCGCCTTCAGTGTGATACACAAAGGACCCTCAACTAGACACGAGGCACACGATCTAAAAACCAGAACCTTTCCATACTCAGCCATTCCGGCGCCCGTCAGCGCTCTACCGTTCACAGAATCCACAAATGGCTGCACTGGTGGATTCACCGCGGCCCGCTCTGGTTAGCGATGCCGACCTCCTCCAGGCCCGCGCTGCCTTGCAGCACCAGAATAGTCCCGACATCTCCGTTCCGCGTGAATTTATCTCACTGATTGTCGAAGAACTGATCTATCGCCGAGAGTCCCACTCCGCAATCGCAGACGTCGAACATGAATGCTCGGCTCTTCGCAAGGAACTCCGCAAACACACTCACATCAATGAGGCCTTCCAGAAAGAACTGCGCGAGATCGGGGAGATTATCACGCAAGTCGCCCATGGCGATCTATCTCAGCGGGCGCGGCTTCATCCGCTGGAGATGTCGCCTGATATTGCGACCTTCAAGCAGACCATCAACACGATGATGGATCAGTTGCAAATCTTCAGTCAGGAAGTGACCAAGGTGGCGCGCGAGGTGGGCACCGAGGGAGTGCTGGGTGGTCAGGCCAACATCGAGGGCATTCAGGGAATTTGGCAAGAGTTGACGGTCAACGTGAACGCCATGGCCAACAATCTGACTACCCAAGTTCGTGACATTACGACCGTGACCACCGCAGTAGCCAAGGGCGATTTGACCCGCAAAGTGCAAGCAGATTGCAAGGGTGAAATCTTGCTACTCAAGAACATCATCAACTCGATGGTGGACCAGCTGCGCGAATTTGCGTTCGAAGTGAGTCGAGTGGCCCGTGAAGTCGGATCGGACGGAACCCTTGGTGGTCAGGCCGTAGTCCACGGTGTCGAGGGTACTTGGAAGAATCTGACCGACAATGTGAATCGCATGGCTTCGAACCTGACCCAACAAGTCCGTGAAATTGCCAAGGTGACGACTGCCGTGGCTCGAGGTGACCTTACTATGAAGGTGACGGCCGATGTCAAGGGTGAAATCTTGGATCTGAAACTTACTATCAATGCAATGGTCGACCGGCTCAACCAGTTCGCCTTTGAAGTGAGCCGTGTGGCCCGAGAAGTCGGTACGGACGGTACACTTGGTGGACAAGCCCAAGTCGAGAACGTCGAGGGTCGTTGGCGCGATCTCACGGACAACGTGAACACAATGGCCCAGAATCTCACACAACAAGTGCGACAAATCTCGAACGTGACTCAAGCCATCGCTAGAGGCGATCTGAGTACAAAGATCGAGGTCCACGCCCAGGGAGAAATCTTGACTCTGAAAGAAACGATTAACCGTATGGTGGACGGTCTCAGTCAATTTGCCCGAGAGGTCAAGATCGTGGCGAGAGACGTGGGTGTGCGAGGTAAACTCGGTGGACAGGCGAAGCTAGATGGATCGTACGGTATCTGGCGGTCGATTAGTGAAGACGTCAATATCATGGCCGACAACCTTACTTCGCAGGTGCGAGCCTTTGGCGAGATCACAGAGGCTGCGATGAGCGGTGATTTCACCAAGTTGATCACCGTATCGGCATCGGGTGAGATGGATGATTTGAAACAGAAGATCAACAAGATGATCTGGAGTTTGCGAGATAGCATCCAACGGAACACGGCTGCCCGCGAGGCTGCGGAATTGGCGAATCGCAGCAAGTCGGAATTTCTTGCCAATATGAGGTATTTAATACGTCCCACGCAGGATTATAAATATGGAGGGAGTTATCTAACCTTGGAAATCTTGACAGTCACGAAATTAGGACACCGATGAATGGAATCATCGGACTTTCGAGTTTAGCACTCGACACGGACGATCTTGCTGCTCCTGTCCGCGAAACGCTCAATATGGTCCATAACCTCGCCATCAGTCTGTTAACGATTATCGACGACATCCTGGATATCTCCAAGATAGAGGCCAATCATATGATGATCGAGAAAATGCCATTTAGCCTGGGTTCTACGGTATTCGGCGTCTTGAAAGCTCTGGCAGTGGAAACGAACGAAAAGGCTCTGACCTTGTCCTATACTGTTGATGGCAATGTGCCAGATTTCCTGATTGGCGACGCATATCGCTTGCGTCAGGTGATGCTGAACCTAGTCGGCAACGCCATCAAATTTACCGATCATGGGGAGATTCGAGTCACAATCAGGCGTGCCGAGAACAGTGTCTGCAATGAGGATGAGACGATGTTTGAATTTTCAGTCACGGATCCTGGAATTGGTATTGAGGAGAGCAAACTCGGTCTGATCTTCGACAAGTTCCAGCAGGCAGACGGGTCGATGACTCGTCGTTTTGGCGGCACAGGTCTCGGTTTGGCTATTTCCAAGCGCCTTGTTTCTCTCATGGGTGGTGATATCTGGGTTACGTCCCGTGTGGGCGAGGGAAGCAAGTTCTCCTTCACTTCTCGAGCCAAACTGGCAGAGGCCCCAGCTGGATTCTCGGAGCAATTAGCGCCATACCGGGGCCGCCGAGTTCTCCTAGTTGACAATGGCGACTCGGGAGGCTGGCCCGTTCCTTCCATGCTACAGGACTTTGGTCTTGAGCCCGTGGTCGTCAATGACAACGAACTCGTTCCTGGCCAATCCCGAAAGGACCTATGTGGCTCGTTCGATGCTATGCTGGCCCCGAGCTTAGAGACAGCAGCCAAGCTACGCGCCGACGCGAATCTCTCCCACAATCCACTAGTGATCGTAGCACCTGTGGTATCCCTCCTCCTCAAGACTGCCGGTGAACTCGGTGTATCATCCTACATCACAACACCCTGTCGACCCATCGACTTCTGGAGCGGTATTCTCCCTGCCCTCGGCAACCGCAGAAACCGCATTTCCGAAGGCATCACCCGATCTCTGGCAATCCTGCTCGCTGAAGATAACGATGTTAACCAAAAAGTCGCCGTCCGCATTCTCCAAAAATGCAACCACAACGTCACAGTCGTCGAGAACGGCCTCCAAGCCGTCAAAGAGGCACAGCAGCACCGCTACGACGTGATTCTGATGGACGTGTCCATGCCGGTCATGGGCGGGTTCGAGGCAACGGTCAAGATCAGACAACACGAGAAACTGAACAGTCTACCGCGCACCCCTATCGTGGCACTGACCGCACATGCCATGCTCGGTGATCGCGATAAATGCATCCAAGCAGGCATGGACGAGTATCTCTCCAAACCACTGAACTCGAACATGATGATGCAGACTATCTTGAAGTGCGCATCTATGAATTTGGTCTCTGCCGTGGAGACGTGAGACTGGGCCTGTACTCCTGGTCCCTATTCGATACCGGGCTTTGATGTCACTGGCTCCCAGGAGGGCTGATACTGATCGTGGGTGGAATACGACTTACCCAACATACACCAACTAGATACCTAACATCCACCCCTTGGATGAACTGATAATGCAGCATACATTTCTCAATGAAACATTCGATCCATCTATCAATTCATGGGGCTAATGGCTGCGAGAAACTGTCTGTTCTTTTTTGCAGTGCTATTTGTATTTTCACAGGAATCATGGGCCTCTAAATACTCTGGACCAGGCATGCTAGTCAGTCCAGGGTGATCCGTGTGCCGAATCATAACATCGTTCTTTTTGCCATGTCCTATCCTGGTAATGTTTTTATGAAGTGCATGTATCTATTTTTGCAATTGGCGCTGAGGCGTTGGGATTTTTGGGATACGGGACATGGGGCTTTTTTCCATATCATACAGGACACCAATTAAGATCACATTTATCTCATGTGAAATTTATAGATATGATCACTGTAGGCTTGACGCGGCTGGGATCTCCCATCAGTTACGCAGACTTTGTCAACTCCTTCATTCGTATACATCAGGTAAAAAAAGATGTCTTGGAAACTAAGGATTTGTCCATCGAAAACAGATTGCCTGTGTATTTGTATAGACAGTGGCCGTTGATTAGTACTTGGAACACAGAACTTCCGTCTACTGGCAGAAAGATAGGTAGGGTAGGTACTATTGTTCCAAATACTAATGAACGCCGACTGACTGTAAATTTGAGCAACACGTCGACTTGGTATGGTACTCCGAATACTCCGTTACACCACGTGGAGGCGGTTCCACCCGGCGCCTTATCTTTGCGTACACTTAGATTTTCATCTCCACTCAATCACGCTTCTTTCGCTTACTCATTCAGCGAGACTGAATTAACTAGTTAACTAACTAACGTTAACTAACTAATATTCGAACCCCCACGAGGACCCTATAAAGCTGTCTATCAGCCGCACCGTTCAATTCCGATTAGACCGAAACGTTCGAAGGAACTCGGTTTAGTATTGGAAAATGGCCCTGGAAGAGAAGAAACTATTCTCAACGGGGGAGGGGTGGGATCTCAAGCTCCGTCACCCAGACCAATTGAGACATTGGAAGTTTCATATTGAAATTGCAGTTAGGGCTGAGGGGGTCTGGGAATATATAGACCCCGACCTCCCCGACACCGAGATAAAATCTGCCCCTCGAGACCTTTCTCCACCAGATATCAAGGATGTCAAACCCGATGCAATCGATTGGCGTTAACTATCCTCCGATGAAATAGCCTATCTCGCTTTGCTAAAACGCGAGTATTGTGAGGAGCAAGAGCAGTGGGATGAGGTTAAAGATAGACTCGCGAAGATCAGCGGATTGATAGTCCAGCGAGTTGACAGAGACTTCGAGGAATACATTCTTGGTATTGGTGATCCTCGCACACTAATGAGGCGTCTGAACGACCGTTTTGGTGCTGGCGAAGAAGACTGTCGCTCAAGACTGAGAGAGACATTGAAATTCAAAATGGATGAATCGACATCAACCCCCGTTTTCCCACTCGAAGGCGGTTGTGCCTGTGGGTTTGCCCGGTATCGCCTCGAGGCACGCCCACTCATTGTCCACTGCTGCCACTGCACCTCCTGTCAACGTGAAACCGGGACCGCATTTGCACTCAACGCTGTTATCGAATCAAATCTCGTCATTCGTCTCCCGTCAGCATCACCCTCAGTCCCCGCATCGAGTACTCAACCCGCAAAGCCCGCGGGCCCGCCTTTGTCCAGGCCAGCCAAGCACTCCGCGGAGCTTGAAATTATCAATACGCCATCAGAATCGGGCAAGGGGCAGCGAATCTCTAGATGTCCAGCGTGTCGGGTCGCCGTGTGGTCCCATTATGGGTCTGCTGGTTCTCGCACGCGCTTTATTCGAATGGTTCGAGTAGGAACGCTAGATGAAGCGTGGAAAGTCCAGCCTGATGTGCATATCTACACGCAGAGCAAGAGGGGGTTTTTCAAATTGGATGAGTCGATTCCGGCGTTTGATGCTTTTTATCCTAACAGGGCAGAAATATGGAGGGAGGAGAGTATGGTTAGATGGTATGAACTGATGAAGATGCAATAGACAAATGAACGTTTTGAAGCCTTTCTGGGATGTTGGTCCTTGTGGGTTAGCTACTAGTTTAATCTCATAAGCTTCCTGTGCCTGGAAGAGCCTTGAAGTGAAAACACAAGCCCTTGCAAAAAAGGCATCACCTCCAAAGCCATGATCTCCAGAATATTCCATGTCAACCCGCGTCCTGGGCTTCACAGTAGTGGTCTCAGTTGGCTTCCTTTGAATAGTCAGCTTCTGCAATCTCCGGATGGTAAACAAGACGAAAAGGGAGGTAGCAACTTACAGTTTCTAGGGTGCATGTTTCGGAAGTTGCTTGTGGAGCCAATTGATTTGTGAAAGTCTTGTTTTATGCCGGGCGAGTCCGATTCCGCAACTGCTTATATTGGTTAGCACATGCACAGTATGTATTCATATCAGTTGAATGTCATTGGAAGAGCCATTCTGCTCGTTGACTTTCTCCTTCAGGTTGGCAGTGGTTCTCTGCTGGCAAATACAATATCAGCGGTGATATGGCTGGCACAACCGGTTTGACGAACTGGGGGGGCCAGTTGATGTTGTTGATTGATTTCGAACCTGATAATAGTCAGAACAAGGTATCACAAAAATGTTTGTCTTTCGACATACCATAAGCGAACCTATAGGCCACGTGTGGATTGACAACCCGGAATACCACAGCAGGGTTGTCAATGATGGTCGGTCAATATCAAGTACATCATCTGCGAGGTGTAGGGAGGTGCCATGATTAGGCAATCAAAGAGACAATTAATAGAGCGGCACTCCAGATCAGCAAGAAGTGTGGGAGTTCTTCTTTGGGAATGTGTTGATCCAGATGTGTTGATCCAGATGTGTTGATCCAGATGTGTTGATCCAGATGTGTTGATCCAGATGTGTTGATCCAGATGTGTTGATCTAGATGTGGTGGTCTGGAGGTGCTGATCTGGAGGTGTGGATCTGGAGGTGTGGATCTGGAGGTTCGCGACCTGTTTGGTGATCTGGATCAGGGCATGCCTTCCAAATTGGGAAGGCGAGATGATTTGATCGCGCTCCATCTCACATGCATCGGGTATAAATATCTCTGTCCATCCAATTTCTCCATCCTTCTTACATCTCCCTACAACCCATCCGACTTCAGACATCCTCCTCCTCCTCCGCCCTACTCGACGACTATAACCATTATACAATACCCCTTACCCCTTACATTTACAAGCATACATTTACATATACTCAGATTTAGTTTCTTCAATTTTGGACGACATTTCCGACACTTTCGTCATTTTCAACGATTTTGAACATTTTGACCATTTTGACAATTCTCGATATTTCGATATTTCGACATGATGTACGACTTGACAACGACTTTCGATGTGGCTTTTGCGGGGGTTTTTTTTCGAGCTTTTCATACAAAGTCTCTGTCCTGTGCCCCCTTTACTCTGTTGATTTCTACGCGATGGTGACGCGGTTCCCAATGTGTTGTGTAGCCAGTTCGGGAATGGCATCGTTGTTATTGATGCGATCCGACGTTAAGGACATTTCTCCATCACTGTAGAATTTCTCTGTACAGAGATACTCAAAGTTATCAATGATGTTCCGATTGAATCGAGGTATGCACTCCAGTGAAAAACCACAAGCATACTTGTGACATCAAAACAACTCTATTCCACGTGCCAACCTTAATTAAGCTTAAATCACACATTGAGCCCGCCCTCACTGACTCGACGCACTTTCTCCGCCAGTGCCTCTCCCCACCCATTCGCCTTCGACATTGATTTGACTCGTTTCCTTTTCCTCCGTTCAAGCTCTTCAAGTGGACTCCTCTCCACCTGTCGACGCTGCCAAAAGTCCTCGTCGAATTGTGTCCGATGAATACTGTATCCAAGATACTGATCGAAGCGCTTCCGTATGCCCGAGTCTTCTGCGGGTACTACGGATGGAATTTTGCTTTTGAAGCTTTCCCAGTGAAAGAACATTTTGACCGGATTGGAGATGAATTCTCTCCACAGACCGCGGCTGATCTTGTGGGATTTGGCGACTGTTTGACGGAGGCTTCCGCTGAATGCCATTAGCAGGGCAATTCCGATGATTGCAAAGGAGGCCGGCGCTGGAGGTGGATTCGTTAGCATGGGACGGATGCCATGAGGAGAAGACTGGGTGTTGTGGTGGCTTACCTCCAATCTCAAGCATCTGGGCAAGAGATAAATTCTCAGGCGTGCCACTCCATTCACGAGCATTGATACCGAAGAGCGAAGTAAAGAAGGACAGAGGCAGGAAGCTGCGGTACCTGGTTAGATCTATGTCTCTCCGGACTGCTGGGGGGTCTTACATAACTGTGAAAATGGTGAATACCATCAGCGACCGAGACTGATTCTGCGTCTCCTCGGCCTGCCACCGAGCCATCTTTGCTTCATCAACATTGGCCTGTTTCTGCTTCAAGTCAAGCAGAGTCTCGACTGCCTTCTGGGCTAGATGGCTGTTCTCCTTCATCTCGCCAATCTGTGTGCGGTACTCGTCGATGCGCATCTGTGCGGCGTTGAGGAAGACTATACCACATCCGTTTCGATCGAAGTATTTCATCATGCTCTTGACGACAGTATCCTGCTGATCGAGGAGTTTCAGAATTGTTGAGAGCTCGTCTTCGATATCGCGTAATTCAAGAAGAACGGAGAGGTCGTCGCGGTTTCGACGGGCTGTTTGTTGATCTCTTGCGTCGCGCTGCGCACCGGTCATGTTTTTGCCTTCTGCGGTGCGATCATAGTCCGCTGGACGATTGACGAAGCCTCGATTGCGGAAGCGTTTGAAAGATTTGGTTACCGATTCAGTCTAGGTATCTTGGTCAGCGTTTCATCCAAGCCACTTTCTATCCCACGCGGTATGCAACGTACTAGAATACTGATCGACTCTTCAAAGATTCGCAGGACTTGCAAGTCGCGATGGAGAGTCTTATCCAGGAGAACAGTCGTAGCGTGTAAAATGATCAAAGCGGCCAGGTCACCCGCCGTCTCAAACCGACGAGCCAGATCTCCGTTCAACTCATTATAAATACTGCTGTGCAAGTTCGTCTGCTCAAACAGCTTCCCCTCTGACGTAGTCGCCTCTTGATTAGGGAAGAACGTGACAATAGTCTTTCGGTCGACGATCCAGAGCCAAAGCTGGTCGACCATCAATACATTGCCATCCATAAACTCGGTAGGCTCGGTGCCTTCTGGATCATCATTTGTTGCTTCCAGGTACTCCCGGAGTTGATCGTCGATCCGAGCTGGCTTGCGAGTACGCTTCCAGAGCATTTGGTCGTCGTCTCGAGCCACCGTCGAGCGTAGATTGGGATACCCGTATTGGTCCAAAGTGCGTCGGAAGTGAATCGGGGGCTCGCAGCCCAAGTATTGCCATATAAGCTTGGCCTCGAGGCTTGATCTGTTGATACGGTATGGCACTGGCCTCGATCGTCCCTGGTGGACTCGGTCTTCAACGACCTTGCGGCGTTGTATCAGATTTCGATATGTATCCCAGTGGAGCTAGAGAAGGGTTAGTCGGTATGTAAGAAATTAGGTCGACCACTCTTACATAAGGTGTCTGCAGTAAATGTCAGTCATCGTGGTACAATAACAAAGATGGGAGATTTTGCACTTACATAAAGAGCCAGTTGAGGGTCTTCTGCATCTCCTTCCTTGGTCCCGTAGGACACATCCATCTGCCGTGAGTGAATGCATTTTGGTCGCACGAACCTGGCATGTGGCTCCTTATGTCGCGCCCTATTGAGATTCAGGTACCAATTTTCATCATTAATGAACTTTCGCAGACTAAACGTGACATAGGTCAGTAGATGTTAAATGCTTCGAGGAAATGATGTGCCATACAACGTCGGTTCCTGGCGGTCCTGACATGCTCGCCGAATAACCTGTGACACCCATCCGGTATGTGTATAAGGCACGTGTATCCACAGCAGCTTTTCTGTGCCCGCATCGGGCCTGTCAAATCGCGGCAGTGAGCGCGGTATATCCGCTCCCTCGGCATCCTCGTTTATACGGTCTCGTGTCGATGCCGGGATTGTTAAAAAGTTAGCTTGTCGCGACGGGGATACAGAGCTCCTATCAACATCTGTGAGAAGTCTATCGACAATCCGCATATGAGCAAGGAGTCTCTTACGAGCCAGGCCGGGAGCTACTCGCGTGATAGCTGTCTTCTGATACATTTCGCTTGTGGGATTTAAGGTGGGACAGGCCTAGTGCTTGGGCGATCGTTTCCTTCGTTCGGCGCTCCACTGGGGGAGGGGGGCTTTCACTTGCGGGTCTATCAAAATACCCATCGGTGGCAGCCTTGGTGATGTGGATGGTTGGGGAATGGAGTGCTGGATCTATGGGGCTTTGGTAGCTCTGGCCGTGTTTCATGGGCGGCCTCGAGGGTCGTTCATCACTTTCGTGCACAGCTTCATGGTCATAGCGGTCATTGTGGTCATCATGATCGTTATCATTAAAGTCATTCTCACTTGAATTTTCATCATCTTGCTCTTCAGGCCCCTGAACTACCTTTGGGGAGGGAAATCGACTACCGTAACTGCTCAATGAAGAATCATCCAATGTGCCGGGCTGAATCCGCTCCAGACGCTCACGAAGGCAAGTTGATGGTCCTTTAGCCAGGTATTTTTCCAAGGAAACCTGCGTGGACCACAGCTTGAGAGGAGTTTCGTCGCTAACACCGAGGGCGGTATCTTCAAAGAACCCGTTGACTTGGACCATGACCTCCTGCTCCACGTGCAAATGATGATCCTGAAGTTTTGAAAGCTCTGCAGCCACATTGACAGCGTCATTGAGTTCGGTCAAAAAGGCCTCTAGAGCCGATTCCTGTCCTTGGAAACAGGATGTTCCAGCATGATCCGTTCCCATGGGAATTTCATTCTCGTGCTCTATACTGAGCAAACCAGATCTGATAGACGTAATCGGGGCATGGAACTCTATGAGACAATTTGACTCCAAATCTTGCACATGCAGAGTCGAGTCAATAGTCTCGAGGAACGACCAGACCTTCATGTCAGCAGAGAGCGCCTTGAACTGGTTAGAAAGATGCCATAGTCTTTCCTGTCGCGGACGAAACTGCTCCCGCAACGAGAGCGGTATCTCATGCTCCAGATACAGCAATCGTCGAATACTCCGTTGATACTCTTCCGCCGACAGATACGTCGATCCCTGATGAGGCGTCGCGAAGAACGCGATGCCATGACAGCTGGTTACGATAGCCTGGCTCGGCTCGGCCCGTGGGGCAAGAGCCAGACATGCCTTGGCTACTAAGCCGCCGGTACTGTGGCATAAGAAGAAGATCGGTCGTCGAGGACTGTATTGTTTGCGCTGTTCGAGCAGGCGGTTCAAAAGCCGCTGACCCAGGCGATCGATCTTATCACGCTCGCGCAACTGGCCATGGTTGTACAGCAGCACCCTCGCTCGCGGCATGCGGTTTAGCAGATCAGTGCCCAACCACGGTGACTTGGATCCCTGGGCCGTCCAGGATTTTTGATGATCGGCCCCGATGGGCGGAATTGCAACAATACTATAATAGGGGAAGTTGTCAGTACATGTCACCTGGCGTTGCGGAGAAGAGGGCGCACGGACTCTACGTTCGTGTGCTCAGCTAGTTGGATACATTCGAACCACGCCGAGCGAGTTGGCCCTATCGTTGGCGGCGAGGGCATGGTGGATCTAATGTGCTTGAATGAACTGCATTCAGTTGGGATTCCTTGCGGGGAGAATGCATGATGATCTGGACAGAAGTCCTCTTAAATCAAGAGGAGGGGGTCCATTTCAGCCTCAAGGCGCGATCATCTGCTCGCGCCCCGGCGTGCAGCCCGCTTCGCCCCAAATCGGTAGTGCGCCGATCGCGTGAGTCAAAGCACATCACCCGGGTTGCTTGCTGATTTGCGTGGAACTATTAATTAAAGGGAGAAATCGGATCCGAGGAAAGATGTGGTTATTAACAATATCATAATTGGGTAGTGGGGATGATTCGCGAAACTTTGGTATGTACAGCAGGTAGGGATTGCTTTTGGGATAGCAGAACACCACTCCAAACATGCCCTGGGAAATCAACCAAACCAACACAAGAAAAGAAACTAATGCAACACTTTGTCTATGGTTTAGCGGATGCGGTATCATGAAAACATGGACGCCGGAACGACTCAATAGTACAGAGGGAGTAGAGAGGAGGCGATCGAAGCATCGACCGCATGCAAAGATAGAAATACATCAATGAGGAAAAAGAGGCGGAAGAGAAAGGTTAAGAGCTCTCTGAGTGTCGGCGCTCATTCACCTCTCGAGCCATGAGCTTGCCGACTTCATATGTCGAAATCATGATGGCACAGGCCGGGGCAACTTTCAGGCAGCGTGCTCCCCAACCCTTGAACAGACCGGCCGTGCCTTCTTCTCGAAGAATGTGCATGAGGAATTTCGGAAGGGAAAGCTGCTCAGGAGCGAGAGACTTGGGAGGGAGAGATGGACGTTGGCCACCACTCGGCGGAACACCGTCATCCATGTGTCGGAAGACCTGCTGCCTCGTTTTGCCCACGTCGAAAGGCGTGGTGACCAATGCTGCCACCGATCCCGAGGTGGCACCGGCAATGAAGCTCTCAAAGAAGGCCGTTGTCGTAGATGGTGCATCGATATCTGAAGTGGGGAGATGTGGTGCATGTTTTCGTGTATTCTCTAACGCCTGCTTCACCTTTTCATATCCCCACCAGTAAAGACCGGAGAAGGGCACGTCGCGCCACATGGTGAGCGACAGTCCTCGCCACAGGGATGTATAGCCGCTGGACTGGGTCATTTGGTACAGGCCCTCCAAAGTGGCTTTGAAGTGACCCGCACCGTGGCCGGGAGTGGCCTGAAGCCTCGTTCGGAACATCTCAACCGGACTTGTGGCCGATGCGGCCGCCGTGCGAGCTATTGCGCCGGCCACAAATGGCGCATATACATCGGACACATTCTGCTTGATGAGACTGCGATCATCCGTCCGGAGCCAGTCATATCCGGCGAAATAAATAATGTTCGCCGGAATGCCCATCATCAGAGTGGGACTGAGTCCGCGCCACAGGGTCCAGAAGCCCTCATTCCGGGCAATCTTCCGCAATCCATCAAAGGTCGAAGTGAAGGTCCGTCGCTGGGTCTCCTCCACAGCACAGTCAAGTGCAGGGTGTGCCGGACTCCTCAGCACGCCTCCTTGTGGCTCAAACATACAAATCTGCGCATTATCTCCTACCCAAAACACTTCACGGCAACATGCTGTAATCCCGAGGTTCGGTGGGAGGTTCTTCAACGTCTGAGTGGTATGTGTGGTATAAGAAGCGGCCGTGGATGTCTGCGATTGTGATTGTAGCCGTACGCGTACAACATCCAAGGGAGTGACTTGAGTAAAACGCCGTCAGAAAATGGAACATGTGTGAGGACCGTGCTAGGAGTCAACACTCACCGAGTAAGCCTGTCAAGATGTTCCCGGCCGTCGCAGAGATCATGCGCTGTCCAAGCGAGATATTTTCCGTCGAAGGAGTCACGTCGGGGGTTGGGACTGCGCCCGTTGATGCTGTGGACGTCATTGGCAAGGGTTCGTCAAACTTGGATGTCCATGGCGTTGAGTCAAGATCAGACTCAAAAACGTCTCCAGCGGCGCTGGAGTGGTTTGAAGTCGCAGAGATATCCAGCCCGATTAAAATTCGATCGGCAGCAACCGATCCTTTGGCGGGTGAAAGCAAGGCTGGTCTCGCGACTGCTGGAAGAGATGGTTAGAAGGAAGCGGTGCGTCACCGAAAAGGAAGATTTTCGGGGTTTTGCGGGTGGCGGCGGGCGGAGATAAGCGTCCTTTCGTCAACGCCCTTAATCCTTGTCACCGATTCAACTTTGGAGCAACCAGGTCTGAATCAACCACGCAAGTCGATGGCGACCGAAGTGATTCTTGTATAGTTTTTCTTCGCTGGGTGTTTCTTGATCTGTCTGGATCGGTGGAACCTCTTGGGGCTTATCAGATTGATCGATCTCCGACACCGGACGTGTCGGGACCTTCCCCGCCATGGATGACAACGCCGAGCTCGAGTCTTTTCGCCGCCAGTGGCGTGAAGAAGTTGCTCGACGATCTAAACACACGGACTCTGCACCTGCGCCCGATGCTGCCCCTCAATATGCTGCGTCGATCGCAGCTCCGGCGCTGTTGACGGCGACCCGACCTCCACCAACGCGTCATGCCGCGACCGACCGCAAGGATTTGGATCAAGAAGGGCCTGCGCCGGCCTCGTTCGATCCGGAGGAGCTAGCGCGACAGGTTGGAGAGCTAAGTGTGACACAAGAGGAAGCCGAGGAGGAAGATGGATTTACTCGTCGGGCACAGCAGGAGCCCAACTCAGCTATTGAGCACTTTGAGCGAGCGGTCGAGAAGGAAGCTGCGGGCAACCTGGGCGATAGTCTTCAACATTATCGCAAGGCATATCGAGTGAGTGTGAATAGCAGTGGATGGATGAGGAAATGTAATCTGGGCTAACCTTTGCGTAGTTGGATGCCGGTGTTGATAAAGCTTACCGCAATAAGCACTATGCTCACGTTTGGAAGAAGCCCGCCCACCCTACACCAGCTGAACCTGCAGCCGCAGCCCCCGTGGCTGTTCCGGCGCCTGCAGAAGTCGAGATCCTCCCCACGCCGGAACTGATACAGTCCTTTGCCCACCTTCCTATCCCTCAGGCAGATCCACTCATCGAAGGGACTGACCCTCCGCCCTGCCCGATCGCCCATGTTCCATCCGAAGTTATAGTTGAGATCCTACGCCATGTTGCTCTACGAGACCCGGCGACCTTTGGTCGGATGGCCCTCGTGTGTAAGCGACTTGCATACCACTTTGCACACGAGCAGCACATTTGGAAACGGATCTGCCAACGGCCAGAGTTTGGATTCCAGGGCATGCAATACTCTTTCGTCTGTGATACTCTTGGCCGTCCTATCTATACGCTTGACGATCAGCGATACACTCCATTCCCAGTCGATGTACCAGCCAAGATTCCTAGTTCGCTATCGTCTTGGAGCCAGGTATTCCAGTCCTATCCACGCATTCGATTTACAGGCATCTACATCAGCACCGTCAACTATTCACGGCCGGGTGCCACGTCTTCTTTCCAGAATGTGTCGTGGAATAGCCCAATCCATATTGTGACCTACTACCGCTACCTGCGGTTCTATCCGGATGGATCCGTGGTGTCCTTGTTGACCACCACCGAGCCCGTGGATGTGGTACCTCATATTAGCAAGGAGAACATGATGGCTGCGCGTGCTCATTCCCACAGACAGCATCAACGACATGCCTCGGACCAGGGACAGACCCTTTCCGGGGCAACCGAACCTGTCCCGCCAGTCGCCATGAATGCCCTGAAATATGCCCTCCGTGGACGTTGGCGTCTAGCGTCACCTGCTGATTTCGAGGATAACGCAGACGAACAAAAGACCCCTCCCAAGGCAAATCAGACCCAAGAAGCCTTTGATCCCCGTGATCTGATTGTGGAGACTGAAGGCGTTGATCCCAAGTACGAATACACTATGCATCTCTCCCTTCGGTCTCCCTCGGTATCCAAGGCCCACCCCAATCCATCCCGCAACACCAAACTCGTGTGGCGTGGCTTCTGGAGTTACAACAACATCACTGATGATTGGGGCGAGTTTGGGCTTCGGAACGACCGGGCGTATGTCTTCCGACGGGTCCGCGGCTGGGGCCTGGAATGAGATGATGACGATTAATGAACTGTTTGAAAATATATCAAATTATGAGAACATAGAGATTCATAGCAAATACAGAACAGAGGTTGGGTTTCCAGTCCAGAGAACCTTACATTCCCCCGCGTAAAGATTGCTACCGAGTCTATTCCACTATCCGGATTGAGACTATGAAGCCTCGGGAGCCCGGCCTACACGCCCATTGATGTCAGGTTGACTAATGAAAATTCCTTCTAGGAGCCCTCGGGCGTCTACCCGGCCCCACGGGGTTTGGACAATAATCGTATGATGAATAATACTGGAGAAGTGCTGGGATTATTCTGTTCACGGAGGTGACCATACCATCTCGTAAGAGAATTATGTAGGAGTAAAAAATCTCATGGATAAGAAGGATATCCACTTGATAAGCGATCGGCACACCTCTGATTAAGCTATATTCTAGGTGAAAGTAGAGCATAGTTAATTAAGAGGGTAGCCGGCGTGGCGTATCTCCCTAGTAAAACTAGTCGACTGCTCTACGCATCGCGCATCTCAACTTGATATTCTTTTCCCCTCAACCCCAACCCCGACCCCAACCCCCAAGATACGATCCTCCACACCGTGGCAGAGCCTAGGCTGTAACTCCCGAACTGTCTCTCTTTATTTCATTTTATGACAAACCGATAGCATAGGCCCCGTGGGGATGTATGCCCCCGGCCCGGCGCAGGAGGTCATCGAGGCGGCAGGGTCCACAAGAGGTACATAAGAGTACTTTCCTCGCACTATGTCTCGGTGAGCAGTTTGGAGTACCGGTAAGTACCTCGAACCTCGCCCGGGCCGGAGTTTGAACTCGTTCGGTGAACAGCAAACTCTGTTGATGCTTATGTCAGCAGGCCGAATTCCGTCCGCCAAACGTCCGTTCAAGTCGGCATCCCGTCAGGTGGCGGTCGAAGGCGCAAGCCCTAGGGGAAACTATAGAAAAGTGAATCAACACAATGAATATCACAATTTGAGTCTCAAAATGGCCCATTTTTCCAGGCAATAAAAGCTCTCAACCCGGGAGATTCTAAGAGATTCAAAAACGGTATCTAACCCCGTTCTCCACGTTTCCAGTCCCAAGTGGAGCGCACCGTAGGGTATGGCCCATTGCCACGCGCCAAGAGGAAAAAAATATGGGTCGAATATGTCTTCAGTTTCCGTTACCTCCACGTTGGTCCCCAGAATATTTTCTTCTCGTCATCCTCCGCCTGGACGTGTGCGTCTTTTCTCCATATTTCCCCATTCACAGTCACAATGAGCGCTGTCGAAGCACCCCATGCAATCCCGGCGCGGGACATCGAGGTCTATCACGATCAGGATGAGACGGAGAAGGCTTTCTCTGAAAAGCCTCCGCCAGTGGATGATCCTTTCGGAAACGAGGAAGCTGGGGAAGTCAAGTATCGCGTGATGAAGTGGTGGTAAGTACTAGCCGTTATGCTGGCCGAATGAACGTTTTATGTATACGCGCAGTTACATTGGCTAACCAATGCTATAGGCAGGCTGGAATGCGTAAGAGCCTATTCAAAGCGGCGTTGCGGGCAAATTGAGCCTCAATCTAATCAATCCGTATAGTGATGGTCGCTGAAAACATCTCCCTGGGTATCCTCTCGCTCCCATCTGCCGTTGCAACTCTCGGCATTGTCCCGTAAGAAAATATCCCAATGTTTCTGCAGCACATCAAGGAGATCTGACCACCTGATAGGGCCTTCCTCATTATCCTCGGCCTTTCTGCCATCTCCTGGTACACTGGCCTTGTCATGGGCGAGTTCAAGCTGCGGTATCCCCACGTGCACAGCATGGGTGATGCCGGTGAGATGCTCATGGGCCCCTTCGGTCGTGAACTCTGCTACTGGGGCCAATTGCTATTCATCATCTTCCTGATGGCCAGTCACATCCTTACTTTCACTGTGCTCTTCAACACCATCACCAACCACGGCACTTGCACTATTGTCTTTGGCGTGATCGGTCTGGTCGTCAGCTGCATTTGTGCGCTGCCCCGAACCACTGACAAGGTCTTCATCATGTCAAGCGTGTCTGCTGTCAGTATCTTGACTGCTACTATCGTCACCATGATCTCCATTGGCGTTCAGGCCCCGGACTACGTTGAGAATGATATTACTACCGATCCTACCTTCGTGGACGCTTTCCTGGCTGTGACCAACATTGTGTTCGCATTCATCGCTCACGTTTCTTTCTTCGGTATCATGTCTGAGATGCAGGACCCGGCCGAGTTCCCCAAGTCCTTGGCTATGCTGCAGATCGTCGATACGGTCATGTATATCGTGACCGCGATGGTTATTTACTGCTACGCCGGCCCGGACGTTTCTTCTCCTGCGCTTTCTTCGGCTGGTCCCCTGATGAAGAAGGTTGCCTACGGCCTGGCTATTCCAACTGTAAGATTCCACCTTTTGATGAAGATTTGCCTCGGTAATCTTTCAAGCTAACTTGCACTTAATAGGTCATCGTTGCCGGTGTCGTCTTTGGCCACGTTGCTTGCAAGTATATCTACGTCCGTATTTTCCGTGGCGAGCGCTCGCACCACATGCACCAGCGCAGTCTGTTGGCTACTGGTACCTGGGTCGCAATCGGTCTTACTACCTGGACCATTGCCTGGGTTATTGCCGAGTCTATCCCAGTGTTCAACGATTTGTTGAGTCTCATTGTATGTTCCCACTCAACCCTCCCCTGATTGCGACATTCGCTGACTTATTCCCGCAGAGCGCTCTCTTTGGTAGCTGGTTCAGCTGTAAGTTTTCACACATACCTTCCCCATGAAATCACAGAGTACTAAACTATCAATAGACGGCCTGCCCTCCATCTTCTGGATGCTCATGAACAAGGGACAATGGTTCGCCTCCCCCAAGAAGATCGTCATGTTCACCATCAACCTCATTATTCTGGGAATCGCCTGCGTTATCGTAAGTTCTCTTAGACCCCTTGTCCGAGTGATCAAGATTCTAATTCCTACCAGTGCGGATTGGGACTGTATGTCTCGGGCAAGTCGATTCACGACAGCTCTTCCAAGGCCAGCTGGACCTGCGCCAGCAACGCTATCTAGATACGACCAAGATCTCGGCGGGACATATCGCTTGTGTCTCGTCTCCTGGGCCCGTTTTTGTATAGATTTCTGGATACTTGCATTGAAAGAATGATGGACATGTTGCATGTTTACTGTATAGCATCGATTGGCTGGGCAACCCTAGTTGGTTGAAAATAGATTTGTTTGATTGCGCTTAGACCATAATCAGATGTTTGTAACAATCCTTCGAATTTAGATAGATATACATCCTCCCCGTCGAGCCTCGCGTCTCATATCTTATTCTGCTCTTACTGATGAGAGAATAGATTACGAAAGTCCATCTATAATAACTCTATAATAACTCTAGGTATGATCCAAATCAAACCAAACCGCACCCTCCTAAATTAACCCGTCTGATTATCTTCAGGGGCGGTGCTCAAAGCCTGCAATGAGTTCTGCGGAGGCTACTAGCTAGAATGGTTAGAAAATTCAAAATGTCATCGTTAGATCGTACAATTCTTAAGCATTCCGCTAGGCTTAGAGAGCTGTGTAATTAGTTAGGGACTGAAGGTGTAGATGTACTCCTCGCCTAGGACACTGGGATAGACGCTGCTATAGCAGAAAGAATTCGGCAAACGCTCCCTAGAATCGAAGGTTATATAGAAGAGCATGAGTCAAGGGTATGCAAAATCATTAAGAAGATAAATAGTTTCGTGGCATAACCCTAATGCCCGTGTGAGGTGAGATGAAGGAAGAAAATAGGGTGAGGATTTTTCCCCCCGTTCTGTTTCTTATCTTCTTCTTGTTTGGTCTTTCTGTTCCCTTTCCTGGGGCTAATTCCGGAGTTTATTCTGGAGGTCCTTATATTAGGTCTTCTGAATGTTCTTGTGAAGGTCCTTTCGGAGGTCCTTATGGAGAATCTTATGGAGGATCTTGTGGAGGATCTTGTGGAGGATCTTATGGAGGATCTTGTGGAGTTTTGTCTTTCCTAGTGCGGTTCCTTGTGTTTATTCTTTGTTTATATATTCACTTATTTTACTCCTATTTTATCTGGTTAGAGTTGACTGGCCCTCTTGGGAGGTGGACTTGTCTTAATATATACTGTCTCTAATATCTAATCATATAATTTACGTGTTAAATGTCTTATACTATATTGATATAGAGTATATACCTTGAAGACTATAGTTTACTTTTGTTTTATGACCTAACGCTTTAAGTTAAGGACTTTTAGGGTATACTATTCCTGAAGCGGAGCTTACTATTATCCGAAAAGAATATGCGGAGCCTTTCTAGCTTAGCAGAGCTCTAATTAATCTAGTGGTGCGAACTACTATAGCTCTAGGTTCCTTATTAGGCGGCGGCTAGCTAGAATAACAGAAGCCGGCCTCTATATATTCTCTTCTGCCATGTTAAGCCTATTCCTAAATTTCTCTCTCTTTAAAAATTCCATCTCCTCCTCGATACCAAAGCCTACCACGGAAATCATTCTATCACCTCCGTACATGTCTGAACCACCTACTCAAGGCTTAGGTTCACAGCCAGTCCCCCAGTGCCACGAGCAACCTCCAAAATACTATCCAGCCTAGCCTAGTTAAGATACACTTGCCTCGATTATTGAGAACAAGTATGCTCACCGGACTCTATAACAAAAGCTTAAAGAAATGTTCGACGAGGGAATAGATAGCGAAGGGCCTGAAGAGATGCCGACCGAACTTGACTCCTCTCAAAAGGCCGAATAGAGCCAAGCATTCGGTGAAATGTATATAGAGGGGGGACAGACCCTTTTGGAAATGGCAAAGGTGTTGAGAGAACGCGCTAATCTAAAGTGGAATGGCCTCTATAACGCCCTGGCAAAACTCACTGACGATGAGTTTAACGAAACATATGCTTCTTTGAAGCGGGACCCAACTCAGCAGATACAACATGCGCTGGATCAGGACAGTCAAGTTGGCAGCGAATGCCGTTACCGAGATTCAACATACAGCTCTCAAAGCTCTTCGATGATCAATCAAGGAGGAAGTGCTAGAGAGTGCCTCTCCGACTCTTCCTGCTCTTGCGAGCGGTTCCTCAAGCTTTCGGCAAAGGTGGATGAAATCGATGAGCGACTTAGCCACGCCTGTGATCAGGCAAGCATATCGAAGATGACTGGTCATACTACCGTTCAGTCACCCAAAGGCTTTTGGAGGAGGATTTTCAAGCATTAAACTCGGCCTTGGTAGTCAATCAGAATGAGGATCTCGGGAGGAAATGAATCATGATCAGACTGCTGGAGATTTTGATGCCTGCAAAAACTGCTTTTTTCTTTCTTATGGATTTATTTTGGTTCTGGTCTGCAATAGTTCTAGGTTGTCTTAATTATCAACTGATATTTTGTGGCATTGCCTCCATGGCAATGACAATAGGCTGTTCTTGATTATAGTTGCTTCTGGATCAGACACGATCGTAGGAACATATGCTAAAAGTCCGCCTCGTTGAACGTAATGACTAAAATGGCAGAGAAAGAGCACCGCGAGACTCGGCACGGCTACCTGAACGACTCAGCGGCCACGTGCATCGTAATTATTATAGCAGAGCTCATTGATATAGACATACAGAAGATGGATCAAAAGAAGGAAATATATATACAGACGCGAAGCCAACGCCATTAGCAACCTTACGCCTCCTAGAATAACCTTACGGGCTTCGCCAATTCAGCGGGATCTGCTCCTCTTCATCGTCGACAACAACCACCATCCACACACCGATTTGCCCATTACTAGCGTAAAGCGGAGTACAATGAACCCAGCGGCTGCGACCTTCGCTGTTGTATCGTGTGACCCATTTGATCCGCGCCGTGACACTGTGACCTTGTTGCATGGCAGCCATGAGCTCCTCCTTGACGGCTGAAGAGCTTCCGATGCGCGCGAAGAATGACGATTGTAGCATACCCGGGATCTGGAGGGATGGCGAGGTAAAGAGGACACGGAGGGAAGGATAGGGTCGTACAAGAAGGTACTGTTTCAAATCAGTATTGGACAGCAACATTACTATAGCAGACAGGATACTCACATTTTCATAGACACCCGTCAAGGATCCCCGGAAAAGAGGAGACTTGACATCCCTCAGACGGATAGCCTCGGCCTCGCTATCTATCGAACCATTCCGCGGAAGCCAATGTCGCTGCGTCCGCGACGCTGAACGCGTATTCAGCGGCTGGAAGAGATCACCACCATGCTCTTGTACAGCAGAAAGTTCTTTCGGGCTGAATAGCTCGCACATCTCTCGGAATTCGTCTTTGTGTGGTGCAATGGGCATTTCTGCGACGCTTTCCTCGTCGGGATCGCGGTAGCGTGATTGGAGATCAATGAGGGACTCCATTTGTGCTCCGTCTAGGGCAAGACCGGAGACGTCGATTTGGGCACCGATGTGATATTTTACTCGGCCTTTGCTGTCGCAGAGGGGTGCGCATTGGAGGAGGTTCATGAATGGGGAGCCGTCGCGTCGACTGTCAACGTTGAAAGTTAGTGCTATGTTGGTGATTAGATGATGGAGGCATACGTACTAATTTAGGAATAGCTCCGAGTGGTGTCGCCCTTCTTTCAAGGATTCGCGAATCCGACGTACACTGTTGGAGTTTGTCTTTGGGCCTTGAAGGAATCGGCAATTGCGTCCAAGCACATAGTCCATCCCGTACTGCGTCGTTCGGTGGAATTCTGCGGCTAATTTAGTGGCAATCCTGACCATGCGCATGACGATACCTACCTTGCGACGCGAAAATGATAGGATTATCCGGCCGTGATGGATCTGTCAAACAGAACACTTCCGCCAATGCGTTTGAAGTTTCTCTAAACTTCATGGGTAGCGTTCCTCGAACGCGCTCTTCGACAATCTTGCTGGTAATGGTAATGCACCTCGACGTAATAAACGCAGGAAGCTCTTCGGCCGTCAATGCATTGAGTCCATCTTCCACGCGCTGCTCAAGTACCTTATTAGTCGTGATACCGACGGCTGCGGTATCCGTTTGAACTGCTTGAACGGCTGGCGGTGGAACGTCCGTTGACAGGCGGACCAGCGCATTGGCGTATTCAAGCGCTTTCAAGGCCTTGGTCGCATTCAGATAGTATGTAAGAGTGGAAATGGACCGTGGTCGCTCATCAAGAAGGAATTCCCGGAATCTGGCGAGATATCGCGGGTTATTGAGAATGGTCAGCATGTGCTCCGTTCCAAACATCACCTCCGAGAGGCGCTCCAATTTGTGAAGCGGCGCATCCACACCGTCCCACGGCGCAATCAAATCATACGAAGCACCATCTTCTTTCACAGGATTGAATTCTTCTGCGCCTTCGTAGGGATTGAGTTCCTGGAGCAGAGGGAGCTCGTTGGTCGTGACAGTGCGTCGCAAGTTCTTGATTGAAGACCGTGGTGTGGGGTATGCTTGTTCTTCGTAGGGCGCGTCGATCATCACTTGTTCTTCGGCGATAACATCAAGACCCTTCGTTCGGCTTGGAGGGTGGGGAAAATCGTCGAGAATTTGATCATTTCTGATCCGATTGATTAGTAGAAACCCTTTCGTCTCTTTGAGGCAGATCGCGACCTACCGTGAAGATCTCCCTGATTCGAGCATCCATTCATGATACTCATCTGGTAGAGTTTCCGTCAAAGATCGCATAGATCGCAGCGACTCGGTATCGAGGCCTGATAGCCCGTCGTGGAGGTCTGTCATGGACATGATGAGCGCTGGAGATGACAATGCAAAACTAAAAGAAAAGAGGAGCAAGTCTCTTCTACTACTGCAGCTATGCCTTGTATTGGATCTTACCGTGTCTTTAATACTCCCATTGTTCCGTACTCACAGGCACAAGACCAGGGTGATGCATCAGTTGATCGCCTCCGGTTTGTCCACACTTCATGTGCCGCTGCACCACTACTCTATGCAAAATCTGAAGCACTGACAGGGGAACGGCAGACACGAACCTCGACTTTTAACTCGATATACACAGGTCACAAATCTACGATCGGCTTTTCATCGCAAACGATCGATCGATGGAGCGCGGTAATCGTGCACGAGATCGGGGTCGATCCCCGAACGATGATGCAATTGTGCGTTGTCAAGGAGAATTCAAGGGTAATTTGGCGCGAAGAACATTCTGAGATCGGCGTCAGCTCCCGAGTCTATCGAAATTTGTGTTGGCTGATTGAGGCTTGGGGGGAGTGCGCCAAGGGAGGCTATTGGTCGGGGAAGTTTGGACATGTCCATTGTCCAAGGCATGCGGCCCCATCAGAGAATATAGCCTTTGTGTGGTCCAGACTCTGTTCGCCTACCAGAGACCAGCCTTGCCTAGTCTTGGATTTGCTTTGACCTCCGTTTGCCTACTCAATAGTAGTTCCCAGCTCCTTGGGAACGGCTACATATAGTTTGTGCCTCTCTCCGTATCACTGCGGGCCGCGAAAGCCACCACATTTGACACAAGCTCAGCTATATTATGATAGCTTAAACCCTACAGTAGTTTGGCGTTATCACTTACAGAAGTACGTCTGTCTCACCTCATCTCTACAAAGGGGAAATGCTTGGGCGAGGGGGTGTGCCTTGTGAAGATATTTTCTCCGCATAGTCACCGCCATTTGTTCGGGCGACAGGCAGGAGCAAAGGGGGATGTACATGAAGGTAAAGCAAAATTGGAATATTTGTCCCAGCCCTTCGGTACCAAATTCAGGAGCTGTACTAGATAGGGGCCGTGTCATGCCCGTGGATGCCCGTTGATGCACGTTGAGGCTGAGTCGAGGGTCTGGGATTTCGAGGGCAGGAATCGCATACATGACTGTTGCGGGCGGAACGGTAAACAATGTGAAAGCTGCCAATACATGATACATATCGTTGCTTGCATTTTCCTAACCCGATCTTGATCTACTTGATGATTGTTACAGCAAAATCGGGGCATATTACCTCTAAGCCAAAAATCTTTCAGGGGCTACATTCTTCGTCCATAGGGTCATTTATTGTTCTGACAATGGCTTTTTGCTTTGGTGGTGTATACTTCCAACATTGGATCCACGGAACGCTGGCAGGCCCTCTCTTATCGATAAGCTGATATGCCGATAAGCGAAAATTTTCGGGGCGCGGAGATGTGCCCTCACAAGTTGTTCCTTTGTCGCGACGCCCATTCACCATGCCTGAGAAGGTGCACACCCACTTTGGTGACCTGGACGATAAGTCCTCCAAGCAGACACCCAAGGTTGCATCGGAACCGACGATAGTCGAGGACGTGAGCCGCAAGAAGAAGCGCAACAAGAAGCGGAAGCGCGACGAGCCCGCCGAGGAAGCCCAGGCACATCGCAACAATGTGCCGGTACAGGCTGAGGAACATGTCGAGACCCCTGCACCGGTCATAGAGAAGCCTATTACAGTACCCGTTGTGAACAACCAATCTGAACTCGAATCCGAATCCTCGCCCGACCAGACCGCCGCCCGGAAATCCAAGCCAAAGTCCAAACCCCCCAAGACCCTCACCGATACAAAGACCAACTTCACTTCCCTCCGCGAAAAGGCCACCGCCCTCTATGAACTCCGCAAGAAACTTCCCATCTTCGCACACGCCGATGAAATCCGACAGAAGCTCCGCGACCGAGATGTTATGCTGTTGGTCGGTGAAACCGGTTCCGGAAAGAGTACCCAGATCCCACAGTTTCTGGTGAACGAGTTCTGGTGCCGACCGACGCCCGCCAAGGTCCTTAAAAAGAATGGAACCGAGAAGTCTGTCACTGTCGGTGGATGTATTGCGATCACGCAGCCACGTCGAGTCGCGGCGATCTCGCTGGCACGGCGTGTGGCCGAGGAAATGGGTACACCACTGGGATCTTCTTCGCCAGCTAGTAAGGTTGGCTACTCGGTGCGATTCGATACGTCTACGTCACCTAGTACGCGGGTGAAGTTCTTGACTGAGGGAATGCTCCTTCAGGAGATGCTGCATGATCCTTGGTTGACCAAGTACAGTGCCGTTGTGGTTGACGAGGTCCACGAGCGCGGCATCAATGTTGATCTCGTGGCCGGTTTCCTCCGGAACTTGGTCTCTGGGAAGAAGGAGGGTCGGGGTGGTGTGCCACTTAAGGTGGTAGTCATGAGTGCTACGGCCGATATGGAGAGTTTGATGGGCTTCTTCCAGGAAGGGTTTACGGAGCAGGAGCAGGAGCAAGAGGAAAAGCAGGGGCAAAAGCAAATATCCAACGGGGTCGAGAACGGCGATCGCCCGGAAGAAGCATCAATGGCGATAACGGCTTGTCATATCAAGGGTCGACAGTTCCCTGTCAAGACGATCTACTCGCCCGAGCCTGTGCATGATTTTGTCGATGCGGCCTTGAAGATCATTTTCCAGATTCATTACAAAGAGCCTATGCCAGGTGATATCCTGGTTTTCCTCACGGGCCAAGAGACCGTGGAGAATCTGGAGAACTTGGTCAACGAGTATGCCATTGGCATGGATCCGTCATTACCCAAAATTCTCGTTCTGCCTCTCTTTGCAGCTCTCCCTCAAGCTGCCCAGCAGCGAGTCTTTGCCCCCGCTCCACCGCGCACCCGCAAGGTCATTCTGGCTACCAATATTGCCGAAACATCCGTTACCGTGTCCGGTGTGAGGTACGTGGTGGACTGCGGCAAAGCAAAGGTCAAGCAATTCCGTACCCGCCTCGGACTGGACTCGCTGCTGGTGAAGCCCATTTCCAAGTCGGCTGCCATCCAACGGAAGGGTCGTGCCGGTCGTGAGGCTCCCGGTCAATGTTTCCGGTTATATACCGAGAAGGACTACCTCGCACTTGACGAGACAAACACTCCAGAGATTCTGCGCTGCGATCTAACTCAGGCTCTTCTGAATATGAAGGCCCGCGGCGTAGACGATATCGTGCGATTCCCCTTCCTGACCCGCCCACCGCGTGAAGCTCTCGAGAAGGCCCTGCTTCAACTATTGAACATCGATGCGCTTGCAGACGACGGTAGCATTAGTGAGATTGGTCTCCACCTCGCGAAGCTCCCCCTCTCACCGACCCTCGGACGAGTGCTCTTGGCAGCCTCGGAGAATGGGCACGACTGTTTACTGGATGTCATCGACATCATCTCCTGCTTGAGCGTGGAGAACATCTTCCTCAACACGACCTCCGAGGAAAAGAAGGAAGCAGCCGAGACGGCCCGACGGGACCTCTACCGACGCGAAGGCGATCATCTGACGATGCTATCCACCGTGCGGGCGTACGCAGGCGAAAACGTGGATCGCAAGGTGTGGGCCGAGCGACACTTGGTTTCCCATCGGGCAATGCAGTCAGTGATGGTAAGTCATCCTCACCCAATGCTTCATGCATGATAAGCCAGCAATCTCAAACCCAATCTAACAACTTGTGTGTTATCTAGGACGTCCGCAAACAACTCCGCTCTCAATGCCGGCACGCTAAAATGCTCCCGCGCGAAGAACGAAACGATCACTACCCCGATCCATCGCCGGATCTCATTCTACAAAGTTTCCTGAGTGGCTTTGCGACCAACACCGCCCGGTTGGTGCCCGATGGTAGTTATCGCACGATCGTCGGGAACCAGACGGTCGCGATTCACCCGTCGAGTGTACTGTTCGGCAAGAAGGTGGAGGCGATCCTGTATAATGAGTTTGTGTTTACTAACCGGAGTTATGCGCGCGGAGTGAGCGCGGTGCAGATGGATTGGGTTGGGGAAGCCTTGGCTGGGAGGTAAATCGTTCCTCGGGACGGGGACCAATGGTGACTGTCCAAGACTGGCGTCGAGTGTACGGAGTATATACCCATGAATGAGCGATCAGAGAATCTTACTTCTATTCATCGACCTGTGCTCCCTAGATTATTTATCATGACACATCAGGGTGACGGTGAAAAGGCCACGATTGTGCGTGGCTTTTGGAGGGAGACTCGTGGTCTTACCACCTGGCGCTCCTTAGGATCCTCAGCTAATACATGATTGATTCAAGTCTGCCAAGAATAACATGGCATATAGCTCGTGGGTGGCTCTGTTTTTGTATGTTTGGCTCACTACGATAGGCGAATTTACTTAGGGCCCCTGCAGGAACGTCGTTTGTTTCTTTGCCTTCCCAACAACCTCACACGACTCTTTCCAAGAGTACCCGAGGCTGTTCCACAATTCCAGCATGGGGCTACATCTTCCCATGGAATTACTGCATTTGATTGCGACTCATTTGCAGGACGCGAAAGGCCTTTTTGGTCATATGCACTCGAGTATGCCGTTAGTGGCAGGTCGCCTTCGAGCCCGTCATCTACTCCCGAACGATCCACGTCATAGTGCCGCTGGAGTCAGCAAAGATGACTGTGAGAGGTCCATGTCGTTGAGTCACTTTTAGACCGTGACCTCTGCGAAAGGACTGGCCCGGCGAGCCTTGATCCAACATTTGAGCTACCACATTGTAATTCCTACTGATCTCCCGGATTGGCAGACTCGCAAAAGGAAGTGATACAAACTCGAATACAATATTCGTCAAGAGAATGATCTTGCATTTCAGTCCGCAACATTGGACCTCTTCAAAACGTTGAAATGGTGGGATCCTGATTTGCGCCTTTCGGTTGAGGTGGCGCTGCTGGGTCGCGAAGCTGGAATGGAGCCTCACACAGAGGCTTGGGACATCGCAGGCGAATACTGCTATGATCATAAGAAAGGAAGGACGCAGTCAGTCCGTGTCTATAGGGCACAATTCCTAGACAACGGGGCGTCCTTTCTCACGGGTGTCGCGTGCATCGACCGTCTTTGCTTTGATGTCGAACATGGGCCGGATCGGCCCTGATAATTGCTCAGCGCTGTAGCGCTCTTACTGAGATGACTGAATCTCGATGAGTATATCCGTCCAGGTCACATTGAATACATCCAAGCAAGGCGTCAAGGTGAGAGGATAGCTACATGGGATGAGACAGTTACTTTGGGAGCCGAAAAGCTGATATTCCGATAGCTCCGGCCGACGGTTTTGTGACGATGCAACGTAGTCTGAGAAAATTCCAGCTTCTCAATGAGTGCGAATTCCCTTGGAAAGTCATGATGACCGGATTGAATGTGCTTCGTTCGCCTATCGACTTTCTTTCGCAGAACATCCTGGGTCTTAGTCTATCACTCAGAGAGTCAAAGATTAGTCAGCTATCGCTCGCACCAGATGTTCTATTTCCTCTAGACCATCCCTTGCCGACTTCCCGGTCCTTATACTGGCCTTCATTAGATGTGGTGGAGCTGACTGGGGTACCTCCAAGACTTCCTTCAGGTGCGTTCAACAAACTCGCCATCCACTTTTTGGTTTCGGCCCTTTGTTTGCAACTCGGTGAACGTCATACACCAGACATTGTTTGATTGGTCGTAACTGATACTTCCGTCATACGGGCAAGTGGGTTGTACATCCAACACCCGAAGACCAAATGGAAATCGACGAAATCAAGGACTGGGAGAGGATTATCTGTGACTTGGAAGAAGGCACAATTTTCCGGCCGATTTTTGACAGCGACTGTTTCCACCGATGCCCATAATTTCTTGAAATAAAAAAAAGAATATACGGTCCTGCGTGCCTTTAAGAATCGCCGTAGTTACTTGACCAAGCATTCCTCGGTTCTAGGAATCCAGATTATCCGCTGCGGCGAGAAGCAACGTGATACAGATATTAAGGTACGGCTACATATTGAGGTCGGTGGTGACAGGTGGAACTTCCAACGGCTACACTATAAGCTGTAAATGCAGAGTAATCGTCCATCTTCTACTTTGCACCTGATAGTCTTTTATATTTCAGATCATTTAATACAATTTTTTTCATGAATCTGGCTGTGACAACTTCTGGACCAAAGTGGCCTAATGTCGATGATCGGAAGGCTTCATCGGCCGTGCAGACGTGATGTCCAGGTCGATCAGTCTTTATTGGCCAAGGCATCAAGATCGGACCATTAGCTCCGTCTCTTTATCCTAATTCGCGCCCCAGAAGGCGGCATCAGAGCCTCGGCCATCCACCGACTCGCAGGTCTCTGTCCATTATACTCGGCCGGAAACTCGACGTCATAATTCATGAGAAGATAGGCAACAATCATCTTGACCTCAAAGTCAACCAGGAACCTACCCGGACACGAATGGCCTCCATGTCCAAAGGGCAGATGCTCCGGCGAAGTCGACACGAAGCTCAGATTACTCGTGGCTTTCGCGTCTCTGGGAGCCTTCTCGCGGACTCGAGAGAACCGGAAGGGATCGTACTTGAAAGGATCCTCAAAGGTTTCGGGATTGCATTGGAGCGGACGACCCAGGAAGGAGACGTATGCGCCTTTGGGAAGCTCGATTCCATCTTCTGTCTTGATCCCCTCGACTAGAACCTTGCGGAAGACCCCCCGGTTGGTGTTTGAATGCAAACGCATGGTTTCACGAGCCACACTGTCGGATTTGATCATCTGTGCGACTTTGTACTTGGTCCATTTGGTGTTGCTGTCGGGGCCGATGATGTCGTTCACTTCGTCTCGGAGGACGGAGATAGTATTGTATTGCGAGTCTGAGCTGACGATGTTGAGTATCATGTTTGTTACAAGTATGGTTGTCTGATGCACGGCTGCAAAGTTGGCAAAAGCCAGCCGTCTGGACATGCTGGGGAGATCGTGCAGTTCGCGGGGTCGCTCTTTCTGGGCGTAGCGGAGCATTTGCTGGAACAGATCCTTCGGTTCTTCGCTATCGGGCTTTTCCGCGCTGTTTTGCTGGCTCAATGCTTGAACCCGCTGGCAATAAACCGGCTCTACTTGCTTCTTGATCTTTTCGATGTTCCGGCGGAGATTCATCGTAATCAACGGGCCAAAAATTGGGCGCAGAAGACGTGGAGTAGCGCCGGTCAGACCGCCGTTCATCATTATTCCATCATTGACCTTCCAGCAGGCTCGAAGATACGCTTCGTTGCGGCCTATCGCTGTCCAGTTAGAAATAGAATACTTTAGTGAGAAAATGAAACGTACAGAGAGGAAATCCTACGGTAAATCGACTCGCTGCGGCAATAATGACCATTCGAATTGTCTCCAACAGGTCGATTTCTTTCCATGACTCCGTATCGCATCCAATATATTTGTCAAATGCATACTTCAATTCTTCATTCATACCATCACAAACTGCCTCCAGCTTGGAATTAATATCCGACTTGACAAGCATACAAGGCCAGGGATCGGCTTTGTATTTTTCATGGCCAAGTGAGTACTTCAGTTGAACAAGTTCCAAGACCGCGTCGGCGTGACTAAGTTCCTTTTCAGGATGGGCCATAATATCCCGCATTGAGCTTTGAGGCAAGATAATGTCGTGGCGAAATCCAAGACCCGGGAGAAGGACTGTCTTGCCACGTTTGGTGTACTTAATTCAGATCAGTATCGCTGTCAATAATAGTGAAGAAGAACGCACGTTCTCATATGTTTCTTTGTATAGAGCCTCGCAGTCGGTGTAGTATCTCCATCTCGTTCGCCAGCTAAATGTTCTTTTCCCATCGGGCTCACCAGCTAGTGGGAGGTTGGCAGGATATTTAATGGCAAAGAATGCTTGATAGATAAGGAAAGCGAATCCTACTAGAGCAGGAAGCATCACTGAAGCCCATGCCTCATACTTTTCAGCAAAAGACTGGGAGAAAGTAGAAGCTCCCATATTCTTTGGGCGGGGAATGGGGACTGTCGGTGTTGCTTGTATTAGACCCTGATACTGATTGTTCGAGCAGAATGAAAGTCTTTGGGAATCATTTGAGGGCAGTGACTGGAATATTTAGCCCCATAATACGGGCTAGAGTTACTAAGCTAGATACAAGCTAGCGTTCGCCAACAAGAATATATTTGATACCAAGTTCTGGTATTACCGACCGAATCCTGGCCGATAACGGCGTGAGTGATGGATGTAAGGCCGGCTTTGAAGTAATCCACTCCCATGCATGACACGACCTTCATCAAACAATCCGGTGTGTCAATGAAATGACAATGTCAGCAGACTAGATCGGTTCTCGAATTACTAATTACTAATTACTAATTCGTGATACAGGCCTGCCCGCTGTTCTGATTACTGAGAATTCTCCCACAACCTAGCCACAAGAATGAAAAAAAGCAGGATTGAATATTTTACATTTTTTGCCACAGAGTGACCGTGTCTAGTCTACGGACCATATATTAATGCTTATTTACGTCAATGTAAGCAACAAGGCTCAATCTTGGCAGTTCAAGGCTCGGTGTCCAAAACAAAAGTACGTGCAGACAATATTTTTTTGAAGGATCCTATCTAGATCCACCGGCCCGCCGACCCACACACACTTAGCCCACTACTTAGAGTTTACTATTTGCACAGACCTCTAACCCGTGCCTTGACTGAACCGTCACCTTCCTTGGGAAAGGCGAAACCGCGCGTATGGTATACACCAATGTCTGCCCGTGTCGTTTCAAATAGCTCCATATCTAAGGATGTTGCAACCCTTGCGATACCGAGGTAGAGCTTTGCATATGCCAGGCTAGAGACAAAGGATTAGCAATAGTTCCACCCTGGTTGGGTTACATTTATGGAAAAACATACTTGATACCAAGACATGCTCTGCTGCCCTTACTGAAGCTGACCATGTATTTGTCGAGGTTTGTGCCGTCTTGTGCAGCCTTTACCCAACGCTCCGGATCGAAGACTTGAGGATTAGGGAATACGGAAGCGTCATTGTTGACCAGGTAGGTTGACTGGCTGACTGGTGTCTACTTTTGTGTCAATAAAAGAGATTTCGGGTAGAGTGGCTGATAGCAGGCTTACTCCGGGTGGAATCACGAAACCGTTGTACTGTAGAGCTTCGTGCGGAGAGATTCTCGGGATCCGCACGACCAAACCGTACGCAAGCCGGATTGCTTCCTGGACGACACCTCTCTATAGCGCGCGTTAGTAGATTATCGGTAGAGGTACCATTGGAATCATACCATATAGGGCACGGCCTCAAGCTCTGTCGTGGTCCATTGTTGACCATCCGACTTTGCAATAGTCTGCAATTCTTTCCGCAGCTTCATCAGCACATCCTGATTATTGAGTAAGTGAAACAACGCAACGGCGAGTGTTCTAGCAGTGGTGTCAATCCCAGCAAAAATGATGGTTTCGCCCTCATCCAAAAGACGATCCAGTGTTTTCTCCTCATCGGGCACATTGGAATCCGCCAATGCGCTCACGATCACAGATTTGGATCTAGCGTCTTTCATAGCCTTTTTCTCTTCATCAGGCTTGTCGAGATAATTCAAAACCATCTTTTTGTTAGCCTCTCGCGCTGACACGACCAGAGGGAAGTTCGGGTTGATCAACCCGAGGATTGGCAATGGGAGGTTTTTGATTGTGGTTGGAGGGACTGGCAGAAAGCGTGTGAGGTTGTACAGATTCAACAACACAGTCAGTGCATCTTTTAGTCCATACTTGAAGTCCTTGCTGCCAATGTAGTTTGCATGAGAGCCATAGAAATGGTAGGTGACAACATCCGCAGTGAAGGCAGAAAAGGCACACGTCAGATCAACGGTGTTTCCCTTTGCTTCTGCAAGACGGGAGATCAATGTATCAAGACGCTCGTGGATGACAGGCTCAACGTCCGCGATGGCCCTTTTGGAAAAATACGGATTCACAATGGCACGACGCTTGCGGTGGAGATCATGTTCGAGAGTAGAGATGGTGGAATGCGGGAACGTGTAGCCAGACACGGCTGACAGTTCTTTGTTAACCTTGCGGCCACTTCCAGCGTAGATGGTGCTAAAGTACTCCGGGTCGTGAATATGCAAAGATCTTGAGTTGATGCGAACAATCGGCCCTTTGAGATTGGTTAGCCTATCTTGGACGCTGGATGGTTGGGAATAACCACTGTACCGTATCTTTGGTGCATCTTCTCAATTTCCCAGAGATAAGTGCCATCTTTAATGACATCGTAATAGAACTCGTAGAAAGACCATATGGCTGCCCGTTTGGGACCGGGAAAGTTGCGCAATGGATGGAAAAACAGATCATAGATACATCGAGCGACTACATATATAGCAAACGCACCAAAGGCTGCACCCACGGCTGCCGGAAAAGAAAGATCTTGAAATAGCATGATCACAAGTTCAGGCTATCGTGGGTGATTAGAAAGAGGGAGAAAAAGGTGAGTATCGAGTTGCAGAGATTTGTAAAATGTAAAAAAGAAGGCAAGCCTCGGGCACGCAAGGAGAGCTTCACATCTGGCATAAAGGGTCTTGGCTACTCCGAAGTACTGCGGAGTAGGTGCAGGGGTTGCGATGCTGGCTTGTGCATATGGCTGCCTTTGGCCCCCAATAATCATTGCCCAATTGGCAACCACGAGGCTTTTTCACCTGTATCTTTACACCACCAAAATCAAGCGCGTTAATTTCTCACTTGCATCCGTTGGTGGGGGGCCTAGTCTAGCTCATGTAACCTATTCATGCCCGCTCGGTCGACGGTCCGATGTTCGGCATCGGGCGTGAGTATAGGTAGACACACAAGATGCGTACTCTGGAATTTAGTAACGGAAATCACTGTCAGAAACAGTTAGTTGATTGCGTAGGCAAACGGCTCCACGTTCATCTAGTTCAAGACGAGTGCATAATCTGGATCAGTGGAAAGGTCCTTGTAAAGACTTGCCTCTAATGGATACTTTTCGAGTGTTTACCAATTAACTTCGTGCAGATCCGAGTGGACACAAGTTATCCCTATGATAGTGAGATTGAATGAGCAACTACATGCGAAGAGAAATCATACATATGTGGGATCTTGAGCTCACGGAAAAATTACTCCTGGGTAGATCTATCTTCTCAGGTCGGCAGCAGTCAGAGACTGCTTGATATGGTCGAAATAAAAAACGCTAGAGGGTCCATTTTACTAGTATTTCTAAGTAATATCAAGCTGAGAATGATCCATCAAGCTTTTTCGCCTCTCGGCTCATCTCCCTTGTCAATTACGGCGTGGATGTGTGGGGTGGTAATGTTGTGAAATTAATCCTGTCAACAGGTCTAGGCCTCCTTCCCCCCATCCATCTCGTGGAAACGAGTAAGCGAGATGGGCAAATTTCACTAAAGGATTGAGTAAAGGCAAGACAAGAGTGTGCGCCGATCAGCTCTTTAATCCTTTTGTTTATCTAATTCGTGACTGTTCCATGGTACTTAAGTAGCTTCCATCCCGGCCTCTTTAAGACATCAACAAGCATCTCAAGTTTCCTTGAATTGCCGCCATTATGGATATGAATACCTTCCCCGCCAACACGTACTGCGACTCTATCGTGCGCTTTCTTGATGCCATTGAGTACCATGATGACAACCTGACACACGATGAGCGGGTTGAAGGCCTTCGTCATGTTCATTCTAGGACTGCACAATACTTTACCGAGCCTCTTCCGAGGAAAGTCCTCAAAGATGTGGCTCCCCGCCGTATTGCTGCTGTCACTCGGACAATTTCCCATTTCATTGTTTATTGTTGGAGCAAGCTACCTCGTGAAGCCCAAGTAGACGTCTCCATATATCTGTCCATCATCAACGTTCTGGACGACGAGATCAGCAGCGAACCCAGTACCCAGATGGCCACCTTCTGGACGGACCTTGTCCAGGGCAAGCAACAGAAGCACCCCTTCTGGGTGCTGTTCAATTCACATCTGCCCCGTCTCCTACGGCACTACGACAGCTTCTGTTCCTTCAATATTATGCGATGCACATTTGATTACTTCGAAGGCTGTTGGATTGAGCAACACAATTTCCAGGGCTACCCTGGCGCCGACTGCTACCCACTTTTCCTCCGACGATTGAACTGCCTCGGTGGTGCTGTCGCAGGGACCATTTTCCCCGCTGCCAAATTCGATGAGCAGAAGCTCTTTGCAGAGATTTCTTGCGTGATGGCGCAGATTGACGGACCCGTTGCCCTTGTGAATGATCTTTTCTCTTTCTACAAAGAATATGATCAGGACGAAGCCAATCTGGTCACCAACTGGTGCACTGTGGACGGAATCACTATGGACCAGGCCCTCACACGTCTCACTGACGATACAATCCATGCTTGTGTACGGATTTTGGAAATCTTGAAGGACAAAGACCCAGACATGCTGGCCACCATCCGTGGTTTTATCCATGGGTATGTGACGTGGCACATCTGCGACTTCAGGTACAGACTGCGGGAGATCTACGACCGCGAAGATTTAGGAGGTTCGAGCGCCAAGTTCCGCGATTACTTTGACACTGCAATCAATGTGGGATGGGTGGATGTTGAGGAGTGGACTTGCCAAGTCCAGGGCTTTGAAGTCGATGGGCCTGTCCCGAAGGGATCTGAAATCCAGGCATATCGGACCAATGCATTTGGATTCTCTGTCGATACACGTCGGCCACACAACATGGATTACGTGGGGAGTTCAATAATCAGTATGTTTGAATGGGTGACAGGTTATCTGAAGGGAAAATCTCGGTAGGCAACGGAAAGGGCCTGTGATGGTATACAGGATTACGACATAGATAGCAAGCTTTTTTGGTTTCTAGATATATTTGGCCATTTGTCTTCTTTTTACTTTCAGATAGTCAAGAACAGCCCAAATGAAATACGGATAGTTAAGCCCCCATCAATTGAGGTCCAATAACACTTCGGATCTTATCGAGGTATGGGTTCAACCTGGTAGGGGTTCAACCTGTGACGAACAAGCCTTTGCAGATCCCGATACCGATTCCCTTCTCAGGCCACCAAGCTTGCAGCTTGCGTCACTAGTCCCGGTCCTCATTCCTACAGCGTATATTGCTGGCCAACCAGTAAACAGTTATTTACTCTAGTGCTGATTCAGATTTTAGCTTGACAATTGTAACATCATTCATTGAACGCCCACTT